TGTTAATGAACCCCTTACTCAAGATGATTTGGTTGTTCATGAAGAACAAACTCAAGATCCTCAAGAACCTGTGCATCATGAGCCAATAACTTTGCGGAGATCCACTAGAGAAAGAAGAAGTGCTATTTCGGATGATTACATGGTATTTCTTCAGGAACATGAAGAAAACAATGGTATGATGGAAGATGACCTAGTTAACTTCCGTCAAGCCATGCAAGGTTCTAACTCTGAAAAGTGGATCGAAGCAATGAAGGAGGAGTATAAGTCCATGCAAGACAATAAGGTTTGGGAACTTGTCCCATTACCAGAAGGTATGAGACCCATTGGTTGCAAGTGGATATTTAAGACCAAACGGGATTCTAAAGGTAATGTGGAAAGGTATAAGGCTCGTCTGGTAGCTAAGGGCTATACCCAAAAGGAAGGGATTGATTTTAAAGAGACTTTCTCTCCAGTTTCATCGAAAGACTCTTTTAGGACAATCATGGCTCTTGTAGCACATTATGATTTGGAGCTTCATCAAATGGATGTCAAGACGGCGTTTCTTAATGGCAACATTGATGAGACGATTTATATGGTGCAACCAGAAAATTTTGTGCAGGGAGATTCAAAGAGTATGGTTTGCAAACTGACAAAATCCATTTATGGACTAAAATAAGCATCTCGTCAATGGTACTATAAATTTCATCAAGTAATTCTCTCATTTGGCTTCGAGATGAATATTGTTGATGATTGTGTATATCACAAGTTTAAGGGGAGTAAGTATATTTTTCTGATCTTGTATGTTGATGACATTCTACTTGCCACTAATGATACAGGCATATTGCACGAAACCAAGAAATTTTTATCAAAGAATTTCGAAATGAAAGATCTTGGTGATGCGTCTTTTGTATTAGGAATTCAGATACACCGAGATCGATGTCGGGGTATTTTGGGATTATCACAAAGGAGCTATATCGAAACAATTCTTAAAAGGTTTGGCATGTATGAATGTAAATCCGGGATACTCCAGCTTGCTAAGGAAGACAAGTTTAGTCTCAATCGATGTCTAAAGGGAAATTTGGAAATTGAGGAAAAGGAAAAGATTCCCTATGCATCACCGTAGGGAGTTTAATGTATGCCCAAGTATGTACGCGTCCAGACATAGCATACATAGTTGGGGTTCTAGGCAGATATTTAAGCAATTCAGGAATAGACCATTAGAAAGCAGCAAAAAGGGTCATCAGATATTTAAAGAGAACAAAAGATTATATGCTCACATACAGGATGTCGACCAGCTGGAGATCGCTGGATTATCTCGACTCATATTTTGCAGGATGTCAAGAATTTGTAGCATGCTATGAGGCATCAAATCATGGAATATGGCTGAGAAATTTTGTCACAGGGATGCAAATTGTGAAAGGCATTGAAAGACCACTTAAGTTATATTGTGACAATAAATCAGCTGTATTGTTAAGGAAAGAGTACAAAGTGGACAAATTTCCATAGAACACTTAAGGACAGCAAATCCTCTAACTAAAGGACTTCCACCCAAGGTCTTTCATGAGCATGTTGCTCATATGGGTGTTTTACAGTTTGAGGAATTTGTGGTTTAGTGGGAGTTAGTCATTTTCATATATTTTATGTTCTATGTTTAATTTAATATATGTATACATTGTTTTTTTTTTGGACATATTTGGTTATCTATAGATATGCAGTTTTTGTTCATTCATTACACTTTGTACATTAAGGTTTTTATATCGATCTCGATAAGTTAAAGTTTGGACCAGTTGAAAATAGACGTGTACAGATCACCTTCACGTAATTTTTCATGCTACACATTTCATGATGAATCCATGTCATTTGGTTATGTCAGGATGAGTAATCTTGTTGGTTTTAGTTGTGATGATGCAATGAAAAGCTGGTTTGGTTCTATATCCTGATATGATTAATGGACAGGACTTTTGGAATATGCTAAAGGAATATAATGACAATTTTGAGCTCATAAAGTCTAACACATTTGTAAGGTTGTAAAGACATATATATTTGTGACCAGTGGGAGATTGTTGGCAAATTTTGGGTCATGTATATATATGATACATATTTAAATGTGTTAGGGTCATTATTTATTAAGCCAAATAATAAAGTGATTTGAATAAATTAAAGTTTTGGCTAAAGGCATATGTCATGAAAATATTACTGTGTAGAGACCATAGAGTAATTTCTAATTTGATGAGGGGTCAAATTAAAAATACTAAAACTTAAGTAATTAACCTAATTTTGGTTATATAAAGGGTCATGGTCCCCTTCTGAGACCACACGCATGTAACGTAGTTATAGTCCCGCTTCTTTCTCTCTATCCCCATCAAGAGAGAAAATCCATAGTAAATACATGCGCTTCTTCAGTGCGAAGACCATAAGATCAAATCAAAAGTGCTTCTACAAAGAATATCATCATTATGGATAATTCAGGTACGCTTTCGCATTTAGTTCATAACATGTTTACAGTAAGAGATTATAAATATATGTTTGATCATTAGGACGAAGATCATATTCAATTACAGTTTAAACTAACAAGTATCACATTAAATATATTTAGTCTATAATGAAACTAAAAAATACACTCTTTAAAAAAAAACAAAAAAATTGAAATACAGTTGATAAAGAAGGATCAATAAGGAGCATTTGATACCCTGGCATCCATGATGGTCACACCTATGGCTGCAGTTAGTCTTGCATTCAGATCCTTTAACACTCATCTTTTTTGTGTCCACTATCTAGATCTGTCATTAAAGTGCTGCTTCATATATGTGAAGGACACAACTCCACTCAAATTCAACAGCTTTGGACTTAATTTGTCAACTAAATTTAATATTTAAGTTTCATTTATTTAAATAACTCTGATTTTTCTTTTCAAAAATTAATTATTTATTTAACTTTTTTTAATATAACATTTAATAATTAATTTAATATTATATAATTATCTAACCGCTAATAATATTAATTAGTTTGAATATTTATCTATATATAACAGTTATTTATTATTATCTAATTTTGAAGCGTCTTATTATAAATATATGTCCATCATTTTTTCTTAAAATCATCATTTTCATAATTTTAAATTTCATCTCTCATATGATTTTTTTAAGATGAAATTATATTTTAATTTAATGTATGTTTTTTTTATATAAATAAAAAAATATTTATTAATCATTGAATAATAATTAATAATTTTTATATGCCACGTTAACTTTTTTTTTTTTAAGTCCCATTATATCTTTGCCTATAACGTGATTTTTAAATATTGACAAACTATAAACATCAACTTTGACAATTCAAAATTTAAACACGTTCTATTGACTGTTATATTTTGAAAAAGAATATTCAAAATTATATAATATACATTTCTTTATATAAAAAAATAAAACTAAAACGTTTCTTTTATCATGTGAAAAAGAGAACAAGATATGGAGTTACACTACCTATGAATGATTGTATTCTAATGAAGATTGCTTTCGTTGATTCAACGGTGGGAATATTCAAATTGGGGTAAGTGAGATTTTTTTTTTCTTTTAACTTGGGTGGGTGAACAAGTGATTAATTAGTTTGACAACACGAAAGGAGAAACAAAATAAAAGGAAAATCATGTGAGATAGTAATTAACTATAAAAGAAAATATGCATTTTTCATCAGGAATATTCCAAATGATACCCAATGATTCCATTCTTTATTTTTTTTAAATTCAAATTAAATCACATAATCACATCCAATGAACGTAATTGTCGGTCTGGTGATTCTTAGCAAGATATTCTACTAATTGGTTAATTATTAATATAATAATTTTTAAATAAAGTTAATTAAAAATATTGGTCCATAAAATTTGTATTCATTAAATTCTATATGGATTATGTCACTGCCGCCATCCAAGAACACAAGTTCGCCGTTAGCAATTCCAACCTTACTTTCAGTTCAGACAAGAACAGCGTTAGTTCCTAAATTAAGCAAATATTATTTTTTCAAAATAAAAAATAAAAAAATAAATATTTTTTTGTATATATAAAAGGTGCATCCAGTACCTTTTTCTTTCTTGCTCTTTCTCTATATCTCCGCGTATCCCAAGATTCTCTACCTCCCTCTCCAAACTTCCTGTTTTGTGCCCGTTTTCTCAACACGTTTTCCAAGGGGGTCAGTTTCTTTTCCGTCTTCTTTTCCGTGTTTCGATTTGTGCTCATTTTACTCTCAGGATTCCATTATTTTCTTTTTTGAGTTTCACTGATTTGATTTCGATGCTCCTTTATTTGATGGGGTTTATGGGATGGGAAGGAGGAAGTACAATGTGGGTATCATGTTGTTGAGGGCTTTTCTTGTTTTCTTTTCTTTTTGCTGAACAATTAGGCTTGACGGTTTTCTTTCACTCATTTTTCATTTTTTGACAATTAGTTTGTTTGTTGATCTTCTTAACTCCTCTTGTATGCTGTGTTTCGAAATTATGGACATAAAGTTATAAGTTTGGCTTGTGTTGCGTGTTGATGAGATTATGTGATGTTGATTGTTCTTTTAAGTTTTGAGGATTACTTCATCTTGTTTGTAATGGGATAAATCCGAAATCAAAGTCATCTTTTTATTTCTTGATTACTCGATATGTTCGTTATTTGCCCTTTTGCTTCTTATGGTTCTAACTTGTTTTTGAAAAAGTCTTTGTCAATAGTTACATAAATTATGTCTCTCAGTGTCACCTGAGCTCAGAGCCTTCATTTGTTAATTATCAATTATTTTTTCTTACATAGAGTGTCGGAATCCTTTGGACTGCAACATTAATTTAGTTTTTCCCTTCTTGCTTTTTTTTTTTTTTTTTAAATAACTTTTGTTTTTTTAGGTAATCTACCATGCATTATTGTAGGGTTGAATTGTTTATTTATTATTATATATTGTGGTTAAGATGGTTTTATGATATATACTTCAGTTAAGTTCAAGATCTGGACCTGTTCCTGTACCGGGCTGCCTTACCTGGATTTCATCCATAAATGGGCTGTTTCTACTCTAAGTCAAAAAGAAAGTTTCCTGCACAGGAGAAGACAATAACTCTTGCATCAGAGACCGCTTGTAAGTGTATCAACAAACATATGATGCAAAGCTGTAACTCTTGTACAATGATATGCTACTGTTTATTGAATTCTGACTGTATCTCATTCTGAGGAGTTGGTTAGTGTGAATTTACTTTTTCCTTTGCGTTCTTGCTTGGCGAATCTCATAAATATGATACTAATTATAAGAAAATAAAGTTATAGTATTTTATCGGTAAGGGCTTGCAGTTATGTATGGTATGTTTCCAGCGCCTGTGAGGTTATTGGGATGGGAAAGATTGCAAATATTTAACAGATTAAAAATTCACTTTGTTTTGTTTGAAAGTAGGCAAAGGTGGAACTTTAGAAACGGGTACTTCCCCTTGGGCGTACAAATCTTATTCTATTTTAGTGTTGGCTACATTAAAGTAGATGAAAAGACCATGCTCTCTCAATAATGCTCTATCTGTGGGTATATAAAATGTAAGGCAATAATATAAATTGTATTTGTTCTGTTTCTAGTGAACTAAACCGAGGAAAATGTTGTTAGACCACTTGCAAAATTGAAGAGATTAAAGAATAGCATCCCATCTTTTGCTGCTATGTTAGATTCCATAAGTCTTCCGTTACTTTTCAACTTTCCATTCTGTTGCTACCTTAAGCAGAAAAGCCCTCTTTTTTCTTTCATTTGCTACAAAACTTTTCTCTTATTTGAAACACAATTTAAACCATTGCATTTGCAAATTAAGTAATGAAATTGGAGCTAGTTGTCAGTGTATTTGTGTCATCGTATCAATTGAAATGGATCCAATAGTTGTCTTGGGCGTGTTACCTGTCAATTATTTAGAAGATTGTTTCCATCTAGTGATGCATTTGTTATAAAGTGTTGCCTATTTCTCCATATTTTCTTTTGTAGTTTAAACTTACGTATCAACTTTTGGTTTATCACTTCCCAGTTACTGTCAGTGAGGTTGAAGCACTGTATGAGCTTTTCAGGAGCATCAGCAGTTCTGTTATCGATGATGGACTGATAAGCAAGGTACTACATAGGTTTTATCCTTTTTATTTGCTTGCGTAAGTTCATTTCTGATGATACTTTTTATTGTTTTTACCCCGATTCATTTTCTGAGGGACTTAGCTATATCTGACATATATGTTTCAATCACAATTTTTTAATTAGAGATTTGGTCATACATTTGCATTTGTAATTTTGTCAAGATTGTAATTCATACTTAACTTCAGTTTGGAATATTCCAATTATTCAATTGTGTGCAATATAAATATAAGCGGTTGTTATTTTCTCAGTTATGCTTCTGGGCATGAATGATCCACAATAGACTATCTCTTTTGTTAAGCTTTTCTTTCATATACTTGATTTGGATTTTTAATTTTTTGGTTTTCTAAAGAATTTTTCATATATTATTGTCCTACTCGAACTTGTTCTCACATGATGGCCATATTGTGGTTATGGATGATCTTTCTTTACAGGAAGAGTTTCAATTGGCAATCTTCAAAAACAAGAAAAAGGAGAACATTTTTGCGACTCGGGTACTATACACATCCTACTTTTCCTCTCTTGATAATAACAACTATGCCATAATTGCTAATGTTTCTTGCAAGCATTTGTGAATGACTATAGATCGTCCAAAAGAATTTTTCAATGATCTGCAGTTTACAATAAAAATAGGGTATTGAAGAAATTTTCTGTTTCCCTGTGTTCTGAAAGAATATCAATATACTTTACCTTAAACATTTATTGTGAAATATTTGCTTCCATCCAGTTTCTGTCAAATTTAGTATGCAGATTATGTTTGATTATGTCGATGATATTGTCATTCTTGGGACATCTCTATGAAGTAATTTTTAGTTGACTAGATTTCCATTGATACGGTACTTGCAGATCTTTGATCTATTTGATGTCAAGAAGAAGGGAGTTATTGACTTCGAAGACTTTGTTAGATCTCTCAATGTTTTCCACCCAAATGTGTCATTAGAAGAGAAGATATCGTGTAAGTTAAAAGTCAAATTCTCAACTCAGTTTATCCTAAATTCCTTACTGTGTGATCTAGCCATTCTGATACATTAAGTTGGTTGATATCTTGTTTCAGTTTCATTTAGGCTCTATGATTTGCACAATACTGGATTTATAGAGCGTGCAGAGGTAAGATAGTGATTCTTTATTCATCTGTCTTCATGCAAACAAAGTGCTCAATGCTCCAAAATAAAATAAGTGCTAACCTACGCATATAGATAGATCAATGTTGCGATGTGACGATTAACATTTTGGTTTGGTGTATTTTGTCGTGGCATCTATTTGCTGTCTCTCTGTGCATTCCTATCCTGTAATTTGAGTGGGCTTATTTATTCTTCTTTGTGGTGATTTCAGGTCAAAGAAATGCTAATTGCACTTCTTTATGAAGCGGACATGAAATTGGCAGATGATGTCATAGAAACAATTCTGAACAAAGTGAGTTATGCCTATTATAGAATTCCTATATAATATAAAGTAACAATAGATATCTTGTCTGTCTAATGGAGATAAATATAGTTTATTGTTGCCATGCCATCATAATTTTGTCAACTAATTTTATTTTTTCATAGACTTTCTCGGAAGCTGATCTAAATGAAGATGGGAAAATAGACATGGACGAGTGGAAAGCATTTGTTGGTAACAATCCGTCACTATTAAAAATCATGACCCTACCTTATCTAAAGTATGTATTGAATTATTTTTGTGGTACATATGAATCTCCTTTCATCCATAGTTTTATATTTTAGATATGTAATAATTTATTATTCTTGAAAATGCAGGGACATAACAACCTCTTTCCCAAGTTTTATTTTTAATTCTAATGTGGATGAAGTTGCTGCATAAAATACAAAGCTTTTAGGTTAAGTGATTGGTGGAAAAATTGGATGTATTGAACAAGGTGAGTGAAATATAGGGAGCCATGTTAAGTTAGCCTTACTCAGTAAATTGTAAATGAAGATGGCATTGAATTTTCTAGTCACATGTCATGTTAGTGCCTGTTTGGAGAAGACCCTTCATGTCCAAGGGATTCTTTTAGTAGAGAAATTTGACAAGAGGTGCAATGAAAACATAACAGTTTGAGGAATTCAAAAGTTGTACAAAGTAGTGTTCTTGAGAAACGTATGATATTTGGAAGAACGCCAAACTATGCATAAAAGATTTTTAAGAATCATACTCAGCGAATGAAATGTAGGAATAAAATATTGAAGGGAATACCATTGGAAGAAGAAACAATAACGGTATTTTGTTGTGGTAATTTAATGCATATGAAAATATAAATGGGCGAATTTTTTTTGCCGCCAAATGTCTCGACTTTTTGACCATTGAAACATTTTTCCAAAAAGATGATAAAGAGCACTAGCTTATTGAACTCTACATGTTGCAAGTGTTGTAAGGACTTATTATTCTTAAAAGATTAGGATTTTATGTATGGTTTCTCTTGATCAAATTTGTTTTATTACCAATAAAGTTAAACCTATGATTAATAATTGGTCACTTAATGACCATAAGATTATGATATGTGGCACTAAAGGATAAAGATGAGTTTGTCAAACTATGAGAAAAAAATTCTCTTTAATTAGATTTATCGTAATCTAATTTTTCCAGTCATAATTTTGAAATATGTAAATGCAATTAAAATTTCCAACAAAATTTTGTATAACCTTAATTTATATGTTAAAAAATGATAAAATATAAATATAATTATTTCGTATTTTTCATAATTACATAGAAAATGCATTTTAATTCAATAAACATCCAAACTTAAATATATTTTTTTACGTTTTAGTTATAAATAATTTGACTTTGTTATTTTCATCAACTTTTAATTATATTTTATTTTGGATAGTCTTTAGTGACAACAAGATGTTGATCAATTTTATGTAAGTTTCCTAAAAGTTATAGATCAATTTCTGAAATTATATAAAAATGTATAACTTTTTTTTTTCATTTAAAGGTGAATTGAGTTTTATATATATATATATATATATATATATATATATATAAAATAATTTATTAAAAAACATAATTAAACAGTACTCAATATTCTGAATCAAAGAAGAGAAATCAGAATTTTGAAATTCCTCTTTATTTTAAAAAAATAGTCCATGAGTTATTGGAAAAACAATTAAAATTTATCTTCTTCTTTTTTTTTTTAAAAACGACGGTATTACACTAAAGATGTTTTATTTTTCATTGAAATACATTTAATATAAATTCTCAATTCACCATAATTAATATATCATTCTCATCAATCAGACATAATCTCTCGCTTAGAATTCACAAAATACATTTTTAAAGTAATTTTAATGTATCAATCTTATAATTCCGTCTACAAAATTCTCAAACTAATGACATTTAAAAATTATGATAAGTCAAATATTGCAATCTAAGATTGTTTTTTCTTATATGAAATTATCGTATTCTTTAAGGTATCTAAAGTTCTACGGGGATTTCTCAAGAAGTCAAACCTAACAACCAAACACTACCATTGACTCATATTAATAAATTGAAATATGAGGAGAGAAAACTTATCCAAAACAACTTATGTTTTGGATATATCTATGTTTTTTATATATATAAATATTATGAATTAATTATTTTATAAATTTAGACAATTATATTTATGACTTTTTTTAATATAATTATATTTTGAAAGGTGTTATTTTTTACTATTGATAAAAGCAAAATATGATATAAATATTTATATATTTATTTGTATAAATATATAAAACTTATAATTTTACATTACTTTTATATAAGAAATAAATATTAAAGGTACTAATTTTTTTTTCTAAAAATAACTAATTTATTAATAGCTCAAAAAAGTTTAAACGATTTGACCCCTTTATAATACTTTTAATTATATGATAGTAAAAATAAATATCGTATCAAATAATACTATATTAAAATAATATATAAATTTAGTTTCATCAATATATTTTATTTTGTTAGAATTTTTTTATTTTTTAAGTAGATATAAATTAAATAATGTACATAATAATAAGTAACTAAAATAAAATAATTTAATAAATAAATATAATTAATGTATAATGGAAAATAAATTAAATAAATAAAGACAATCAATAATAAAACGATGATAAATTAAATAAATATAAATAAATAATATACAAAAATAAAGATAAATTAAATAAATAAATAATATATAAAAATAAAGATAAATTAAATAAATAAATATAAATAAATAAACAAAATTAATACATAACTCTAAAGATAAATAAATAATATATATATATATATATTAAATAAATAAAATAAAATTAAAAATATTTTAATAAATAATAATAATTATTATTATATAATAAATAATTAAAATAAAATTAAAAACACCTCACTCATCAAATATAATTATATATAAAATAAATGGAATGATTATATATATATATATATTTTTTTTTCCTTTCTCTCTTATTCTATTTCTTTTTTTCTTTAATTTTCTCATTTTTAATTTCTTTTTATACCTAAAAATTACTTGGTTTTATTGATTTTAAATCCTGATATTAATTAAAATGTATAATTTGTTTTATCTTCATTTTTTTAAATTATTATTTAATAAAATTTCAATAATTTTTTTAATTTTTAAATAATGTTTTTTTAATTTTAAAGTTGTAATAAAATAAAAAATAGATCTTTTATTATTTATAAAAAATAAAAAATTAAAATTATTCATACACATTATAATTTAATATTTATTTTTTAAAAATATTATATAATAAAATTTTGATGTGTTACAATATTTTTTTATTATAATTTTTTTTTTCCATATTTCGTTTGAGTAAAAAAAATATTATTTTAGTTTTATGTTTTTAAATTTTATTAATATTACATCTTTATTTTAGTTTATGAGCGATCCCTTTAATTGATATTTTCTGTTCCAAACAATAAGCATTTTTAATTAATTAGCCGCACCGCAGGAGTTGGGGCCCGCACTTTCCTTACCCTTCCGCATCAACTTTCACGCACGCCCCAAACACAAACACCTTACTCACATACAACCCTAAACAAATCACAATAATTTTGAACTGAACTTACCTTGAACCAAACCTGGTGCTGTTTGTTTCTCTCTCTCTTTCTCCGTTCTTCCGTTCCATTTTTTTTTTCAATTACACAGCCGTTTCTTCCACCCATCCACCTTATTTATGAAACCATCTCTCCTTCCACTTTCTTCTACACTCTCCACACACCCTCTTTTCCCTCCTTCCTCCAACAAATCAAACCATTAACCAACAACATCACTTCCCAAACCAAACCTTAAATTGAATTCATGTGCTCCTCCCGCTCTACCACTCCATCAAGACCCTCTTACTTGGTACTGTTTTTGTATCCACATAAATGAAACTCAAATAGGACTGGCATAGTGGCATGATACTTCCTTTTGCCAAATACATTCTCTTTCGTAATAACCTTTTGTTTAGAAAGGTTTCTCCTTTACCTAGGATTTTTCAAGGACACGACTATGAGCAGTTCAATCCACTTCAGCAAAAATTTTCTACTTCTGACCACTGTGAAAGATTATCATGGGAACGTTCCAACAAAGAAATTCTATTGGAGAAGCTTAAGTTTGCTTTGAGGAATCATCAGGTGCATGAAGCATGGGAATCCTTTCAGGACTTTAGGAGCCTTTATGGTTACCCTGAGGTCCATCTAGTGAACCAGCTCATTGTTCAATTGTCCTATTCTTCCAGTCATGTTTGGATGCGAAAAGCTTGTGATTTGGTGTTGCAGATTGTTGGAGAGAAGTCAGGTTTAATTCATGCTGATACCTTAACCAAACATGCACTCTCTCTTGCTAGATTGCAAATGCCATCCCCTGCCTCAGTGATACTCAGATTGATGCTTGACAAAGGGTGTGTGCCCTCTATGCATTTATTGTCCTTGGTTGTTTTTCACATTGTGAAGACAGAAATTGGAACACATCTTGCATCTAATTATCTGTTTCAAATTTGTGATTTTTACAATTGCTTGAATGATAATAAGGTTCACCATGCAGTCACGGTCAAGCCGGATACCCTGGTCTTTAACCTTGTTCTTGATGCTTGTGTGAGGTTTAAGTTATCTTTGAAAGGCCTGAGACTAATTGAATTAATGTCGCTGACTGGGACCATGGCTGACGCACACTCGATTGTGATAATTTCACAGATTCTAGAGATGAACGGTCTGAGGGATGAAATGCAGGAACTGAAAGATCATGTTGACAGAGTTTCGGCTGCTTATGTGTGTCACTATCGTCAATTCTATGATAGTTTGTTGAGCTTGCACTACAAATTTAATGACATTGATGCTGCGGCTAAGCTTGTTCTGGATATGATTAACTCGCATAATTGTAATGTTAAGAAAGAATATGGGAAACATCTGCAGAATCCTTGCTTTATTGCCATTGGATCTCCCAACCTTAGGACTGCATTGAAGGTACATATTGAGCCTGAGATACTGTGTAAGGATTCTGTCCTTAAAGTTGAAAGCAGACAGGTTCTTATTATTTATAGGGGTGGGAAACTAGTTCTTAGTAATAGAGCTTTGTCTAAGTTCATCATTGGTTACAAGAAAGATGGGAGGATCGTTGAACTTTCAAAACTTTTACTTAGTATTCAAGGGGAACTATGTTCAGTGGCAGGCTCCAGTTTGTGTTTTAATGTAATCGGTGCTTGTATTCAGTTAGGCTGGCTTGAGTGTGCTCATGACATTTTGGATGATTTAGAGACTATTGGTTCTCCAATGGGCCGGGATGTGTATATGTTACTCGTGTCAGCATATCAGAAGGGAGGAATGCAAAGAGAAGCAAAGGCACTGGTGAAACAGATGAAAAAGGTCGCTTTGTTGGACAAAGAGTTATCTGATGATGCTATGGACGAACACAACGTCTGTGAAGAAACATTAAATGCCCTTGGTAAAGCCGATTTGGCTATTGCCTTGGCTCAAATATTGAAAGATGAAGATCAGACAGTTTTTCCTTTGGTGTATAACTTCAATGCTTCCATTTTCTTTTTCTGCAAGGCCAGAATGATAGAGGATGCATTAAAGGCATATAGAAGAATGGTTAGCATGAAAGTTCAGCCGACAAGTCAAACTGTTGCCTTTTTGATTTGTGGTTATTCTTCTCTTGGTATGTATCGTGAGATCACAATCTTGTGGGGAGACATAAAGAGATTCATGAAGAGTGACAGTTTAGTGGGAAGTAGAGATCTCTATGAGTTACTGTTGCTAAACTTTCTTCGAGGTGGTTACTTTGAGAGAGTGATGGAGGTCATTAGCCATATGAAAGACCATAATATGTATCCTGACAAGTGGATTTACAAAAGTGAGTTCCTTAGACATCATAAGAATCTTTATAGAAGTTTAGAAGCATCAAATATAAGAACAGAGGCACAAAGTAAACGACTTGAGCATGTTCAGGCATTTAGGAAATGGGTGGGTATTGATTAGAGGTCTCTGATAAATATTCATGTGCCAATGTACCTCCATGTTTTCCAGCAACACTCTGGGGAGCCTTTTGAATGTTACCTTAATGTCTGCTTACGATTATTTGAAGTTTATGTAAATTTTGGTTTTGGCTCAACTTTATCGATCCTGAATTAAGTGCAAATGTGGTTTCATTAATCACTAATCCGATCATGATCTTAAGAAAGCCTTTGCTCACACTGATGGTGTAATTCCTAATTTGAAGTGGATACATTGAATGATCGCTCATCATGGAACTCATACGTTCTACCAAGTGGAGGATAGTGGATACTTCTCATTGATGATGTGCTTTTGAAGAAAGATGGCATGCTTTGGTTGATTTTTTAGAGCTTGTGCGCTGAATCAATTGTACTTGTTTGCTAGGTAGTTGGAGGAATTCATGCAGAAAGGTCTCTGCACTTCATTTGTTTATGGCTGATGATGATGCTTCTGTTACAACCAACTAATGATATACTAGACACAGATGAAACATGGTATGCAATAGCAAATCATCGTCGCCTTTATGTAAAAGTTCTACTCTGATATTATGGGTTTCTGATAGGTCCCAGGAAATTATAGAAGGAGTGACAAAGTAGTTCGAGAATTAGTTTAATAGTGATAGCTGGAAGAGCAGGGGGGCTTATAACTTAACAGATGGGTTAGGGGGGAGATTCAGAAGGTTTTTCTCCATATTATGCAGATAAACTAGATTTAGCTGATGATTAATGTATCAATTAAGTTACAAATAATTAAATCAACTGGTTCACATCTGTTGCATAATTTCAACCGCATGTTATCATTTAGAATCCGCATCATGTACTTTCTTCAACATTTGATTTGACATATGTAATTGTGAATTAGCTTACATGGAGTTATTTTATATGTAGTAACTCCGTCTCTGCATTTTATGATGGTCAATATTAGCATATGATCAGTAATTGTGGTGATGAAACCCCATGTTGGATTGAAAACATTGAAGCAGTGTAATTTATTCTTGGTGTTTTGTTTTATGGATTATATTCCAAGGATATTATATTAACTTTGTTTTTAAACAGTTTGACTATTAATGAAACTATGTATTGTTTTCAGATCCAATGCTCCCAATGTTTTTGAACTTGGGGGGTTTGGTGATATGATGGTTACTATATATTTTGTGGACTTCATAATTATTTTCTTATTTCCTACTGGCAGAGACACCTTAATGAGGCTGATGTTAATGATAATTCATTATCCAATCCAGCCAGAGCTAGGCGGGAACCAAATTTATCTGCAAAAGAACTGGAGGACAGGATGAATCAAGTCACCTACATTATGCAGCAGAAGTTTCTTTTAGGGGAAGATCAGGAAGATCTTGATTACTATAAAATAAATAGTGACGAGACCCTTGATGATCACTGGCAGAGGAGGCCAATATTGATGCAGAGGAGAGATATTTTGCTGATGACTAAACTATGACATTATACTATTACTGGGTAATGGGGAATCAAATATGCCTTTGTTCACCATGCCATGGACACTGTACTTAAATCAACTGGACAGGTGTCTATTCTTAATATAAAGGTTTCTTTTATTTATGGCTGAATATTTTTAGGGTCTTTAAAAGAGTATAGCGGTTTCTCTTGAGTCCCTAGATCTATTGAAATGTAATTTTAATACCCTAATTTAAGATTTCGATATTCGTGTTAGTCTTTATGATGACTGATGTCATCATCTAATTCTGTCAGTCTTTTGACATGGCATGTTAACTGTCATATTTCACTAATGTGATTGTAACGCAACAGGACCTAATTAAATTTTAAGGGTAACATTTTACTTTCTGGAGATTTTGTCAGTGGGTAATTGAGTAATTTGGGGAAAATTAAGGAGAGTTAAAAGGAAATTACATAAGCATAAGAAATTACAGTCTTTCTCTCCTTCAAACCCCATTTAGAAGATGAATTCAATGGAGAGACATTAGAAACTGACTCTTTCTCCTTCCCACCCTACAACCACCATGACAAACAAGTTAAATAGAGTCATATTTCCAATTCCAATGGTAATTCAAAGCTAAAGGGTCACAATGAGTGAAGCTCTTCTGGAGACATGTTTAGGAGGAACATGAGCTAAATGAATCTGCAGCAGAGATGCTTTATGGTCTGATTCATGGTCGGTTCATTTTGCCAAACAAAGGAATGGCTGCATTGGTATGAATTTTCTCCTAGTTATTCTGTTTTTTTATGCTTTATTGTGGAGAAAGTTGGCACTGGATTATCTACAGCTTCACAAGTTCAAAATCTTGTACTTTGGTAGATGTCGAAGAGTTATTGCTCTGGACAACCCTGCCTTCTAGTGGGCCAGTCAGATACTCCTAGGTCAAGTAAGGTGAAAATATATGGCTCCAAGTGCGAAGACATTTACCACCCAAAGTCCAAGTATCAAGGTAGTTTTGAATTGTCTTTTGAAACTTTTTAGATTTTGTTATGCTTCCATCTATGCACCTCATTCCTTTCTAGACTCGTTTATTTGTCTGTCAATTAAGGTTGCAACTTGTTAGCTGTCATATAATGTTTTGGCTTACGAGTGTTTCACTTTCCCTTACATTTTACTTGCTGCTTGTTACTTTTTTTTTTTTTTCATTTTGTATTGATATCTAAAATATAAAATAGAAAGGAAAATGTGTGTTGATCCCAAGATCTTTTTGGTTGTGCATTGGTTAATTATCATTAAGAATGACACAAGGAACTCAACTAATTCTCAAAAGGTTTCTTTTACTCGGATGAGCTGGTAGTACTATATATACGCAAAAAAGACCAAGCTTTATTCTCAAAGGATTGTTTTGTACTTCAACTTTTTGCTTCTGGTATTTAAGAATAAACTGTCATATATGAAATATGATTTTTTGGGGAATAACATGTAATATTATATCTACCTGTTGGAGTTCGCCTGTATGGGACTACCTTCTAAAGTTTACTTTGCCATAGTAATGGGTGGATACTTAAACAGGTCTTGAAGTTCTGATCAAAGGAAAAAAAACATGTCATAAAGTATCTCATAATCAAGGCTTTTGTTTATTACCGAAATTATGTGATTAGTAATTTAGTTGGCAATGTTTCAACTACACTGTTCGATATTAATATCTAAGTTTCTGTTGCTAGATAAAGACATGTTCTTCTGTACCCTTTGATAAGGACAGTTTTTTTAACTTTGCGAGTTGTATGTACGCTTTAAAAATAAAAATCAAAGAAAAAGAACTGGAAAATGATAGATTTTTTTCCTCGTTTTTACATAGCTGATGTTATACAAAATTGATGTTATGAAGATTTGCTTGATTTCTTATATTTTGTGATTTCTTTAACTCAGTTAATACATCAGTTTGTTGAGATTTTGTCATCGTTAACTAGATTCTGGATATTTTTGGACTCACTGGGTGTTACTCTTTGTTATGGCATATGATTGTTCAATATGATTTATGGGGGAAATAATGTCCTGCATTTCATACACTAATCTCCTGAACTGTATCTAGACATTAGAGCTAATTTTGGAGTTACATTTCCCCACCTCTTTCTGATGACTTTCGGGAATCTGAAGCCACAAAAGCCATCACAGAACTATATACCAAGAGTTTTTGGTTTCAAAGTTCACATGTCCTGAAGTTGGGTGGAATTTCAAGCTTTCATAAAAGTAAGATTCTGAGCATGCGTCTTTGTTGTATTTCTTTCTAGTGGATTTTCAGTTTCTAAAATCAGTACAGTCTAGATCCACATGTTTTGTAAACTGTAAATATGCAGGTGGCTAGAGCTTAACTTTGCTTTCAGCTTCAAATTCAGTCTGCCTTTGTAAAGCTTTTCTGATAGAATTTTAGGTCAAGTAATTGAATGCAATTCTCAACATTTATGCTAAACCTGTCCAAGAAATGGACACATGCCACTTTATTATTAGATGTATTCATGTAATTTTCTTATGAAATGTATTCCTGCCTCTTGTCTGCATCCCTTTCATTTTTTTTTTCTTGAAGTTTTATCTCTCTACCTGTTCAATGCACTAAGAACTTTTTCTACTAATAGTGGCTGTTTTCAAATGAAATTGCATATTCATACAACAAAAGTATTCAATAGGTTACACAACACTCCTTCTCTCCTCATCACATTGTCCATTTTATCTCAATTTTTTCTATCTTCTCTTCCTAATTTTTTCTTATTTCAAATTGTTCTCTTCATATTATTATGCCCCAGCTATTTCTGTACTTTTGTAAGTATGTTAGGTAATACTTATATTGAAGTATTATCTCTACCTGTTCAATGCACTAAGAACTTTTTCTACTAATAGTGGCTGTTTTCAAATGAAATTGCATATTCATACAACAAAAGTATTCATTAGCTTACACGACACTCCTTCTCTCCTCATCACATTGTCCATTTTATCTCAATTTTTTCTATCTTCTCTTCCTAATTTTTTTCTTATTTCAAATTGTTCTCTTCGTATTATTATGCCCGTGCTATTTCTGTAACTTTTGTAAGTATGCTAGGTAATACTTTTATCAGTGGACTTGACCTGAATGCACTTGTGCTTCAGAATGTTTTCAATTACAAGTGATTTAATTTCAAGTCCATCTATTCAAATTCGAAGATTAATTTATTGGTGACAATCGGTGAAGATCAGATAATCCGAAAATGGCAAAGCATCTCATATGATACGTGCATAATACTCTTTGATATGTATTCGGAGTATCCTCCATTTTTTTTTTTTAAGTTATTGACTGATCTGTTTGGGATTCAGTTCTGATATTATTATGAATAGGATTAAAATTGCATATGGCTCTCTATATTTTCCTGTGTATTATTAAAGCAATAGCAAATAGTTGTAGGTAATCATATATGTGGCTCAACTTTAGCTTCTTGGAATTAAGTGTAAATGTGGTGTCATTAATCACTAATTCGATCATGAATGATCTCTGATCACAGAAATCATACGTTCTACTAACTGGTGGATAGTGAATACTGCTCATTGATGATGTGCTTTTTTTGTTTGAAGACGGCATGCTTTAGTTTATTGTTTTAGAGCTTGTGAACTGAATCAATTGTGTTGAGAAATCTCACATTGATTAAAGATATGGTAACACAACGATATATAAGTAAATAAATACGATCCTCATCTTCCTAAGCCGGTTTTATAAGATTGAGTTAGGTATCTCACTATTTCTAAGATGATATTAGAGTCAACTTTAGAATTGTTGGGACAATAACCGTTAATTATGGTGGATTTAACTACTCGAACCAATATTGAATCACTCATCTTCGATGTGAAGGGGGTGTAATAAAAAAATAGTAAAATTTTTATCTTATTGAGTCGGTTTTGTAGGATTGAATTAGGTATAGATGGAGGAATTCATACTGATAGGACTTTGCAATTCACTTGTTCATGGCTAATGATGATGTTTCTGGTACACTTTAGTTGACTGGAAGTAGGGAAGTAGGAAGAATGTTTAACTACATACATTAGCCCATTGCTACCCTAAAATGTTGAACCACATACTGAAACCTTTTTTTCTCCCATTAGTAACAAATTTTATTATTAGGGAGCATTTCCTGATATAGTATCATACTGACCTAAAAGCAGCTTTGTTTGGCTGTTGCCAATAATATTGAAATAATGATGAAGTGCCCCCAGAGAACTACTTCTCAAATCAAATAAGAATGCATTTTAATCTGTCCATTAGCACTTGACTGAAGAGCTTTTCTGCGTATAATATTCTTATTGAACAAGAAACAAAATTGTTTCTTGTGATGAAAACTCATGGTTTGAGAAAAAAACACTTCGTGCTCAGTACGCACCCTTTCAGCTAGATTTTGAAATCGTTATTCATTCCAACAAGACTGTCAGATAGGGATGGCAAAACGGGCTAGGTCCGGCGGGTTGGCCCGCCAGCCCGCCATAATATGGCGGGGCGGGTTGATGTTTTCAGCCCACCAGCCCGCTTTGGCCCGCCCCGCCAAGCCCGCCAACCCGTCAGGCCAACCCGCGGGACGGGACGGGCCAGCCCGCGGCCCGCCTAATTAATAAAAAAATATTTTTTTATTGTAATAAAATTAATTATAAAGATAATATATAAAGTTAAAAATTTTAAAAAGAGAATTAAAAAGTTTCATTCTCACATAAAATATTCTCCTTCCCGAAATATAACCTTCTCTCCTGTTCTCCTTATTTATCCTAAGTACTCGATTATATTTATCCTTATTACTTGAATTAAAGGTATAAGAATTACTCAACCAAGTATAATACGAAGTTTTATCAAATAAAAAAGATATAGGTATTTGAATTTTTCAATATAAAAAATATAAATTTTATAAGTTTAACGTTATTTATATATATATATATATATATATATATATATATATATATATATATATATATATATTATTGAATTATTGACAAACAAATAATAATCTTATTATTAAATTTATTAAAAAAAATTATTTTTTTAATTATGGCGGTCAGCCACGACACTGCCAACTCGCCAACCCGCCCTTGGCAGTGGCGGGTTAAGGTCTACAGCCCGTCATGACTATATCGGTCAGCACTCACCGCCCGCTTTGGCGGGCCAAAGGCGGGGCGGGCCAAAACGAGGCGGGCTGGCCCGTTTTGCCATCCCTACTGTCAGATAATAATTCCAAGTTGTTTAAGAAAACGATGGATATGCATTTTTTTTACGACCAGCATAAGCATGTTTTAGATGTATTGTAAAAAATAACTTCTTTTTTTTTACAATCAATTATAAATTATTATTAATGACATTTTAAAGTTGATATTATAAAAGTCAACAACAAAAATTAGCATGATGATTTATTATTAAACGGTAATATAGAAAAAAGGTTATATCATTTGTATGAATACTATATACTCTATTTACAGTTGAACATATTTATGTTTTATTTATTTTAAATACAAAATTTATTTATTTTTTATTGCATACCAAAGGTACCATAGTTATGTTAAAATAAAATGAAGCAAAGCTACATACTAACTATTCAAACTCAACAAATAAAAATAGTGAAACATTTTTTTTATTTCATTTACAAAAAAATGTTAATAATATAGTCTCAAATATTTTTTTTTTCAAGCTGGTTTTTTTATTTATTGAAAATTGTGAATCATGAAAATAATCATTAAATAAGAATATAATTTTCATTTTGTGATTTAAAAAAAAAAATCAACCAATAACTGAGAAAGAGTGTTCAAAAGAATATTTTTTTCCCTTTGTTTCTAACATTTCTCTTCATTTTTGTATTTCTGAACCTTTCTTTTTCTAGTTGGAATTTACATTCCAAAAGCACTTTCCTAAGCACAACAAAATGGGTTTGTAAGAGAGGTCTAAAAGACGTAAACGGGCCTATATAAAGGTTGATGTTGGTCGCTAAAAAAAAAAAAAAAAAAACGAAGCAGAGATGGAGCAGAAGAAAGAGACGGTGAGGACTATGAGCGAGGAAGCGAAAGAGAGAATTTCAGAGAGACTGTCATGTTTGGAGAACCTTTACTTTCCGCGAGCGCTCGAATCCACTGTCTCCCTCCCTTGTCAACGCAAAGCTATTTTCCGCGATCTTATATCAAGAGATGTTGCTCTTTTCTTAGGTTAGTTAATACTTTTCTCATACTTTGTTCCTTTTCTTTATTCAATTCGTGTATACGTGTTTCGATTCTTTGATGGTGTGAATAGACCTAATTAAACCCTAACCTAGTTAGTAGACGGGGAATGAATCCCTGAACTGTATGTATTGTTGTATTGGGTGTAGAACGATACGGTTCCCAGCTTACTTGCAATGAGCTTAGTGAATTTGAATCGATGAAAGACGATTATGAGATTAATTGGCACATGAAGCGGTTGCGGAGCATAATGAGTCCATCGGAGGAGGAGTTGAGGATGAGGTCGGTGACGGTGAAGAACCGCAGGCGGGCTTACTTGGATAGATTGGTGTGCGGTGGGCATTACTTCTCTGAGGATGCCATGAGGGAGAGAGAGCCGTATCTGCATCATGAGTATGTGGGCAAGTTTCAGGACCAGAGCAGCAGAGGCATGGCGAGGCCGGGGGAGCGGTGGTCGGAGACTCTGATGAGGAGGTGTGAGGAAGCGGCGCTGGTTGCGAAGATTAGAGGGGAGCAGCAGAGGATGGGTGTGCCGGAAAGCGAATGGGTGGGTAATGAGCGATTTCAAGAAGAAGAAGAAGAGGAGGAGGATGTCGAGGAGGAAGAAGAAAAGGAGGAGGAAGTGGATGGAGAGAGAAGATGTGGTAGCAATGGACAGCCTGTAGAGGTACTACTCTTTAAACTATCAATCATGTATTTATTGGCCTTTTCTTCTGCTTTAACTAGTATATGAATAATATCATTGACAATTTGGCTTTTAATTAAGCTCTATTGTGTCGTGTGGTTCGCATAGTCATCCCACTTGGTGGGATAACAAGGCTATTGTTGTTGTTCTTGTTTAATCGCATGTAAGTGAAAATGAGATGAAGAGGAAAATTACAAAGGGGAAGGGGGATGGATAAACTAAACTAAAGAGTGAAACAGTAAAGTCTCGATATTTTGTCACCAAAATCTCGTTAAGAAGGCCTACTGCATAACACTAAGGAGGGTTTATTCTATTTGAAAGAACATTTGTGAACTTATTCTATTTGATTATTTTGTCTTTATTTGTCACTCAGTCATTCAATGCATGTCCTCTAATTAGCTATTCAATTGTTTTGTTTCCATTTTTCTAAAATAAAGACCTCATACATAAACTTGGATATAACTAATTGTTTTCGTTTTGTATGACTTTTGCTTAAGTTATCTATTTATAGTTTCTGTTGTTTACATTGAACACTATATATCATCTATATAATATATTTAAAGTATTATTTTACAGTATCTTATCTTATAATTCAATAAAAAAACTCCAATTCACTATTAAAAAATAACTCAACGATTCATGATTCAAATTTCTGATTTAATAACGTTGCTCCAATTAAATGCAACATACTATTGAAGCAGATTGTTCATTGGCACAATGAAGTTAGCTTGTTTATTCTACCAAAACCATGAAGGCTAATAATAAAAAATTGATCCAGGGGCTTACGACACGCCCTAATTGCCCTGAATGAGGAATTGCATAAAGCAACCTGACCAAATAATTTGAAAACAGTTGAGTAACAATTTCTCAGCATGAACTATACCCTCTGTTTATTCTACCAAAACCATGAAGGCTAATAATAAAAAATTGATCCAGGGGCTTACGACACGCCCTAATTGCCCTGAATGAGGAATTGCATAAAGCAACCTGACCAAATAATTTGAAAACAGTTGAGTAACAATTTCTCAGCATGAACTATACCCTCTTTTTATAACATCATCATCTATCCTGGATTGTATCATCATAATCAGTAAATAACTAGATCTTTGTCATTGTCTTCCATACTAGATACGCAGATTTATACTGCTTTATACTGCACATATACAAATTTAGATTGGTAAGCTCATGAGCTATAAAGATCTTAGATCAATGTGCTGCGTTTGATACCGCATGAGCATTCTGTATACTTTTCCTACCTTGTCCCCACAGTGAATAGTGAGATTGTTATATCAGTAATCAATTAAGTCATAAGTTTGGTTCATTCTCTTTTATTATCTTATGCTGCCGATGCTCTTGAAGATATGCTTAAATTTGTTTCACACCATATTTTGAATTAATAATCTACTTTTGCATATTCTACTTGTTATTTGAATTTAAACTCTACATCTTTACTCATTGAGAGAAAGACTCGTGATATTTGACTTTGTATGGGTCTCTCTAAACAAGATGAATATATATATATATATATATATATATATATATATATATATATATATATATATATATATATACTTGTGCCAATTAGCAAGTTATCCGTGCATTTATGTAAAAGCTCTTTTCTGATATTATCGGTTTCTATTAGGTCCCAGGAAATTATAGAAGGAGTTACAAAGTAGTTTGAGAATTAGTTGTATGGTGATAGTTGGAAGAGGAGGGGCTTATAACTTAAACGGATGATTTAGGAGGGAGATTCAGATCGTTTTTCTCCATGTTACGCAGATAAACTAGATTCAACTGATGATTCATATATCAATTAAGTTGCAAGTAATTAAATCAACTGCATACTGCAGTTCTGATTTCACATCTGTTGCATAATTTCAACCGCATGTCACCATTTGGATTCCACTTCCATGTACTTTCTTCTACATTTTATTTGATCCACGTAATTGTGAATTAGCTTATATGTAGTAACTCCGTCTGTGCTTTTTATGATGGTCACTATTAGTGTATGTTCAATAATTATTGCGATCCGTTGATGAACCCCATGTTGTATTGAAGACATTGACGCAGTGTAATTTATTCTTGGTGTTTGTTTTATGGATTATATTCCAATAATATTATATTATCTTTGTTTTTAAACAGTTTGACTATTAATGAAACTATGTATTGTTTTCGGATCCAATGCTCTCAATGTTTTTGAACTTGGGGGGTTTCGTGCTATGATGGTTACTATATATTTTGTGGACTTCAGTAATTATGTTCTTATTTCCTACTGGCAGAGACACCTGAATGGGGCTGATGTTAATGATAATTCCCTATCCAATCCAGCCAGAGTTACCCGGGAACCAACGTTATCTGCAGAAGAACTGGAGGACAGAATGAATCAATTCACCTACATTATGCAGCAGAAATTTCTTTTAGGAGAAGATCAGGATCATCTTGATTACTCTAAAATAGATAATGACGAGACCCTTGACGATCATTGGCAGAGAGAGGCCAATATTGATGCAGAGGAGAGATATTTTGCTGCTGACTAAATTATGACATCATTCTATTACTACTGGTAATGGGGAATCAAATGTGCCTTTGTCCACCGTGTCTTTGACACAGTAGTTAAATCGACTGGACAGGTGTATATTCTTAATATAAAGGTTTCTTTTATATATGGCCGAATTTTGAAAGTGTGTATCAGTCTCTTTAGTCCTTAGTCCTTAGCTACATCCAAATGTAAATTTAATATCTTAATTTAGGATCTGTTATTTATGTTAGTGTTTCTCATCACTGATTTAAACTAATTCTGTCAACTTTTTTGACGAGGTATGTTATCTGTCATATTTTGCTAACGGGACTTAATTAAATTTTAATGATAACGTTTTACTATTTGGTCTGTCGTTGGATAATTGAGTAATTTGGGAAAAATTAGCGAGTTAGAAGGAAACTACATAAGCAAAAAAATTACAGTCTTTCACTCCTTGAAACCCTTTTAGAAGATGAATTCAGTGGATATATATATATTGAGCTATCTGAATTTCAAAAGAATATATTTTTCTTGTTTTTTACCTGTCGTATTCGACTTACGCATCGAAAAACCAAAGAACACGAAATTAAATGAAATTTTTTAGTAAAGTTTTTTGCTTTATTAAGTCATTGAATGTTATAAAGTTTTTATACAAGATTAATATTATACATTATTATTTATGCAATAAGTTATTATTATTTTATTTACAAATCAACAAATTGAGAGTCAAGGTTTTATTTAGGTATTACGGTCTCTATAAAAGTTTATTTTAGGTCTTAAAATATATATTTTTTTGTTAAACCTATGTACTGTTTATTTTGTCACTATTATATTTTAAAAACCATTAAACATTTTCTTCCTTATGTGTTTTTTTTTTTTCATAATAATAATAAAATGAGGGGTGGATGCCTTTGACAACAAATATCTTATTAATCGTAGAAGCGAAAACAAGGGATGAAACATGGTACGATAGTTATACGGATGCAATGAAACAAAGAGAGGGCCCCACCGGAACAATGGTCGCGCTAGTAGGCATGAGACACGTAGACGCATGGAAAGAAGAGAGGGAGTTTCTAAAAATGAGATTGTGAAGGAGTTGCATCGGCGACAAATACTGGGAGGAGAAGGAACTCTTATTTAATTAATGAAAGTAACAACCTAATCATCATTTATGTTCTTGAAGAATGAATGAAAACAAGAGAGACACTCAGAAGAAGCATCCAAATTCTGAAGGAACGGAGAATTTAATTTAGAATAGAATTGGAGAAGAGAAAAGAGGAAAGGAGGGGGTATGAATGATCACAAAGGAAGAGAAGGAGAAAGTGTTGTTGGTCGGAAGCGAATCAAGGATAAGAAGCAGCAGCAACAACAACCCACTCCTTCCACTGCAAGGCCAAACAACTCTCACCGTCGCTCTCTCTCCCTCCCTAACACTCAACACGGTTTTCTCTTTCTCCTTCTCCTTCTCCTTCTCCTTCTCCTTCCACCCTTCTTTTCAATTATCCTTCCTCTTTTATTGTCTGCTTTTACCCCTTTCGTTTTATTTTTCCATTTATTCAACATAAACAAAAACAAAACATTCTCCCATCTCCCATGTGAAACCTGGCCTTCGCACACATTTGGCATGCATGAATTGAACGTGACCTCTTTTATAACTTTTCTGTGAGCATTCAATTATGAAATTTAAGGTTGCATATTATGATTTCTCTGAATCTAACGTGTTAAAATAATACTTTTGATTCCATGGCTGTGGAAGCCCCATCATTTAAAATTTCATTCTCGAAAATGAAATTGAATGGGGCGCTTTTGGAAGGCAAGGGAACGATGATATTGTCTTATATCTCTGCTTTTCTTCTTTTAAGTTTTAAGTGCTCAGACAAGAAATTTACCTAATCTCCAAATAAAACTGCCTTGGTTATTTGCAACTTTTTTAAAGCTGCTGGTTCTGTAAGATAAAAAGTAAAAGGAATGTGAAAATTTGCGGGCACATAACTAAGAATGGTGGAATGGACCTATTACTGTGCATGGCAGAGTTTTGGAGAGAACATAATTACTTAGAATAGATCCTTATTTTTTGAATGTATTGGATGCAGAGGAATCTGAAACAGATATTGAAGGATCGGATGTTAGTGTCTCAGAAGGGGATGACACATCTTGGATCTCATGGTTTTGCAATTTGAGAGGAAATGAATTCTTCTGTGAAGTTGATGATGATTTTGTACAAGATGATTTCAATCTCTGTGGATTAAGTAGTCAAGTGCCTTACTATGATTATGCACTTGATTTAATTTTGGATGTTGAGACCTCCCACGGTAGGCATATTATTTTCTTACATGAATTCATGTGATGAAATTGAAAACGAAAATGTTTGATGTACACCTTAAAGGTCCAAACACCCACTATTTCGTGTTTTTTATTTAAATTAAAAAATGATAAATTAGTTTTATAATTAAAAATGGAGAGTGAGAGAGGTTGAATGGGTGTTTCTAACTTTTTGGGGTGTCAGTGAATCAGAACTCAATCGAAAAATATTTGTTTTTCTCTTCCTATCACTGTATTCCGACAAAAGTAAGGAAAAACTTCCCCCTCAAGTTGTTAATTTATATGACTTCTTCTGATAACCTCTTTGGCTATTCTGCTATTTGCTTGATTGACTGTTACTATCGTCTGTCCATTCCATTGTTTAGGAGACATGTTCACAGAGGAACAACATGAGTTAATTGAATCTGCAGCAGAGATGCTTTATGGTCTGATTCATGCCCGGTTCATTTTGACCAGCAAAGGAATGGCTGCAATGGTATGATTTTTCTCCTAGTTATCCTGGTTTTTTATGATTTATTGTGGACAAATTTGGCACTGATAAATGACATTGGATTATCTACAGCTTCACAAGTTCAAAAACTTGGACTTTGGCAGATGTCCAAGAGTTTACTGCTCTGGACAACCCTGCCTTCCAGTTGGCCAGTCAGATATTCCTAGGTCAAGTAATGTGAAAATATATTGCCCCAAGTGTGAAGACGTTTACTACCCAAAGTCCAAGTATCAAGGTAGTATCCTTTGAAGTGTCTTGTTGAACTCCTGTGAACTATTTATTCAAAAATTTAGATTTTGTTATGCATCCATTTATGCACTTCACCATTCCTTTCTAGACTCTTTTATTTGTCTGTCAATTAAGGTTGCAATTTGTTGGCTGTCATATAATGTTTTGGCTTTCAAGCGTTTCACTTCCCCTTTCATTTTACTTGCTGCTTATTAGTTTTTTTTTTTCTTTTTCTTTTTTCATTTTGTATCGGTATCTAAAATATAAAATAGAAAGGAAAATATGCGTGGATCGCAAGATCTTTTTGGTCATGCATGGGTTAATTATCATTAAGAATGACACAAGGAACTAACTAATTCGCAAAAGATTTCTTTTACTCGGATGAGCTGGAAGTGCTATATATACACAAAAATGACCAAGCTTTATTCTGAAAGGATTGTTTTGTACTTCAATTTTTTGCTTATGGTATTTGAGAATAAATTGTCATATATGAAATATGATTATTTGGGGAATAACACATAATATTATATCTACCTGTTTGAGTTTGCTTGTATGGGACTACCTTCTGAAGTTTTTTTTGCCATAGTAATGGGTGGATACACAAACACGTCTTTAAGTTCTGATCAAAGAAAAAAACAATACAAGTAGTACAGTTCTGATCAAAGAAAAAAAACCATGTCATAAAGTTCTGATCAAAGAAAAAAAAAACATGTCATAAAGTATCTCATATTCAAGGCTTTTGTTTATTACCGAAATTATGTGATTAGTAATTTAGTTGGCAATGTTTCAACTACACTGTTTGATATTATATACAAGTTTCTGTTTGCTTGATAAAGACATGTTCTTCTTCTATACCCCTTGATAAGGACAATTTTATGAAATTTCCGACTTGTGTGTATGCTTTGACAATAAATAAAAAATCAGAGAAAAAGAACTGGAAAATGGAAGTTTTTTCACTCATTTTTTACATAGCTGGTTGCCATCCCAATATATAGAGAAGCAAATGGTATAGAAAATTAATTTTATGAAGATGAGCTTGATTCCTTATGTCAGTCAACAAATTAGTTTGTTGATATTTGTCATTGCTAACTAGATTCTGGTTATTTTTGGAGTGACTGGGTCTTACTCTTTGTTTTTTGGCATATGATTGTTCAATATGATTTATGGAGGGAAATAATATACTGCATTTCATATACAAATCTCCTGAACTATATCTAGACATTGATGGAGCTTATTTTGGAGTTACATTTCCTCACCTCTTTCTGATGACTTACGGGAATCTGAAGCCACAAAAGCCATCACAGAACTATGTACCAAGAGTTTTTGGTTTCAAAGTTCACAAGTCCTGAAGCTGGGTAGAATTTCAAGTTTTCATCAAAGTAAGATTTTGAGCATGCCTTGTTTAGTCTTTGTTGTATTTCTTTGGAATCCAATGGATTTTCAGTTTCTGAAATCATTACAGTCTAAATCCACGTGTTTTGTAAACTGTAAAGATATATGCAGGCAGCTAGAGCTTAACTTTGCTTTCAGTTTCAAATTCAGTCTGCCTTTGTAAAGCTTTTCTGATAGAATTTTAGGTCAAATACTTGAATGCACTTCTCAATGTTTATGTTAAACCTGTCCAAGAAGTGGACACATGGCACTTTCTCATGAAATGTATTCCTGTAATTTTCTTATGAAATGTATTCCTACCTCTTGCCTTCATTCCTTTCAATCTTTTTTTCTTGAAGTTCTATCTCTCTACTTGTTTAAATGCACAAGAACTTCATTTTCAAATGGAATTAAATATTTATACAACAAAAGTATTCAATAGCTTACACAACACTCCTTTCTTCATCGCATTTTCCATTTTATCTCATATTTTTCTATCTTCTCTTCCTAATTTTTTCTTATTTCAAATTGCTCTCTTCATACTACTAAGTTATTGACTGATCTGTTTGGGTTTCAGTTCTGATATTATGAATATGGCTCTCTATCTTTTCCCATATATTATTTAAGCAATAGCAAATATTAGTAGGTAATCATATAGGTAAGAGATTAAAATTAGTACCTCAAAAATTTGTCTGTTGGATTTATTAAATGTTGTGTATTTAGAAGTATCAATTCAATGAGTTAAGTCTAGATATAATAAAAACATATTTAATCTTTATTTTTTGGTAAGAAAAATAATCATGTTTTTATTTGTTTCATGTTCATAAAGGTAAAATATACTTTGATATGGGTAAATGGAAAATAAATATTTTTTTTGTGTAATCAGTATGTAGTATTATTTGTCACTGTTCACTTCAATGATACAGTTGTTGTATTGACGAGAAATAATCAATGACTGTTAACAAATATTATACATTTGTGCGAGTCATTTCATTTCTGATGTTCATGTTGTAATGTATTCAGGCCGTATTGTGTCTTGAATTTTTAAAAATTTGCTGCATCTTTCTGAAAAGGTGGAATACAAAACTTATACATCTCATTCAATACAACAACAAATCATTTCGATACAAGTGATTTTGGGTTTACCCTCTTACAATATACAGATTGAAAAAAAATAAAAAAATCCTCGTGCTAGAGAGAAGTAAATATTGTGTTACTTGATATTTGACACTTTTTTCTTCTAACCTTTTTTTCCATCGCCACAAGATATTGTAAACCGTGTGCTTGTATACATGTTAAAAAACAATGACCATTTTAAAAAAATGAAAACGCGAAAGTGAAAACAATAACTACTAGTTTCTTAGTGAGTGTGAGAAATCACTACTCAAACAAGTAACCATACTATGAGATGTTAATCAGTGTCCTTGGAATAACTAATTTTAGCTTATAAAAAAATTCATTTTATTTTTCTTTAACAAAAGAGCTCATGAAACTTAAGCATGTACATCATTCATGTCAAAGTAACTATGGTAATTCAGGGATGAGTTTTATTTCCTCTGACTCTTTATCTTGACTTTTTTAAATTATTTATTTTTATTTCTGATTCTCGTTACCATTAAAAATTAAGTTTTTATCTCCGATTTTTAGAGGTTTTAGATTTTTTTTATTCCTCTCCATTTTATATTATTTTTTTAAAATAATTATATTTATAATAAATTAATTTTAATATTTTTAAATATATTTTTATATAAAAATAAATATTTATTTTTTTTAAAATGTTTGATTTTTTTTATTAATTAAGTATATATTTTAATTTATTATATTTATATTAAAATATGTATATAAAAAATGTTTAATTATTTTTTTATGTAGATATAAAATAACATTATTATTATTATTTTTATATATTATAATACTTAGGAAGATTATATTATCTATTCTCATTTTTATTTATTTTTCTGACTTTTTAAAATAGAAAAAGAATCTGAACTCATTTTGTTACTATCAACTTAATTTTTTTTCATTAAATTAAAAAAAACAATTAATTCTCTCGTAGATATAGATTTAATTGTATTTCTATCTCCATGGTAGTATAAGCTACTTCCACGTTAATAACAAGATTAATCAAAGCAGCCAACTTTCAAATGGAGATTATGAGTAATTTAGTCCTATTTCATGATTTGGCTCTCCTGTATATATTAATTGCAAAAGAAGCTCCTAAGAACATTGACATTGAAAGGGATAAGGACAAGTGTTTGTTTGGGTAATGAAATGTAAGGCCATGACTAGGATTATTATTGCCAAACCTGGATAAGAACAAAGTAAGGACACTCAACCTCACCATTGATTGGTGCAAAATCATCACATGTGGAGATTCCACCGCCTTTTTAAATTCTTATCTTATCACTCTAATTATATATGTTTATTTTTTAATTTGAATCTCACTTTTGTTGTTAATCTTATTTTATTGCGAATCCTCTCCATTCATTTGTTATAATGTTATCATCATAATTCTTAGGTTTAGTATAATTAAATCTCTCCGATAATGATGTGGCACTACTTTTGTCGACATCATAGTTTTTTTTAATCAATGAAGAATAACATGGGCACTGTTCCACATGATAAATTTAAAAGGGTATGGTGTCATTTTCAAATCACTTTGTTCTATCTTTTCTTTTTTAAAATAACATAATTAATTGGTTTTAAAAAATTAAGATTCGGCAAAAAAAAAAAAAGTTGAGAGGAGGGTGGCGTTTACGTAAATATAGGTGAAGCATGTGATTGATTTGTCTGAGGTTCAGAGTTTGTTCCCAATTGAGGATTATTTGCAATAAAAAGCTGAAACGAAATCAACGTGTGCCTCAAACAGCGTGCCACGTGGGTGCGGTTTCGGAACAGTTATCGTCGTTACCTGCTACTGCAGTTGCGTTAGGAGAGGGGATCTCAATGTTTATTACATATTTGCCCTCGATGTGCTTTCAATTTACGAATTAAACCTCTCACCATTTTTATTCTGTAATTTTATAATTATCTAATGTTTTCTCACCATTTACAATACTTCTACAAATAGCTTAATATGCATTCATTATTTTAACTTATTTCAATAAACTTTCCATAATAACTTACAATTTGTATAAAATTATTTTATTTTATTTTTTTGCTTTAACTTACTGAGAGTACAAACTAGTTTTTAAATATTTGTTAATTTTATATAAAAAATTTATTTGTAGTTTGGAAATCAATTTAAAATACACAATATTTTTATATGTAACATTTTGAAATTTAAATTATTAAAATTGGGACAATAGTTTTTAATTTTTATATTATTGAGATGCATAAAAAAAACATTTCCTCTCTTTTTTTTTTGTCTTTTTCATATGGTTTTACAAAAACTTTTTTTCTTTTAATTCCTTTTCTTCACATTGATTAACAATAATGTATTGTTGTCTTTGGATGAGGAAAATTTCAATGATTTTGAGATATGAAATTTTAATTTGTTTAAATTTAAAATCCTCGTATTTTTAAATATTTTGTTTTAATAAATCAATAAAAACTTCAGACATTACTCAAAATCTCAAAATCTAAATTTATTTATCTAAAGAACATATGTTAAAATGAGTTTATAATATTATCAACATGTTCAATATGGAACAACTTAAACAAAAAAACTAATATAGTCAGATTTTATTTAATAAATCTTTTATTAAGTGATTTGCATAAAAAGTAAAAAATCTATACATTGAATATATCAGAGATAAGTAGAATATGCTTGAATTCAAAGATTTGAGTGAGAAATCACAACTTCAAAAGATAATAGTCGCAACTGACGTTAATGTCGTTGACTATCACATAGTTTGACAAGTGATATCATATCTACGTGGCAAGTATCTGTTAACAAAAAATATGTTTACTTATTAATTTTGTTGTAGGGAGTCATAAACATAATAAAAATGAGGATAAGTTTGAAATTCATTTACATGCAATTTTTCCTATCTAACTGGCTTACTAAAGCACTGAACTTCTCTTAATTCAGTTAATTTCTTCATATTTTTTTCATGAATTAATATGAAAAGAAAATGTAATTAATAAATAAACAACACAGATATTAACCTGCTTAATCCAACTTGCAAAGAATGGTCCAATAAGCACCAAGTTAAATTTTAATTATTGTTGCTATATCATGTCATTATTGCATATTATATTCGTATTTTTAATGTATTGAGATGTTAATAATTATTGTAAAAAAAAGTGAGGTATTATTAATTTAGTAATTTAATAAATAGAATATTTAATTTAATCCTTGAATATATATAAAAATTAATATGATTATATCCTATTTTTAATTTCTGCAATCCATTTGACTGTTTATTTGTTAATTAACTTATTGTACATTATTAATTTATTGAGTAAATGCTTATATATAAAAACAAAATACATTCAAAATTTTAAAATGAGTAGTTAATTTTCCAAAATTACTAACACAAAACATTTTATAGTATGTTATTGATCCTTTTGAATTAATATTTCTAAAATAATTTAGAATTAGTAATTTTATATTAGGACACGATTAATTTTATAGATTAGTATTTTGTTGAAAATAGAAGAAAAATAACTATATAACCAAAGTACCTGATGATAATGATCTTTATAAAATAAATATTTAGAAAATATAATTTTGTGCCTGTATGTTTTGTTTTACCCCTCAACTATGAAGTTGCTTTGCAACCTAACCATCTAGGGTTGTACTTTTTTTTAGTGGCAATTTAGTAAATTCAGACAAAGGGCGAGGCTCTTTAATTTCAAATGCAACCTTTTGCAAATCCCTCTTATCATCGCATCCCATTGGCTTTGGCATTTGCAGCGCATTGGACCCAAAACAAACACAAACTGCACTTTCCCACCACCCTTTCCTCTTTCATTCCAACAAAATAAACCAAAGACACAGAGAGCAGCAGCAAGTAGCATACACAGAAGAAAAACAAAACCATAATCACAATCGGAAAACACTTCCTTTGTGTTAATGCATCACCAACAAAACCCCGACCTTCACATCGGAGAAGAGAACGCCCTCCTCTCTTCTGATGATGCCACTCCAACTCCTCCTCACCAAAACCAAAAACAAACGCAAACCCATTTCTCAATTCAGGTTTCACCCTCCTCTCCCCATCCACCGCCACCAAACTCACCAAACACTCCCTGTCACCATGAACGTTTCTCCAATAACCCATCTCAAGCCTCGCCCCGCAAGAGAGTACCCGTCATGACCCCCCCTTACCCTCTCTTCTCGACACCCTTTGGCGCAAAGTCTCCAACTCCGAAGCTCCTCCCTCGCTTCCGCTTCCTCATCTTCCTTTCCCTTCCTTCCCTCTACTTTCTCTTTTCAAACCCTAGCCCTTTGGATTTCTTCTCCGTTGTCGCTTTCTCGGCAGCACTGTTGATTTCCCTTAATCTGGCACTGTTGCTCTTCACTCGATTGTTCCCCGCCAAGTTCTCATCATCGTCTTCTTCTTCTTCCTCCTCCTCCTCCTCCTCCTCTTCTACACACCCTGTGGTGTGGTCTATCGGGTCGAACCCTAAGCAAATGAAGAGCACGAGTTGGGGGTGTTGGGTGCAAGTTTACAGCAATGGGGATGTGTACGAGGGTGAATTCCAGAAAGGGAAGTGTTGGGGGAGTGGGGTTTATCACTATCACATGAGTGGGAGGTATGAGGGGGATTGGGTTGATGGGAAGTATGATGGCTATGGTGTTGAGACATGGGCTAGGGGAAGCAGGTACAGAGGGCAGTATAGGGAGGGTTTGAGGCATGGAATGGGGATCTATAGGTTCTACAGCGGTGATGTGTACGGTGGTGAGTGGTCTAACGGGCAGTGTCATGGTTTTGGCGTCCACACTTGCAATGATGGGAGCCGTTATGTTGGTGAGTTTAAATGGGGTGTCAAACATGGACACGGACAGTACCATTTCAGGTGTGTTTTTGTTTTTTAATTTACAATCAACAGATTCTTCAGTTATGATGTTTTAAAATGTCATTCACCTTAGCCCTTAACGTTACTAGGAATAAGAATAAATTTCTCAATAATAAGTCTTCATAGGAGAAGAAAATAAAGAAGTGAAATGGCTTAAGTTTCTATTAACTTAAAACTGGCTTACACGTGTGTTAATTTATAGAAACCCTCTCATTTAAATTCTCTGAATGCTGATTTTTAATACATGCAAATACTAATTTTAACATTTAAGATGAATTCAATTCATTTTACCCTTTTATTGTATTGTTTTATGTGTCTTTTGAAAAGTTTATCCAACCAAGACGTATGATGCAAACAATGTTTTGCAAAGTGAGGGACTATCATTGTGTTATGCAGTTATAGAAGAAAGTGATGTGGCTGGTGTATACAATTTCTAGAATTAAAGTGGGGGTTTAATTTTACTCTATTGAAATTTTACAGAATCTGTGTTTAGGTTTTGTCTTCTCGATGTTCATCTGGCCAGGAGAAGTTTGTGTCAGTATTATTGGATCCAATATGCCAATGCTTCAGTTATGAGTTCTTAAATTTGCCCATATTAGATCTGGAGATAGTCGCGTCTGATAGTCATTATGATTCTAGACCCCTTTTTGATATAAGTTTTGATTGCAAATATGACCATTCAAATTGTCAACAACCCGTGTTAAACACACAAGTTTGATTAATGAGTTTTTACATTCCCTATCTTATTTTACAAATTTACGGGGATATTGAGTTTGCCTTCTTTGCTTTTACACTGTAGTTCAATCAATTGTTTCTAACATTTACTTCCAGAAGCCAAATGGGCTGGTCTAGTTTCTCACTAACCACAAATCAACAATTTAATCAAACGTTCTGTATACTTTTTCAACTCATTAAGATCAAAGCACAGCTTGTTTGTAGGCATGTGTCAGTAGATCAAAGTTTTTTGTGCCACGTTTCTTGTAGACAATGACCTGCTTATTGATGATCTTCCTGAAGATTATGAATTTGCTTCCCCTTCATGCTTAATCAAATTATCAAGTATGTTATGTCTCAATCAATTTTACCTGCAATATACACAACTTGCTAGAAGATACTTGAGAAGCGATATGGAATACTGACTCTGTTACTCTGTTTCAGTGTAAATGCACTTGAAGTATTTCTCAGTTACTATATCAGTATATAAGAATATAAGTATGACTCTGTCTAACTTCTTCAACCTTGCATCATTAATAATTGGAACTCAGAATTAATTTGTTCCACGTTTCAAGAACTGTATAATTTCCTATTCTTGACCAGTTCTCAGTTTTTAACATGGATCAAAGAACAATCTCATTGGAAGATGGTACAAGGCTGTTTTTGTCATTAATGTTGTGGTATCTTAGTTCTCTACATATATTGAATGCATTACAATAGAACAATTGTGGTGCGAAGGCTTGATTTACTCAACAAATATGAAAATATCTTTTAAATAAATGTGTCTTTACACATATTATGTGTACTGCAGAAATGGGGACATATACGCTGGTGAATATTTTGCAGACAAGATGCATGGTTTTGGAGTGTATCAATTTCAGAATGGTCATCGATATGAGGGGGCATGGCATGAAGGAAGAAGACAAGGACTGGGAATGTACACTTTCAGAAATGGGGAAACACAATGTGGTCACTGGCAGAATGGGGTTCTTGATGATCCTAAAAGACATAATAGTCCTACTGGGTCTCCATGTGATGTGGACCATGCCAAGGTTTCAAATGCAGTACAGGTAATGTTATAGTTTGCACTTATGATGGATTAATATGTATTTAGTAACTTGTACCAAGAACACAGTAGATTGGAAAAGAAAGGGACAACAGGATTCTTTTATTAGGAAAAGGGTAAACTTAAAGCATTGATATAAATATAATTAACCTCCTTTCCAATGTGCAAGCATAGACACAAGTTATGAAAAAGCAATTACACTTGATTAAATGCTTTAAATTAGTAAAAGAAACAGTAAACATGAAATGACTTTTTGTACTTTCAATATAATAAATACTTATATTTTTGGCCCTGTGCTCTCAATAGAAAACCCGAATAAGCTCATGTTGTTTTGCCTCTCATAATATAGTTGCTTTCCTTCTTTCTTCCTGGTTGTTATTATGAAGGATAATCAAAAAACAAAATCAGGAAGAAACCTGAATTTTCCATAACGTCATCAATTTGGCTTTCTGCATAAGGTGCATGGGCAATCTAGTGGACCTTAACCACGATGTTTACTTCTCCCGTTCTGTGCAGGATGCACATTCTGCTGCAGAGAAAGCTCACAACATGACAAAGGTGGATGACGGGATGAATAAAGTAGTGGCAGAAGCTAATAAAGCTGCTAACGCAGCCAGAGTTGCAGCTGTAAAAGCTGTGCAAAATAGGATGCAACATAACAGTAATAATAATGATAAATGATCTTAACCATTTCCTCAATCTGGTGATGATGGAAAGTGTCATCCCACAATTATAGGTTTGCATACAGAACATTATTAGATATGAAGAAGCAAAGGAAGCAAAAAGAATTCAAGGAAGGAGAATCATAAACATGTGCAAATAATGATATCTTCTCACAAACTTGAAAACAAAGTTATGAACATTTTCTTCCCCTCTCCACTGGAGATATGTTTCCTTTTCTTGTGTCGTGGTACAGGTGCGAGGTGTGCCTGCTTGGAACCACTTTCAGTAATTGAACACAATGGCAGATTGTGGAGCAAGTAGGTCCTCACTTTTGGTGTCTGGTTTTATGTGTATAAGAAGAGTAAGAAAAATAGAGTATAGAGTTTGAATGTGTAAGGCAAAGGTGCCAAAAAGATGTAGCGTAGGATTTACATGTTGGCTTCTTGCCATAAACATGTTAGTGTATCTATCCATGTGGGTGCATTTAAAAAGTTGCCCACCAACTAGTGCTGTATGTGCTTGGTGAAGAGTTAAAGCTTTAGAAAGCTGAATTTCGTTATCATGCAAACAACCATGTATAATATTATTTCTTAAAATAGTAAAAGGTGATTGAAGGTGAAGGTCTGTTGAATAAAAGAATTATATCTTGTACAATGAAAGTGACATCACAGCAATTTCTACAGTAACAAATGTCAGTGGTGTCAAACAAGCTGGTTTGCTAATCAGTATTATGCTCTGTAAAATATTCTTAAGAGAAATATTAGAAAATACATCTGATTAAAACTCTCTTTATCGTATTTTTAAATCTAAATGTGATTTTAGTTCTTATAAATATGTTTAAATTTGGTTTTAGCTCTAAGAAAATTGTTAGTTTTAATCTTAAAAAACTAAAAATGGTCCCTGCTTTGTATATAACATGTCGACTTAACAGTCAATCTGAAGTGATATGAAAATAGTGAAAAGAATAATCTTTTGTAATTGTGATGTCTCAAGAATTTAATCTCTCTAAAATAAATGTTTACTCATAAATTAGGCATGGCTACGGCGGGACGGTTAGGTTTTACCTCCCCATTTTCCGCTTTTATTTTTTATTTTTTAACGTTTCTGTTCTTAATTTTTGTTGGGTTATAAATTAAGTTCTTATTCTTATTTCCGTTGTGTATCGAGTTTTTTCGTCTTGTTCATGATCTATATTATTTTTAAAAAAATAATTATATTTATAAAAAATTAATTTTATTATATACTTTTTATATATAAATAAATATTTATAATTCTTATTAATTAAATATATTTTTAATTTATTATATTTATATTAAAATATATATGTAAAATAAATAATCAATTATTTTTTATTTATATATATAATATTTATAATAATAATAATATTATTATTATTATAACTCGTTTATAACTCGTATTCAAATATTTAAATACTTATAATTATAATAATAATAATAATATTATTATTATTATTATTATTATTATTATTATTATTATTATATATTCATATATTTTATTACATATATAAGTTAATTCATTTTTGAGTTGTCATTTAAAAATATATAAATATATAGTTTATAAGAAAATATTTAATAAGTTAATTCTTATTTAATTAATTCGAAGTAATAAAAGTTTAAAATTATTAATTTTTTAAAACCTTTTAAATATAATTATTTTATTAAGATAAAATTTGATATATGACAAATAAGAATAATAAGATCCAAAAAATATGACATAATAAAACCTAATAAATATAAATTATAAATAAAATAATATTAGTTACGATTATGATTTATATAAAATATTTAAAAAAAGATAAAGAAAAAAAACTTATGTGTTCATCAAATTGATTGAAAAGATTAAAAAAAAAAACAAATTGATTGGAGAGATTAAGGAAATGTGAAAAAAATGAAAAGAGAAAGAAAATAATGTAATTAACTAATTTATATAAAAGAATGAAAAAGAAAAAAAAAGTGGATAGAAAAAAAGTAAAAATGTTAAAATATAAAATATGATCTTATATGTAATAGGAAAAAAATGAAATACTTTTAAAATATTAATATTTTAAAATTTAAATTTAAATAAAAAATTTGGGCGGGGACGGGATTAAGGTGGGTATTGCATTACCCATCCCGGTCCCGCCTCGACTTTTTTAAAATAGAGAAAATCTGAATTTACCCCGATCAACTCAAATTTTTTTCATCAAATTTGGGATTAGAACGGTTCGATCGCTACAAATACGAGTTTAATTATCTTCTTACTTGATTGTGTTGAAAACAAACACTTTATATTTACGTTACTTAATATAAAGTATAGACAAATGTTGAAAGTTTTAAAGTTTATGATAACAAAATTAAATTAAAAAAATGGTTTTAACTATCTTTATAATGAATAAAAATATATTTTATTCTATTTTTATATTATAAGATGGTGAATTGTCGTGAACCTACCTAACTGCCTGAGCAATTTCTATTTAGCATTATTCACAACTTCAATAATTAAAATATATGGCTGCATTTTTTTTATGTTATGAAATACCTAATACATAAAAATTATTATCCTCCTAAAATTTCTTTCGTATGTATTTGAGTTATATTCTTCTTAAATATTATTAATATTATATATTCATATCTATATTATATATAAAATAAATTTTTATCACTTATCATTATTTGTATAATATGTTACTATTAATAATAAAAATAAATATCTATATTATATATAAAATAATTTTTTATCACTTATAATTATTTGTATAATATGTTATTATTAATAATAAAAATAATAGTAGTAACACGTATAAAAATAAATAAAGAAAATGAATATATATTAAAAAATTATTTTTAAAATATTAAAAAAGTTATGACTGAATCTATATTTCATAAAAACAATAAAAAAAATAATAGACAACGTTGTAAATATGATATTAAAAATAAATTTTTTTCTTTTATATTATAACCATTTATTATAATTAATTCAAAATACCAAATCTATTTCATTAATGATTTTTTTCCATCAATTAGATTATAGTTTTTAAAAAGAGGAATAAACTAATGTAATTTTTGTATACTATTAAATATTAGTATTATATTATTTATTTAAAAAATATTTTTCATTACTCTTGGTAAAATTCACAAATCCAACTATTGTACATTTAAACCGTCTGTTTAAAAAATATTTTAGTAATTCTAAAACATTTTCATATTCTTATAAATAATATTTAGAATTGATATCTCACTTTCAATAGAATTTGTTACAATATTTTTTAAACTAATTTATATTAAATTTTTATAGATTTGTTATGATATTTTTAAATAATTTATATTAAATGTTTATAAATTTTATTTTAACGGAATGTATTTTATAAATATTTATATTTTATGATATTTTTTATTCATATTTCATTTAATAATTTTAAATATAATAAATTACTATAATTAAATATTAATTTAATATAGTATTTTAACTTAAAATAATAATAAATATATAAGAGGGTTTAAATTTTTAAAATACTATTTTTCAAATTTTTTTTATAAAACTATTTTTTTCAAAAGTTATAAGATTAAAATTAAAACCAAATTGATTTAACAGAAATTAAAAATACTTAAATAAATAATATATATTATTATTATAACATTGTTATTATTTTTTAAAATAAAACAACAATATAAAAGTTTTTATCATTTTAATTAACACATTAAATAATTTAAAACTTAATTTAAAGCAGTATTAAGTACTGATTCAATACAGTATTTTTAAAATAACGATTCAAAATTATTAAATACACAAATTGACTTTAAAGTATATATGTAAAGTAATTTAAAAATAAAACACCAGTTTATAATTTTTAGACATGTGTAGTAAATCTCTTAAAATGTGTCAAAATGTATAATAATTACTTTAACAAATATAATTTAATTAAAAAAAGTAATATTAATTAAATTTCTAGTTTAAAGAGATTTTTTAATAAAGACACGTTATATTAACTGGGAGACAAATAATATAATAAAAAGAGAAATTTATCTGAATAAATGTTAAAATTACTCTCCTTTTTATTATTATTATTTTATTAATTTAATTTTTATTATATTAAAGAAAAAATAAATAACAAAGATAAAGAAGAATAAATATACGACGGTTGATTTTTACAATAAACAAAAGTCCTGTTATATCATAAATATTATCCATTATTATTTTTTTAATCAACTTTCTCTTGTTTATTAAAATTATTACAAATTACAATCTTATATTTAATGTCGTTCTTACAATTTTATAAATTTCAATCCCTAGAACGTTGTTTAAAAAACTATATAACGGAATTTATTATTAACTATTCTTAATTATTATTTTTGATAGAAAAAGATTGTGTGAGATATTGGAAATAAAATTAAAATAAATTACATTATATTTTGGATTTATGAATTGTGATTGATATTCTTTAATTACTTGGGAAATAAATATTTTTACCTTCAACATATGGCACATTTGTCTTTTCCGGATGTCATAATCACATTGTCATCACGTAGAAACATGTGATTTTTATATTTTAAAATGTAATAATTAAATGCATGTTAATATAATATTAAGATATTCACAATATTTTTTATCTGTGAAAAATCATCACATTAGATTAGCAGTAGTGTTAAAGAGAAATCATATCTGACTCACTTGGAAACACTCGCAGCAGAGAAAAAAAATTAGGACGATATATTGACTATTTTATTATATACATATATATATATATATATATATATATTCAAAAAAATAAATATAATGATAATATATAGTTTAATACAAAAAGATAATATAACTATTTACAATTATTATTAAAAATTAGTTTATATATAATGTATGTTAAAATATATTGTTTTAATAATTTATATTCTTAATTGTTATTTTAAATTTAACTATATACTTTAAAAATAATTTTCTTTATTCAATACTTCAACATTAGACAATTGTTTGTTAAATATATCACATATTTATTTGAAAAAAAATATTATAATAAATAGACAAAACAATATAAAATATAAATGTTGGGGGTGAGAATTATTAAAAGAGAACTCAAAGGTTTAACCTTTACATTCTTACTTTACAATATTTATAATAAAGTTATTGGAATCAAATATAAAAATAAAACATGATTTAATTTTATTTGAATTATAAAATTATTAAAAATATTATAATTATTAATCTCATATTTATAATAAAATTATTTAATCTTACTATTAAAAACTATAATATAAATATATTATCATATTTTGATAAAAGTGAATATATGATGAGAATACACCTCTCAAAATCAACATCTAACACTTTTTATTAATAATATTAATAATAATAATAATAATATTTTATTTGACTTGCATTAATATCTGGATTCCGAAATCTGAGAAAAATAAACTTTATCAATTAATTAATAATAATGTGGGAGGAGAAAGAAAAGTGATGATATATAGAAATGGAAATGGGTTGTGTTGCGTTGTATTGTAGGTAATCAAAAACCCTAGCCCTCACCCCTTCACTCTCTCCCAAATTTTTTTTTTTCTTTTCATTTTTGGACCATGTTTCGCTAACTTCAACCATCGCAAGAGAAAGAAGAAGAGATTTAGGGATAGGGCAGGGATTAGGGATGTACAAAGAACGAGGAGGTGTTTCCGTCACTGTTTCTGCTTCTGCTTCCAAATCGGAGGATCGGAAGCGAATCAACGACGTCCTCGACAAGCACCTCGAACGATCCTCTCCGTCCACTTCACGGCCTGTCAACGCCACCTCCAAAAATTCCACCCTCCAAGGTACCATACATTATTCTCTTGTCACAGAAGAGGCCACTACAGAGGAGCTTAATTAATTGCAAAAAAGTTAACATAATTTGTAATTTGATGTGCATTGAGTGCAGCGGAGGAATCTGAAACGGAGAGTGAAGAGTCCGATGTTAGTGGTTCTGATGGGGATGACACCTCTTGGATCTCGTGGTTCTGCAATCTCAGGGGAAACGAGTTCTTTTGCGAGGTTGATGATGATTACATCCAGGATGATTTTAACCTCTGTGGATTGAGCAGTCAAGTGCCCTACTATGATTATGCCCTTGATTTGATTCTCGATGTCGAATCATCCCATGGTCAGTTTTGTTACTGTACTCTGTTCTGAGAATTGTTGGCCTTTTGAGATGAATTCATTTGACTATGATTACTACTGTGGTTTCGTTATCAATGTTTAGATGTTTTGGGTTTCGTCACATTTGAATGCAATCTCCGGCAGTATCGAGAACTGCGACACAAATTTGAATACAACTTAAAATCATTATTGAGCATTTATTCAATTACCTTTTTATAATGGTTACATGGTTTAGTTGGAATGTGTAGGTGACATGTTTACGGAGGAACAGAATGAGTTGATTGAATCAGCTGCGGAAATGCTTTACGGTTTGATTCATGCCAGATATGTGTTGACCAGTAAAGGAATGGCTGCCATGGTAAGATTTTTTGGTTGGTTATCGTTCTTTTCTTTCTTAATCATCCAGGGGATTAGCTTGATCGGTGACGTTGGAAGTTTTGCAGCTTGACAAATACAAGAACTATGATTTTGGTAGATGCCCAAGAGTTTACTGCTCTGGACAGCCCTGCCTTCCAGTTGGTCAATCAGACATTCCTAGGGCAAGTACTGTGAAAATATACTGCCCTAGATGTGAAGATCTATACTATCCTCGCTCCAAGTATCAAGGAAGTATCCTTATATATTGTCTATTACTGAACCTCTTTTGTGGGGGACTTGAGCTGATGCAGCAGCTATTTATTATAACTGTGTCACTAAGAATTATATTTTTATTCTCTTGTGCCTCCAATTGCATCCTTCCTCGAGTTTCACTCTTGAGTCTGACCATATAAACTGTTTGCTTGCAAGGATGTGTCCTTTTTATTATGGATTATTTGGAAATATACTTCTTACTTATATCCAGTTTGTGTTTGCTTCTTTTGAAAGAAAAAAAAATTGCATGTGGATCATAAACTATTTTCTCAGTATGATTTACCATGTATTAGAATTTCTGGACACTATACAATCTCTCTTTTTTTCCTAAAAGTATACTTGGATGTCTTCTTAATGTAGTCTATACTATACAAGAGAAAGTAATATTCAGATAACACTTTTGTTTAAGTTTTAACTGTTATGAGAAGTGGGGGTTCTAGTTGTTTTAGTAACAGTGATATGATATCTGATGTCTAGTAAATGCCTGGTCATGTATGAAAACTATTCCCATATTTTCTTGTTTGACACAAATTATATCTGCAGCTGCTGTATGGCTCAAGCATTAGGGCTGTAAAATGTTGGATGATTAATTTTCTTTAATCTCTCAAACTTAAGTGTATTCATCTTGATATTTCTGTTTATTTTCAAATTGCCTGACATTATTTTGTTTATTTGTTTGTCTTGCATTCTTTCTGTAAAACTTTAATATTTTAAATGTTGATGTGTATATGATTTTTGGTATGATTGTAAGGAACACTATATAATTGCTGCTCAAATTTAACTCCCAAATTCCTTAAGTCTGTCTAGACATTGATGGAGCATATTTTGGAACAACATTTCCACACCTCTTCTTGATGACATATGGACAACTGAAGCCACAGAAACCATCACAAGGCTATGTTCCAAGAGTTTTTGGGTTCAAAGTTCACAAGCCATAAAGCTGATACTGAAACTTTCATGGAAGTAAGAATCTGCTGCCCATGTCTCATTTAACTCTTCCTCCTTTTGGTACTCATTGCCGCATCCGGCGGTCATAAGCTTTCTGAACCAGTACAATCTAGGCATCTGTTTTAGGAGTGTGTTGTAAAGAAATATGCAGACATGTGAAGCAAGTGCTTAGTTTCAGCTTCAGATTCAATGAGCAACGTTTAGGTACTTGATGCTTTTTTTTAATGGCCTACAAATTGTATTATTGCTATTAACTTAATATTGTTTGTGGTTATGTCTCGGATTACAGCTTCCCTACTTTTATCTCGTTTATTCCATTTGCACCATTTATGTAGTTTTTGAATTTGTGGATATGATCCCAAAGGATTCATACATTTTACTGGTTTTAAAGTTAGCTTGCTTGGATGTTAAACTCACGTACAACATTAATATTGATTATATGGAAAATATGAATATGTACAATATGACCGACTTCAAGTCAGTTTGTTGTGTTCTGAATATATGGTTACTGACTTCAGTGACTTGTGAAACATCGCCCTATGCGTTCGCACCTGTTAGCATACATAAATACTTCCTTGATGGAGAATTTCAACTGTTGAAAAATGTGAGCTATTATCTATTCACTGGCGTATATAGCTTTTTCTACAACTTCCATTTTGTTCAATCCCTCGGTTCAGTTCTACAACTTGCTACACTCCAGACTGACGTCGTGCCCGCATAATCCTTGTTTTGGCTCCTATTAACTTTTTGGTTCTCGTTATTCATTTTTCAATCGTAATAGTTGCGGATCAAACTAGTTCTGTTCTAGCCGAGACAACTAGTTTGGTCGTTAATCGGTTCTATTTCACTTGTCCTTAAGACGGTTGATGATCGGATTGATTGAACTGGCTATTGAGGTGGTTGTTTATGATAGTAATTGTTAAATGATCAGGCAATAAATCACCAGGGAATTTTTAAATAAATTGGTAGGGATGGTAAAACCGGTTATGTTTGGTTTGGTAGGTAGGTCGTCCCTCATGTGACCGGGTGGGTTATTATTTTTAGCACATTTTGGCAAATCGCAGGTTAATTTGACTTATTTTATTTTATTAATATTTTTTTATAATGATATAATATAAAGAGTTAGGTCAGTTCATAATTTATTTTATTGATAATTTTTTTTATTGTGATACAATACAGATAATATATAATATAAAGATTTATAAAAAAATTTTTTAAAAGTTTAAGAAATTTATATTTTAAAAATACTTTCCTTTTTTAAGTATAAACCTCTTTTTTTTTTATCATCTTTTTATTCATTTTTTTTATAAGGTAAAAATTACGTCTATTTTATTTTAATATAAAAATAAAGATTTAATAATTTTTTATTATTATATACATGTATTTATTATTATATAAATTTTATCTTAATTTAATTATTCTAAAACATAATTTATTAAAATAATATATTAATTTATATTATTATCTTAAAATATATATAACGATGATAATTTTATTATTAAATTTATTGAAAAATTTTATTTAAAAATAATAAAATAAAATAAGACAAAATATATGATAGACCAATTCACCCTTTAACGAAGTGGGCTGAGACTTATAATCTATCATGACTGCCCGTCCTGTTTTTTATGGATGGTCCGAACTGACCCGTTTTATCATCATTGTTATACCTTACAATTTTATATAAATCCTTCAAGTTACTTCTATGCAAATTGATTGAAGAACAAGAAAACTATTAATAACTACTCATGGACTAGTTAAGTAGTCGTGACTTGATAATCTTTTGGGTGGACTTTTGCGTCACCCTCAGAATGCAATTGACGCCCCCATAATAATTAAAATACCTTCCTTGGAACATACCATTAAAGAATGTGTGAAAATACAATTCCTTTATTATTTCCCGCAATCACCATTTGGCTGCAGAGAAGCAGTAAATACCTAACTTTTTTTTGTATTTTTGCATTAGTTTGTCTCGATTAACTTACTACGAACACTTTCATGGTGTTTGATTACCGAATTACAAGTTGACATGCCCACTACAGGATTATTTGGAAGACGAACATTTCAACTTCTCTATAAATGAATATATATACAAGCAATTAAAAATATATATATATATAAATAATTATTTTTAATTTTAAAATAATAATTTAATTTATATTTTTTGCGAACCTTCTCTCCAAAAAAAAAATTCATCCAACTATATCCAAAATTAACAAGTGTATAAAGTCTAGTTTCTAATCACAAAGAAAACCAAATTGCCAGCCAGCTCAATTCACCTATCTTCAAAGTTTACAAATTTTTTTATAACAATTTGCAAAATTAAAGGCTTCATAACAATTTGAATCTTTAATAGCATAAGTACCGTTCACACATACTGGTTCATCTCCGATTAAGCGGAAAATAGGTTGACCGGCTCCCTTTATAATGAGTCAATATTTTCCATTCCTACCGAGTTGGTGGATTTCCTTACTAACCTATTTAATGTGGATTAGGTAATTCGGATTCATTTGACCCATATTCAATAAAAAAAAAAAAATCAAATCCATCCCAACTCGATTTCAGAGTGAACCGGATTCACCCATGGATTAAAAACATATTGACACCCTGAGCAACATCAATTTAAATTGCTTTTGAAAAATAAATGAAACCTTACGCCAACACTTTGAACCAAACAGGAAAACATAGCATTCAAGGCGGTGTTACACCTATTCATTTTCCTACTTAAAATTTCTTAAAACTAGACTTTGAAAATTAACATCTAAATATCCAACTAGTCCAAATACCAATTCAATGGAAAAATAGCCTCGTAATTTGAGCCATAAAATTCTGAAATATTATTTTTATTGCCAGCTCTCCTTCACTATAATCATGAAGTAAAGCAGATCCATCAAAAAGTAGAAGTAAACGTCAGAGCTTGGCATAGGCTTAAAACTTTCAAGAGAAAAGAATTTGAGGAGTAAATTAAACTTCATCTTAATAAGCATGGAAATAAACAACTCAGCTCCTAAATTTGAAAACAATAATAAGAAACTATGAAGCAAAATTAATCTGAAAAAGAGATCCAAACAACTAAATTCTTAAGAGTCATCTCAGGTAAAAATTTAAAGGGTTTACTTTTGAGTACAATCAATGCAGTTCTGTGAATACAAACTAAGAACTTCACGCAAGTCTAATTGACAAATAGCATAAACAAAAAAGCTTAACTCTCAGTCTGCTCCCTCAACCTCCTGATGGTGCTCCGTACAGTCACGGCACTAGCAGTGCTGTCAAAACAATGAGAAAAAAAAATTAGGTCTCTGATTTGGAAGATAAAACATTTAGGTAGAGAGGAAGAAGAGCATTACTTCAAAGTGTAAGCACCCCCCGCTTTCACTTTACCACAGTCCTTGCATCCCCATATTCCAACAGCTTTTCTCTTCACAGCATACTGCCACAAAATTAGATCATCAGACTCAAATATTTTGAAAAGCCAATGTAACCGATAAAAAATTGTTGAAACAAATGACCTAAACAAATAAAAGAACTCAAGGTTTAGCTACCTTTCCACAAAATTCGCAGAAAAATTTGCTGTGCTGACTAACTTCCATCTTCTTAATCTGCTTCCGCAGACTGGCACCATATCGCGTACCTGATAAAAGAAATCAAACAACGTATTTTTTAAGGAATGAATAGAACAAATTAAATATGTTCCCATGACAGCATTCTCAATGACCTATATATACATAACAATTTTCATTGACTCCAACAGGTGTTTTAGCAACCAATCGTGTCAAAGAGTAAAAAAAAAAAAAAAAATACATCGATCAATAGTCATTCCAAAAGCTAAAGATGATTTATGACAGTAAACAACATAATTAATCTGACTGAACAACCTAATTGCATAAATCATTAAGATATTAGGGTAAAATCGAAGCTACACTACATACCGTATTTTCCAACGATGCCAGCCTTCTTTGTTCTCTTAGTCTGCAAAAGAAAAAAGGTGTAGTGTTAACATAAAACAACGCACAATAAGAGAATGAGTTGCTTGAGAACGGTGTTAGAGAGAGAGAGAGGAGAGGGTACCATGTTTCTGGATCGAAGGCGCTGCGGAGAGCTTTGGGGAGGTGAATGGAATGAATGCAGCAGACACAGAAACCCTATTTCTCATTCCCCAAACTTATACAAACAATATTGGGTTCGGGTCGGGTAGATACCGGGTTTTTATTAGTTCCTACTGAGGTCTGATGTGAATCACTAGATTTTGTTTTATATATTTTTCAAAAATATTATATAATTAATTTATAAATAAATAAAAAAATTATATCTTTTTTTATTGTAGTAATATTTATTTATACATGTATAAATATGTGTGCAGTAGGAAAACATATGTGTGCTTCTTGTTATATATATTTAAGAAATAACTATATTTTTTAAAGAATAAAAAAAAGTCAGAAAAATATTATTTATATATAATATTGAGTTAATTTTGAGATATTATAAAAACATAAAATAATTTAATTTTTTACATTTTGTTTTTTAAATTTTTTATTTTTAATTTATTTAATTTAATCGTGATAACGAATAATTATATATTAGTAAGTTATTAATAAACTCAAATAAATATATTATTTATTTTAAAAATATAAATAAATAAATATTGTACTCATTCAAGTTTATTAATTTTATATTCATTCTATTATTAAATTTATATTCATTTTATTATGGACTTTATAAATAAAGTTATTTCTTTTTTATGATATATATGTAAATAATAATAATAATAATAATAATAATAATAATAATAATAATAAAATAATAATAGATTGTGATATATTTAGATAATAATAGATTGAAATATATTTAGAGGATTTAGTAGTTAATTTATAGTATTTTATGGTAAGAATAATGAATATTAGATTATAAGGATGGGGTTATTCGTGATTATCAAAAGTTTTTAGAGATTGTAAGATGGTAGTCGTAAGAATGATGAAATCGTAAATAATAAAGATTGCAAGACTTGTTATCTTTTTTACCAATATTACTATAAGAAAATTGCATATTTTTTACAAATTTTTATCGATAGATTTATAGTTGTCGAAAAATGAGTCATTATCGATGAAAATCTCACGAATATAAAATATTTATGTAATTTAGTCTTACCGACGGATATATTTGTTGATAAATCCGTGGATAAATTATGGATATATATTTATTTATATATAAATATAATTTATTTAAAAAATGAAAAAATAGATTAACAGTGTTAAAAGTTTGGATGAGGAGGAAAAGGATGAAAATAAGAAAAACTTACCAAAAAAATATAATTTATTTAAAATAATAAAATGAATGTATTAACTGTGTGGTTTTATAAATTATCAAAATATTATTATATAAAATTTTAAAAAAATGAATATCATTTAAAATAAAATATGATTAAATGGGAAGTAACTATTTTGTATAACTTGAAATATTAAATTTTTTTTAAAAATGTAATTTGAATCATTGTAAAATATAATTTTTTTAAAGTATTATAATTTTAATAACATTTACAAAGTGTTAAAAATGCATTAAACCAAAAAAAAAACATGAAATATAAACAAAAATTTTGATTACACATTTACAATTTTATTAAAATGTAAAAAATAAAATAATCATATAACTTAAACATAAAAGTAAATATAAATTAATAAAAAAAATAGTATAAATCAATTAACATACTGGTTTCAAATTCTCTTATTATACAACACTAATATGCAGTACAATAAAATTTATTTTTATAACTCTGACAACAAAATAAAAAAGAAAATCGGAAAACCTTGATTTTTCTATTGGAGTATTTTATTATCACGACATCAATTTATATAATAAAAATGGAGTGATTTTTTAATATTAATAATAATAGATATTATTTTTTTAATATTAAAAAATTTTATAGTTGATGTGTATAATATTTAAAAAAAAATCAATATTTTTACACGTTTATATATTTCATTGTAATTTCACTCATGCAATGAAGAGCAAATATTTTTAAATTCAAATTATTTAAACTTTTTAAATAAATTTTTATTTATTTATACGATAGTATCTGAGAACAATAAATATTCTCAAATTATTCTATTTATTTGATTCAAATTATTCAAACTCTTATGAACCATTTCTTATTTGTTTATATAGTGTGATTTGATGAAAAAAAAAAAAACTCAAATCATCTTATTTTCTTTTATTCAAATTACTTCAACTTCTCTTTCAAACAATTTCTTACTTCTATTAGAAAGTGAATATTCTCAAATCATGTTATTTTCTTGATTCAAATTACTTAAATTCTTTCAAACAAGTTCTTATTTAATGTGATTTGAGAAAGAGTAAATATTCTCAAATCATCTTATTTCCTTAATCAATCAACTTAAATCCCTTTAAATTATTTCTTATTTATTTATTTAGGACAGAATACATGATATCTTAAAAAATCAAGAAACTAAATATAATAAGAGATTTATTATTTATTAAATTTATATTAATAAAAATATTATAATAATATTTATTTTATATGATTTTAGGATATGCGAAGAGGAAAATTGGAAATTCTATATTTATAAAACTTATAAAAATAGATTGTTAATATATTAAACCTCACGGTAGATATGTACTTTAACGGTGTTTAGTCATCATACTAGCTTTGGTTTTAGCTTCCAATCATCATCCAGGAAGCATGTGAGACATGCTAGGTGAACCAGCAACTTTACATGTGCATACAAAAAAATTACACATTCTCAGAATCAGAATGTACTAGAATGTCATTTTCATGATAAAATCAACTGAAAAGATGAGAGAAAACCAAACCAGCAACGTGAAGAAAACATCCAGCATGGCAAATATCATGTTCACGGTGACATTCATATTGATGTTGATTTCATCAGCCACCTCAACAGAAATGGATGCAAGGAACCAAGACCTTGTTGCAGCAACTAGGGAGATGCAAAAGGCAAATTACTTCACCTTTGTAATGCTCATCAACATGTCTCCATTTGACACGAGACTCGAGGGGAATGTGACTTTCTTGATGCCCAATGATCGAATGCTCGCTAATATGGTTTTGCAAGAAGGATCTGTCTCTCACTTCTTGCTTAGGCATTCAATTCCATCACCTTTGCTCTTTGAAGTCTTGGAACAGTTTCCCACAGAAACAACTATTCCCACTTCATTGCCTAATTGCATGCTAAGAGTCTCTAATAATGGTAGGAGGAACTATGTTCTAAACAATGTTAAAGTTATCAGTCCAGATTTATGTGTAGCAGGAACCTCAATTCGGTGCCATGGCATTGATGGGGTTTTGTCAGAAGTTTGTACATCAGTAGGAAACTACAGTGTTCCTGCAGTTCCATGTCTTAATAGCACGGAACCTCTGTGTAAGGCCTCACCTCCTAATTCACTTACTTTCCCTCCCACTTCTACTCCTGACAGGGACAACCTTACCCATTCTCCTACATTATCAACCCCTCGTGCAACCGTACCAAATGTTGTGCCACACAGATCAGACTCCCCTCATTGGCTTTCTTATGGTAGACCATTGAATTTTGTAATCTTTTTTATGCTGTATGTTATAGGTATGTATCATTAATTCAAAGAAGTACATTAATGATTTAAATTTGGGTAAATTGGATTTATAATACACATTATTTATTATTTTATGTTTACGTTCATTAATTTTGTCTATTTTATTATGAAGAATACATTTGTTATATGATTTGAACATCTGTATTTAACAGACAAATAAAGTAAAAAAATTATTTTGATTATTTAATAGTATTAATAAAGACAGTATCAATTTTATTTCTATTAATTTCCATTAAATAATTCACTGCTAAAAAATAATTTATTTGCTGAAAATTTGTCTGCAAAAAAATTATACTAAACAAATACCTGAAATATTTTTAAATAATGATTCATAAAAAAATAGTTACATATTTAAAAAAAAATATTCACAAGAAATAGTTATAATTTTTTCTAAAAAAATATTTACAAAATATTTCTGCATATTCTATTGTATATATATTTTTTTAAAATAAAATTTTGAAAGAAAATTCAAATAGAAGTAGTTTTTAGATTTTTTTAATGCAAAAAATCTTGGTTAATCGTATTGATGATTATGATAGACAAACTTGTTCTTATTAAACCGTATTATATCAGAGACACTGTTTAAAGTGAAACTTTGGTTTCAAATGTCTAATTCTTATGTTTCATTTTTTTTATCCTTTAAATTTACTATTTACATATTTTTACTTGTTGTGAGTTTTATTTATTTATTTTTTTCAACCTCCGGATGTTTGATGATGAGGCCCATTGGGGGTGACCGGTGTCTTTCTTCTTGCTCATTGTTTTTTTTTTTTTTTAAGTAATCTTAATTTACACTTTTCTTCATTTTATTTACTGGTCTCTCTTGTACATTTCTGAGTATAATGTAAAAATATAATTAAAATTATTGGTCTTTAAATATTATAAGACTTTAAAACCAATTAAAACAAAAATTATAATCACATTTTTTTAAGATAAAAAATATGTATTCCCAAATACAATAAAATTTATATTCAGATATTATATGAACATATTATTTTTATCATTTTATATTTATTAAATAAATAGATAAATTTATTAAACGTTTATAATTTAATAATTTGACTTACGGCTTTCAATTAAAAAAAATATTATTTAGCTCTCAATCAATTTATTAGTTGTTTTTTCTTTTCATTCTGAAGTTTTTTCCCCATTTAAAACGAGGCGTTATAGTCATCTATATCTACTTCATTAATCTTCATGCTCCAATTTTTGTTTTGTAACATGGTCAAAATATAATTTTTATTTTAAATCTGTCGTGATATATTCAAATGAGTTGTATCAGACTTAAATATATTTTTATTGTTCAAATTTTGTTTGACTTTTGATATCTACAGAGTTTTTTAGTTTTAGTCTTTACTTTTAAAATAAAATCCTTTATTTACATAAATGAATAAAAAAACTATAAACAAAAGTAGAATACAATTATATTTTCAAAATTAAAGCATACTTGGCCCATTCACTGATACATAAAAATATCCAGCAAAAAAATTAATAAAAAAATATTTGCTAATTTTTTTTGGGACAAAAAGAATGCTCGATCATCGCCGTGATTAGGGGCGGGAGTTGTAACTTTTTAAAAAATGCAATGCGTTATTACGTCTAACTTTTAGAATAATTAGTAACAAAATCAATCTGTTCAAAGATTATATATATCACTAAATTCGTCATTTTTAAAAAAATTACCACTTTACTATCCTATTTTAGATTATTAGTAAAAAAAATCAACATAAATGAACGATAAATTATATCTTAAGAAACTACTTTAATGATAAAGTTGTATAATTGATATAAATTGATAACAACTTGTCTTAATAGGCGATCATTTTAATATTTACAATATAAGTGTGAGTATAAAATAAATTATATAAAAAATAATTACTTTATCTATTTTCAACCTTTGGACATATTAATTATTATTATTACATATTAATCATTGTTTTAACAACATATTTATAAATAAACACTTTAATTATTTAAGAAATTTATATAATACGATTACAATTTATATATATATATATATATATATATATATATATTTGACATCAAAATATTGAAATGAATGTTTTCTTAGAAAAGTAATCATCACCTGAGCCCTATCTAGGGTGTTTTGTTCCACTTAACTAATCCTCATCAACCATGCTTCAATGTCTATACACTAATTAAAGTTTATAATATAATTAATGAGTATTTTATTAACTACAATTCTATTATTTTAAATAAAGAAAATATTATAAAAATAATTTTTTCAATAAAAATTAAAATCAATGCTTTAGTCTTTATAAAATTGATTAATTTTTATTTAGTTTACCTAACATTTTTTTCTTTCAAAAATTTCAAAATACTATTTTTAATCTCTAATATTCATTTTAAACATGAACAAATAATATTTATTTTGTAATTTTTTTACTGTGTACATGATAATATCATATCACATTATTAATATATGTGATTAGAAAGTCATTTAATATTTTATCCCATATAACACTATGGATTAACATTAGTAATGGAAAATAAATAATTTTATTATAAGAACTAAATTAAAACTCACTCATTTTACTTAATTTAAAAACATTTTTTTACCTTTATTTTTCTCAATTTATTTATACAAATTAAATTTTGTTATTTTCCAAACTTCAATATCTAGATATTAATTAAAAAATAAGATGCGCTAAATCTTATATAAAAAAAATGTATTATGCATAGTGGTCAACGCACACTCTTTTTTTTTAAAGAAAGTCAACTATATGGAAAATATAATAATTAATTTATTTTAGATGTTAAAATATTTTTTTTTTATAAATATAAGTATGAAACTTAAAAGAAAAAAGCAGTTCAAAAAAATTATAAGTTATACATTTTTTTAAAAATAACGTATATAAATTTTACGTTTTACAAATTCCAGTCATTGTATCTAATATCACAAACCTTTTTAAAAAAATTGAAATCTTAAGATTTTAGGGTTAAATTAATAAAATAGATATTTGTAGCTCATATTCATTATTTTTTAAAAGTTAAGACAAAAATACATTACATTGAATATTATAATCTTCAATAAATTTTCATTTTTGATTTACAAAGTTTTGTCTTAAATTTTTTAGAAAAAAAATTACAATTTCTTAATGAGTATATATTAGAAAATCTAATTAATAATGGTAATTTCAGTTTGTTGAATAATTAAATATCATTTATGTATTAAAGAATGTTAGATGCTAGTTTCTTAGATGTTAAAGAAAATAGAAAATGTTGATTCCGAAATAGAGCTTGCTGGATTGCACACACAACCCCTTTTCCCAACAAATGAATAAAGTGATGGAGCAATCACCCACCTTCACAGGATCCTAAACCTAACAGTAGAGGTTTAAATTTAACGTTTAAATTAAAAATATAATAGTAAATATTAGAAAAAACAACTCATAACTCTTTGAAAAATAAAAGAAAAACAAATCACGAGGGCGAGGAGGGAAGAAGAACGCAATATTTTTGGTTTGTTCCTGGTAAGTAAAAGGAACGAACAGAAACTGTGAAGATCCTTCCCAAACGAACCAAATGCCGCAGCAGCGCGCTGTTTGGGAGCAACGCAGAATCTGACCCACATTCCTTGTTTCCTCCCACTCCGAAGAGCCTCGTCCAAACAGCCTCCTCTGCGTCAGATCTCGCTGCGAAATGGATCAGTTGTCGGCGATCAGCGAGGACCTGGCCGAGATCGACGGACAAATCGCCGACAATTTCCGCGCCCTATCGTCTGCACCTTAACCTCTCCGCTTCCTTTCGTGTTCTGTTCCTGCGTTGTTTTCTCATAGGTTGTTGTTGTTGGTGGTGGTGCAGAAATGGATTTCAGAAGTTGGAGAAGATTAAGGATGCGAATAGAAAGAGCAGGCAGTTGGAAGAACTCACGGAGAAAATGCGAGAATGTAAACGGTATTTTTCATATTCCATATACGTAGATTTGTTAAACGAGTTTCGATGCTATTGCTTATGATTAGCGTATTGGAATTGCACTTTTGCGTCACATTGATGCAAGCTATGTACAAGAGAGCCTGTATAATGCGTGTCACAATCTTCAGATCTGTAGCATTGAAAATTCATGACTGGAAACCTGCGTATAGCGTGCGATTTTATACGTTCAAAAGCATGATTATGTGATTTTCCAGAAAATCGTCTGGCATTGAAGCACACCTTGGATTTGAGGTTTTGCCATGGCTGCTTATTCTAATGTGTTTATGGTTGGATCTCATTTTGCAGGCTTATCAAGGAGTTCGATAAAGAAGTCAAAGCTTTGGAGAATAGCTTCGATAGAGAAACCAACAAAATGTTGAATGAGAAAAAGCAGTCAATGGTGAGATGCTTGTAGATTTTCTCTCCGTTGATATTTTAATCGACAATTCTTCGTATTTTTGGTTTATTGGTTTCCATAAATTATGTACGACTTTAGTCAATATTACTTACAAGCATTTTCTATTTTTGTTGCAGATCAAAGAATTAAACTCATATGTTGCTTTGAAAAAGCAGTAAGTGACAACATCGTATCAGTTATCGATTTTAGCCCGTTTGGCAGGCATAGTTTTTTTTTTTTTTTCAACTTTCTTAACATGTCATCGGAAGTCATTATATTTTGACATGAGTGGGGTGTATTCGTTGATAGCATCGACCAACTCGAATGTGTGTTATATTGCAATGCAGGTATGCTACAGATATTGAGCATAAGCGAATTGAACTCTTTGAGGGGCCAAGTGAAGGTTTTGCTGAAGAAAATGGCTTGCTAGCATCCTGTAAGTATACTGATTTCTTCATATTGTATATGCGAGTATTTATGTATCATGACACACTTTCTGCAGTCAAATAAATGAAAGGTTACAGTCATATATGTTTTTTCAACCAATACATATTTGTAGTTGTTTTGCTAGCCTGGCCAGATAATTTGGTGAGTATGAGTGGAGATAAAGAGTCCTTAATCATTACTGTGAAAATGCGAAAATATAATTATCGTTTTTTCTGAGATATTTTATTTTAGGAGACCTTCTTGGTGTGCTTTGACATATTTCAACATGGTTGTTGCATGCTTTTAAGTTTCTGTCTGGCCCTACTTTAATCTTTCGCATTTTTGGAGAAATGATTTTTCCAGAGCCAAAGGAAAACAAAATAAGGAAAAAAAAAATTCTAAAAAAAAATTCTTCTACTTTTGCTTCATAGGAGAAGCGCTAATTTCTTGCTTCTCTTTTAATGAGATATAAATTCTGCCATTTCTGTCACTAAACAGCATATGCATACCTATATTTTGGTCAACCGTCTAGAAGTGTTAAAAGCCTTTTAAGAAAAGAAAGGAAACTAAGCGCAAGCTGTTGTGTTGTGGAGCATATAAAATTAAGTTTTTTATTATTGTGATTAAAATGGACCATTTATGTCTTATTACAGCAATGACAAACGAACAGTTAATGGATCATGGGAATAGGATGATGGATGATACAGATCAAGCCATTGAAAGGGGAAAGAAGGTTGGTCTATTTCCTGGGTATCACTTTTTTTAAAATATGCAGTGTAGAACCAATTTGTTTTGTTTGCTATGTATTTTTCTAGTCCAAGGAACTCGGAGTGAAATCACTCGGTTCTTCCATATGATTCTTATAAGTTTAGCAGTTTTGAAAATGTAGGGACCTCAAGTCATTGTTACCGTCTTTCTGGTCTTGTCTTATTTTTCTGTCCTGCTATGATCTTATTTGTTTCCTCTTGTTTAACTGGCACTTGCTCTTCATTTTGCTTCCTACAACATATTTGCTACATGTTCTTCCTCAATTAAACTTACACATTCTAAATTTATTTAGTGTTTTAAATTGACATTATCCTCTTGAAGAACTGCCTACCCAATCTTGCTTTTGTTTTCTCCCATTTTCTCTATCATCACTCTCTGTTAAAATTTTTGTGGCTCTGAAATGAAGTGTGAGGGAGGGTGAGGGTGAAAGAACATTTTTCAATAAAAGTAGGTGTGCAAAGGCGTTACTATACAATATTGCAATCCCAACCAGATTGACACCCTAGCCTATATGAATCATTTGCAACATCCCAAAATGTTATTAAAGAAATAAGCAAACAAAAGAAAGTTGGGGAACCAAATAATACCCACTAAAACTTAAGAAAATTTATAGCTTGAGAGACCAAAACTATCTCTAAAAATGTCCTGCTTTACAAAAGATGGGATGTCATTCCACCGAACTAAATCCTGAAGAGTAATCCCATGTACAAGTTAATCAGCACAACTACTCTCTCTAAAAATGTGTGAAACCCTAAAATACATATGCTTGATGGGCTCAAGATAATTTTTCCACCTGTTTCTTAACTTCCAAGGAAGCAAGGATACGTCAGAAAATGCTGTAACCACCAATGGAGAATCATATCCCAGTCACATGCTGTAACATGTGGTGGAGCAGCAAAGCATTCCAACGCAGAAATTATTTCTGAAAATTTCACCACAAGCAGCTGGGCCAAGGAAGCTTCTAGCTGCCCTATCAGTGTTACAACTTACATTTAACCCAAATATTGATTGGAGGTCTCCACCGGAGATGAATAACCTTGATAGATTTCCTAGTATGTCCAGATACAACAAAGACTTTGATTATAGCAAATTCCTCAATATTGCTATTCATGCTACCAACACAAGTGCTAAATTCTATTCTTCATGCAATGATAATGTATCCTACCATTGTCAAACCTCAATTTATTTCTGCTGAACCGTGTTTCATTAATAATACCAATCACAGCAGCTTGGATAATGGTCCTCACCTAAGCACTCCATCTTCTATTTATAACAGACCAAATAGATTCAAGAGAAGAGTGTTCAATAGGATTCCTTATAAAATGATAAAGCCAATAACTTGGCAGCAAAAGGGCAATGAAGAAGATATGATCAGCAGTTTCCTCATACTGACAGAATTGGAAAATACTGTACACCATTTTGCTTTCAAGATCATCAGTTGGCAGCTTATGTACCAACCTCCATACTATGAATGATTTTGAAGCCTTGTTCCAGATTGTTTTAGTCCAAGCCATGATCTTTCCATGCCCTTTTATGTGCTTTTATGCTTGTCTGATTGAAAGCATACCATCAGTTGTATTATCGCATCTCATACAGTCTTGATCTTCACAAAATGGAATAGAAATTCTACTGATCTCAGCAACCAGATCAGAGTGGTTTTGTACCAAAATACCGGGAATATTACATTTATGATTCTGAAGAAAATCTGTAACAGAAGCCTTCACAAAGAATGATAAAGTTGTGAAGGAATAGTCAGAGTTTCTACAATAGACATAGAGAGCCACTTATCTGTCCAAAATTTTGATGTTCTTCCCATCTCGTAACTGCCATGTAATGTTATTAAGAACATCCTCAATGTTGAATTTTACCGCAGCCCAAATAGAAGAAAGAATGAAGGAGCAAGTAGACTTAACTCCTCTCATAACCCTTGCTCGAGTGATTTTTGCCCTCAGATGACACAATTAACATTTGCCAACCAAGTTTAAGCATTGCTGCATGATTGATATCAGAAATTGATCTCAATCCAAGGCCCCCCATATATAGTAGGCTGACAAACGTTACTTACCCCTTGTTCAAATGCATATTTTTTGTCTTTAAGATCGTAAGGTTTTTTATGACATAGTATGTTCTTTTCGACCAAGTGTAGCAATTAGATAAATTATTCATATGCATTGTTGAATTTGATGTGGAAAAGACATGCATTTTATGTGTAACTAACCTGAAAGGCCACAATTGAACTCTCTATCCCTTGTCCTCTGGAAATTTGAAGGGATGAGGAAGTAGTGAAATGAAAAATTCTAGATGATGTTCAATTTAAAGATTCTGTACATTTAATTTTTGCTGCCCTCTTGTGGGTAAAAGACGTAAGTCTGCTGATAGAACGTTCATTGATGTTAATCCCTTTGAATCATAGATCGTTCAAGAAACAATAAATGTTGGTACAGAGACTGCAGCAGCTCTTAAGGCTCAGGTATGAATCTTAAGCATAGCCCCATACCTCAAAATTAACCAAAATAAAGAACAAGAAAAAAAACTTAAATTTGACATGGGAACTAAGGGTACGTTCTTCTACTTATAGACGGAACAAATGAGCAGAGTTGTCAATGAGCTAGATTCGATCCATTTCTCTTTAAAGAAAGCATCGCAATTGGTCAAGGAAATCGGTAGGCAGGTCAATTTCTACAGAATCCACTTCATTTCATTGCAATATAGTTGCTATATGAATTATTCATCTAACCTCTAGGTGTTTTTATTATAGGTTGCTACTGACAAGTGTATTTTAATCCTACTTTTCCTTATTGTCATTGGAGTAATTGCTATTATTGTTGTAAAGGTAAGAGAATATTACCTTTTAAATCTTATGGTTTAATTCAGAACCGTTATCCTCTATTGTTGTATTTCTTGGTTAATTTATCGGGCCGGGTATTTTTCATACTTATGGTAAAAAAATAGCTTGACAATGTGTAAGCATATAATATATTTAGGTACCGATTAAACATTAAAAAGAACTTCCGTTTCTAAATCCTCACTGGATACAGATTTATAGAAGTGTATCTATTTATAATGTCGTGCCAAATTTCATTTTTTCTGTCATTGATCCATGCAGCCATGTCACAATTATCAAAAGAAATTACTTCCAAACTTAGTTATGAATGTGACGATTGTCAATGCCATTTTTCTTTTTGGTAAAAAGTTTCAATCACAACCTAATAGGTTTTCAGAAGCTCCCTTCGACAAGTATTGCCAAACCAGTAATTTTTACTGATTAAATCTTCTGACAGTTGTCAGATTATTATGACTAACTACTTTCAAAATTTCAGCTTGTGCACCCGGACAACAAGGACATTCGTGACATTCCAGGACTAGCTCCTCCAGTGCAGAACCGAAGACTGCTTTGGAGTCACAGTTGAGTAGTTAAAATGAACGTTGTGATGACTGATAATAAGCTTATGACAAATGGGTTGGGGACACTAAAATGAACATGTTTATGACTTCGTCGAATTGATTTGATGCTCTTTGGTTTGATGGTGATGACATTGGCTGCACTTGTTGCTAGAAACAGAGTTGGCAATAATTGAGTTTGTTATTACATAATAGTAAGAGAGGGGTTGGTTGGCCTGAAGCATGATAGAGCGCGGGTCTAGGAATGCACGGTGGCTTTTTTTTTCTCGAACCGAATCATTTTTACAACTATACAGGTTCTGTCTATCTATCTAATCATAAGGAAAGCCAAACCCTCAAGATTATTTGTTGATTGTCTTGGCGTCAATCTTGTAATGTTCGGTGCCTTTTACTGTATACCTTCACTTCTAAAAACCTATCCAATATTATCTATTTATAATATAAGCACTGATTTATTATGTTTAAATCTTGCAAATGTTTTATTTTGTTTTAATATCTATGTACCCATTGTTCTGTGTCACGCTTGGTTGTGGTCCTATTGGCATTTGGAATTATTTTGTTGTTGAGAGCGATACAACTATGTTGCAAAATTATCATTTTAGGTAGTTCCTGTATTCTAGTTACCCTAGCGTGACTTCTTGATAAGGATTGTAATTTTGACGTTGACTGAGGATTCTTGTAGGGTCCGGGGGGGTCCATTTGGGGTCATGAGTTGAAGAACTTTTTCTTGGTGACAAATTTACCGTGTCATGAGAGATTATTCATGTGCCAACTACTTGTGTCGTGATTGTGCTGGTTGTTGTTGTATCACGCTGGCAATGAATATGAAGTTATACAATCTTACTGTTTTTATTATCAGTAATATGCTCGGCACCTAATGGGATTGGTATTATGTCGAAAAAGTGAGAGTTATATTCTGTTGTTTTTTATATTTTATTAAAAAAATCTTTATGAAAAGAATCCGGGCCTCTGCGCGGGCATATATACAAATATCATCATAAATAAGTTAGAATAAGAGTTGTTCAATACTATTATTTACTTTAAAAAAACTAAATAATAATAATAATAAATAAATGAATAAATAATAGCACCAGTTTAATACTCTTTCATAAATATATATATATATATATATATATATATATATATATATATATATATATGTATGTATGTATAATCAATATTAGTTAGAGGATGATTTATTGATATATCCATGTTCAATCATTATCACCTGAACATTTTCCTATTAGTTATTAGACTTTTAATACAACCTTTGTTTTGTTTAACAAAACTATTTTGTTAATATAAATATTATATGTTTACGTTAAATATATCCAATTTATATTAACTAATGAAACTATAGGATGCGTTAAAGCGTATGATTATTATTTTTAAAATATATTTATTTTTTCTCTTTCTCATATTTTTATTATTCTTTAAATGTATAAATCATAATCATAATACTAATTTTTTAAAATTATAATATTTTTATTTTATTTTTCTCATTAAAAAACAGTTATAAAATAAATCCCTAGATTATATACCAATCTTATTAATAAATATATAATATTATTGACAAAATGAAGAATATCTATAATAATGATTTATTCTTATTATATAAATAATTATACTAACATACAAAAGTTGAATAACATATGATATAACTTATTTTATTGTGTTTGATGAGTGTATGACATAATTTATTTTAAAAAAATTCACACACAAATTCTTGTAAGTAAAGATATTTATTATCTTCTGCTGCTTATTACATGCTGTAGTATAATTTAAAATCATTATGTTGAAAAGTACCTCACACAATCTTTCAAGTAACTTGATTACAAATAAAGATAAATAAATAAATAATATCTTCCTGATTGATGCACAACTTTAATGAAATGTACAAGAATTTATTTATCTAATTATTAATGGGATGGATATAATAACATAGTATTTATATTTTCAAATATTTAACATAGTATTTATATTTTCAAATATTTAATCCTCTTTTAATATTAAAATATCATATATAATTTATTATTTTTATCAATTTTAAAAATTTTCTTTGTAATATCTTTTAAATTTCAATAATAATAATAATAATAATAATTTTATATCAATTGTCAGTGATTTTTATTTATATTTTAAAAAATTTAAGTTATCAAAGTAAAATTATAATTGAAAAAAAAAGATTAACAATTAAAAAATTGTTTAGAGTTTCATTTTGTAGATTTATATTTTTTATACAGATTTGTGAAATTAAATATGTGTTTAAAAAAATATTTTTATTTAAATTTATACTTTATTGTGTCATTTATTTGAATTTTTATTTAAAAATACTAATTTAACTTTTAATAATATTTTAGGGTGTAATTTTATTGATGTTATATTTTAGAATAATTTTTTATTTGAGTTTATATTTTAAAATAGATTTTAAATAATATTATTTAAAATTAAAAATAAAATTAAAAAAATATTTTTGATACTCACTCAAATTATAAATATTTTTAAACCAAAAATAGAACAAGATACATATTCTTAAACAAGACAAATAATAAATAATTACTACTGTATAATTTCCTTCCGTTATTATTCCTAATCATAAACTAGATCAAAATTTTAGAAATTATTTTGTCCAGTTTAGCATTTGAATAAATTATTTTATTTCTCTAGGCGATTTACATTATTTACTTATATACTTAGTGAATGAATAAATTATTTACACGGTTATTTTAGTAAATAAAGGGAGTTTCGTGTATTGTGTGAGTGCGTTCTAGTTTGTGTAAAAAAAAAGTGTAAGTTAAATTTAGATAAAAACAATTTTTTTTTAATTTAAAGTATAAATAGTTAAAATTTGAGATAAGCTTATAAAATAAAACTTAAGATCGGATGTATATATAAGTTAAAGTAATTATAACTGAAGCCTGTGAACTTAACATTTTACCACACAAGGATCTTTATTTATTTGTAAGAAGAAATTTCAGTGAAAAAGAAAAATTGAAAAATATTTTATACCTTTTTATTTAAAAATGTCTAATTTTAAAAATATTGATTGAATTGTTATTGATTCGGTTTAGCCAACGAAGGACGACATAGATCAGTATATATATTTTTGTTAACTTAAGTCTTACATTTTGTATTTAGTGAATCTGGTCAAATCATTTGAGTTGATACAATTTTAGAACTTTAGTTTTATTTTTAACTACACAACATTATTAAAAAGTGACAAAAAAAAATCAATTAAGCTTTCTTATAATTTAAAAGTTGAATCATTTTATATTTTTCTAGAATATTTTCAAAGTTAATAAAAGCTAAAATTAAATATAATGTTTTAAAATAGAAAGCTTATTTATAATTATCAATTTATATAATGTTTAAAATTTATGAAAAAGAAAAGGGGAAAAATACTAAAAGAAGCTACACCTTATTTTTGTTCTTCTAAGTTTTGGCTTTTCCTAAATTGATAATAAAATTTTCAGTTTGACCGAATTCAAAATCCGAAAATGTCTGTGAATATCAAAATGGAAAGAAGACCACAAAATTTGAAAAAGTTTAACATAACATCAACATGGTATTCAATGCTAGAAATTAAGACTGTGTCACGGAAAGTTGGAAAAAAAAATTGAATCATTGATTATATATAATCGATTGTCCTCTGTAATTTTTGGGTTTGGTATAAATTTACTACAAAAACTATGTTATGGTAAGTTAATTTTATTTGGATACTTAAAAGAATCACTTTAAAGAGAAAAATTAGAAATATATTGACAAAAAATAATTTTATAAAATTTTAAATAAGGAGAAAGTTTTAACCATTATTATTTTCTCATAACTTTATTTTGTATTTATAAATTATTTTATTAAGTCTAAAAATTATTAAAAAATTAAAAAATAGATTAAGTCTGATCTGGACATACAGAGGTAGAAGAGTCGTTAAGATTGCATTTTTTTACAAAAAGATAAAATATGGATAAATTAAGAATTGAAAAATTAAAAGAGAAAAATATCAAAAAATTAATAATCAAATATCTAAAGAGTAAAATCAACATAAATATGTCGAGAGAAAATTAAATAAAATGATTTTTCACTAGCATTGAAAGATTGATGAAGGTAATTAAGAAACAAAATTCATAGAATTTGCAAATTATAAGTGAACTTGTATCAACAATATGAATAAGTTACAAGGAAATAATCGTTTGAGAAATTTTAATTTGTAATTTTAATTTTATTAATTTTATGGTTGTTTTTGTGATTACAAAAAATAATATATAAGATAAAATAAAAGTAAAAAAAGTTATGATCAAATTGTATAACTTATATTCTAAAAAATAATGGGAATGGTAAATAAACATTTTCAATGAAATTCTTTGCAACTTAGATCACCATTTTAATTAATTTCTTCTGTTAATTTCTGTTTTATCCTTAGTAATGAGTTATATTTATTTTTATGTTATTTAATTTTTCACACATTTACTTTTCAGTAATTTATTTTCATAATTTTTTATTATTTTTACAAGTTAAATAATATTTAATTAAAATCCATAGTATATTAAACTATTCTATATATAAATTATATTAATTATATCGAATAATAAATTATTTACACTAAAATCACTTTTTTTAATATCTTCTGACGAAAGAAAACATACAAAAAAAATTAAAAAAATCTACGTCTACTTTTAAAGGATTAAACATAGACTTTCATACTACCTTTCATGCATGAAACATTTTGTAATGTGGAATTAAGTTTTTTTTTTTTTTACTTTTAATACATGCTTGTTTTAAATTTTTATACAGATAATAGATTAAAAATTACTTTAGACATACAATTTTTCTACATCAAGTATTATCATATACAACACATATTTATTTTTAGATGATAATAGAAGATATTTCTTCCTATCCCTTTTAAACACCCAAATGAAAAAGTTAGGTTTGAACTTTGTTATAAAACCTAATATAAAATGTCCTACATATTAACTATATATTTCCAAAAATACCTTTAATTATAAAATTTGTAGGATAAATAAATAACCAAATAAATATATTAATTTTTTGTCTAATTGATAGTTTGGTTTTAACTTATTCAAAAGACATTTTGAAGGACATTTTATGTATATAGTCAATAAATTATAAATCAATAAATAAGAAATGAAAATAATTAAAACTAAAAATTATTAGCAAATAGAAGTGTGTGTTACTAATATTAAAATAAACTAAAAATAGAAGTTTAATATTATTAATTTAAAATCAGTTAACTATTAAGCTAGATAAAATTAGTTAATTAAAAATTGTAGTGCAGATGGTGTACAGAGATTAATCTGACGGTATATAAAAAAGTCCACAGAAAGTTACGCATAAAGGTTATGCGGCATAGCATTGACCATGACATGGACAAAGTAATACATTTTGTTTTGTTGAAAATATGAAGATAGATACGGGTCGTAGGAAGCGATGAGACCCGACCCTATTTCCAGGAACAGTGAAAGCTACATGTTGATTCCAGCTCACATACACACCCCACCATACCTTCGAAAGGTCTTCTTGGTTGGTCTTTTGGTCTTTCGTCTACACAACGTCGTAAACCCGCTTCACTCCTGTCCTCATCCCTCTCTCTCTCTCTCCCCACGGGGTGTGTCTCTCTCTTTGTGAACATCTTCAATTTTCACACCTTCTTCAGGTTCCCATTCAATATGTTTCTTTCACTTCACGGAAACTAACTGTTCTACCTTTTAATCTCTCTGTTCCTCATCACAATACACCATCTCCCTAATTATATAATCAAGGTCCCATTTTTTCATCTGGGTCATCAACTTAATTCTCTCTAGCTCATCTGCTAATTAATTTCCGTTTTTTTTTTTTATGGTGAGAAGATGAAGTGTTTCTTCTTCAAAGACAAGTGTAAATCCGCCCCTGAATTGCATAAGAAGAAAAACCCCGCCGTGAACCGCGCCGCCAACTCCACCGGCTCCCTGTCTTCGCCCAAGAGCGTGAAGGACTTGTACAGAGAGAAAGAGAACAGCTTCAGAGTTTTCACTTTGCAAGAGCTCAGAGATGCCACCGAAGGTTTCAATAGGACGCTCAAGCTTGGCGAAGGGGGGTTCGGGAGTGTGTATAAAGGTTCCATCAGACCTTCCGATGGGCAAGGTGATCCATTTCCGGTTGCTATCAAAAGGCTCAACACGCGTGGCTTCCAGGTATATATGCTTGTTTTTTCTTCCTCGATTTCTCTTTTTGTTTTGCTTTTCTTGAAAGATTACTTGCTCCTATGATCATTATCACTCTCTTTTTTTGTAATAATTGCTATACTTTACGGCTACTATTTGACCCTTGTCAACTTTATTTATTGATCGTGGGTAGTAGTTTTATAATTTGTCACACTGTGACGTGCTGAAGGAAATGTTTTATGCTTTGGGATCCAAAACTGATAGTGTACGATTCTTTGCAGCTATTTTCAATGAGCATAAGAATAGTTGTAAGATGTTTCTATATAAAAAAATAGTTATAAGATATGAGCATCTACATTGTTGTCTGGTTGGTGTCATGAAAAATCTGGTCATTATCTTTTCATATGACTTAAATGATCCAGAAGCACATCAAATTTTTGGCTTGTTATTTACTGTTTACCACTGAATTATCAAAATATGTGTTTTCTACATTACCAATGTACCTCCATTCTTATGGTTGTTCCTTTTTTGTTGTAAAGGGTCATAAAGAATGGCTTGCTGAAGTTCAATTTCTTGGCATTGTTAATCACCCAAATTTGGTTAAGCTTTTGGGGTACTGCTCCGTGGACGGAGAAAGAGGAATCCAACGGCTGTTGGTGTATGAGTTCATGCCCAACAGGAGCTTGGAGGATCACCTCTTCAATAAAAGTTTACCACCCCTGCCTTGGAAAACAAGATTGGAGGTCATGCTTGGTGCTGCTCAAGGATTAGCTTATCTCCATGAAGGACTGGAGATTCAGGTACTTCAAATCTCGTACTTTCCAAAAGTTGAAATGATATAGTTGCCATGTCATTCAACTTTTGGTGCATGCCATTTTATATTTAGCATTTTCCCATGTAAAGTTCAATGGGATATCTGAATTCTTATTCTGGGAGGTAATCTTTTCATTTTTATGTTGGGAAGGTGATCTACCGAGATTTCAAGTCTTCAAATGTTCTATTGGATGCGGACTTCCATCCAAAGCTCTCAGATTTTGGTCTTGCTAGAGAAGGACCACAAGGTGATCAGACTCATGTATCCACTGCGGTAAGTTCATTGCAGATAGTGAATGCCTCTTTCATATTTTAAGGCACCTAATTAACATGCATACAATCACTATGCACCACTCATAAAGCGGATTGGTGATTTAACCTTAGAAGATGTAATGATAGTCACAGTACGTTATGTTCTTCGATATTGTGGATAGATAATAAGACTGATGTGACTACAACTGCTGTCATTAACACCTCCAAAAAGAATAATGTGGTAGTCTAAATTGCCGTCGCACACCGTATTTGAAGACCTTGTCCTATAGATTCATTACAACAACAACAAAAGTTATGAACTCATGACCAATGATTTGTCTTTATTTATATTTTTGTATTCGTTGGTTATTAGGTGGTCGGGACACAAGGATATGCTGCACCAGAGTACATTGAAACGGGTCATCTAAAAGTTCAGAGCGACATGTGGAGTTTTGGTGTAGTACTTTATGAGATCCTCACAGGAAGAAGATCATTGGAAAGAAACCGTCCCACAGCAGAACAAAAGCTTTTAGATTGGGTCAAACAGTACCCTGCTGACACCAGCAGGTTCGTGGTGATAATGGACCCACGTCTCAGGAACCAGTATTCTCCCCAAGCAGCTCGCAAAATAGCCAAGTTGGCTGATAGCTGCTTGAAGAAGAATCCAGAAGATAGACCATCCATGACTCAGATAGTTGAAGTCTTGAAGCAAGCATTGCAACACTCAGAAACTTCAAACTCTTCTTCTCAAGACATTGCTGAATCCTCCTCATCTCGTTCCAAATTGGTCCGAAAAGGTAAATAGTGAGTTTTGTTTTTTTTGGAGGATCAAGAACTTGTGGGAAGCTTATTAGTCTAACGTAAGTTTATTACATCTCTATCCATCTACCACCACCCAGTTGTTTTGGTCAATATTGGAAGTCAATTTTAGTATTTTTCTTTCTGGTTCGTTTGGCCCAGTTCAAACAAAACCGAGTCCTTCTCTGCTTTGTCAAATATTGGCTTTAAATTTAGATGTGATTGTAGAATTTTTTCATTTAATAAATTTATTCTTTAGTTCACACAAGAAAATGTAACATCTAGGAAAATGTAAGTAAGGATGGCAGGACTAATTGAAATTTGTTGGTAATATCGAATTCTAATATTTTAAAGAGAAATAAACAAGTTGTTTCAGTTATGTCCACTTCTAATTCCATGGGAAAAACTAGGAAAAGTAATATACAACACGACATACAGTTGGATGGTAGTGTTGGAAATCAGGTGGAACTGGTGTTGCCGTTTTTGCAACTGCGTTAATCAATTAAATTACACCCTTTTAACTTTTATCATTAGAAAACTAGAGCCTAAATCAATTAAGTTACGTCGTAATCATTTTAATATATTAATATTATTATTCCTCTTAGCCTCAGTTTTATTGGGCATCCGTGGACATCATTAAAATAAATTATTCGTATCTTATAGAAAAATAAGTACATGTGTTAAATTAAATTGTATTGATGGGGCATACCAACTTTGACTTCTATGGTTAAAATATTATACTACATTATCTACATGGTTGGCTAGTTCTTAGGAAAGTGTTGTAGCTAAATTAGTAAACGATTTCGCCGTTAGAGATTACTGGTTAAGCCTACGTACGGACACTGTCATGTTTGGTAAAAAGTTAAAAAATAAAAGTTATTTAAAAAAAAAAAAAATAATCTAGTGATTTTTTGTCCTCCTTTTTGTTATCCAAATCTCTCCTACAATACGATACCATGATGCAAACGTCATTCACATGGCAGCATTATTGTCATGCACATCATTACCAACTTGTGTAGTAATGTGAACGTGGGAGGGAGTTGTTGGAAGGATGGCAGGTAGGAAATATTAATGCATATGTACCATATTAATAAGGTTGTTTGGTTTTTTCAGCTGAAAAGTTATTTCTCTTCTCTTTTACTTTTCTCCAACCAAAAAATATATAAAATTAAATTTATATTTTATTATTATTATTTCTCTTCAACCAAACAATTTGTATTTTTTACCTATTTCCATTCTAAATCCACAAACCTAAACCTATTTCTCTTAATTTATTTTCACGACAATTTCCGTCAAAACATCCACTTATGTAGAGGAGTAAAACTACTTACTTGGTTGCGAGCACAGTTTAAGAACATTAGATACGTGGATAACAACAATTCAAAATTTGAAAGACTAAAATAAATTTCACACCAACCAAAATGGCTACATGGATAATATTTGTGTAGAACTTTATTAGCTATGTCAATATTGGGTTAATATTGTTGTTCATTAAATAATAAACAACATATTATTAAACTTTGAGAGATTCAAATAATACAATGGTATTTTGAGAAATAAAATAATTAAATATCGAGAAATGAAAAACATACAGTTCATAGCCCTGGCTGAAGTCAATTGGCCACAACTCTTAGTAACTTTGATGACAATGTTGTGATTTAGTATGATGATCTCACAATGATATACACTTTGCTTCATATTGGATTAATAATGAGATATATTAGGACATAGATTATAACTTCATTTTAGTACTATTTCAAAAAATTAAAAAAAGAAGAAGTTATCTTTGATTGTAATTAAGAAACTGAACATAAGTGATTAATATGATGAATTTAAAGTTGATTTATTTTGCTATTAGTTGAGATTCATCTTTAATAAAAATTAATGAATTATATTCATACAAAAAAGCTTTCATTTGTAACAAATGATATACTTTTGTAATAGTTGGTTTGGTAAGGTTACCTAAAATTATTTATATTAAGCAATTGCTTCCTATACCCCATAATTTATCTCTACATCTTCATATCTTAAGTTAAATATCTAAAATATTTTTTTAATTTGTGTACAACTTCTGCCTACCTCCATCCCTCGGCATCTTCATCTTAGGTATTTGATTCTTTTGTGTTTATCACCTCCACTGAATACTTTTTTTAGAAACTAAAAGTAAGTAATTTTTAATATTATGTATGAATTACATGTTTTTTTACTCAAATTACATAAATATACCCAAATTACTCAATCTGAAATAATATCGTGAAAATAAGATTAAATTTTGGAATACTCAATCTGAAATATATTTTCATATTGACTTTCTCAAAAACATATTCTAAAACACTCATTCCAAAATATTGTTATAGAGGATGGGATGCATTCTGAAAATTTATTTTGAAAAGATGAATCCATAATGTATTTTCAAAAAATCAATTCAATACTAAAAAATATTCTAACAAAATGTATTCCAAAATACATTTTCATAACATATTTATGGAAAATCAAATTTGGAAATATATTATGGAAAGTACGGAATACATTTCTAAAATTGATTTTTCGAAAATGTATTTCAAAAAGCACTTTTTGAAACATTTGATTGAAAAACAAATTTTAGTTTCATAAATAGTGTATATGTAAAAATTTGGTGCAAAAATAATAAGAAAAAAAGTTGAACATTCTTACCTGTTTTTTTTTTTTGTAATTTTTGAAATAATAGGAAAGGAAAAAAAATAAAGATGTTATCGTAGGATTTAAAAATCATCAATTGAATAAAATCAGAAATAAACATAAATAAAAAATGTAGATAAGTATAAAAGTAAAAGGAGATTTAATTTAAACATGAATAAAAGATGTAGATAAGTATAAAAAAGTAAAGGAGATTTAATTTAATTAGAATGTGGAAGAAGCATCAACCTTTATTTATATTGTTATTTTGTTGGAACATTTGTAAAACTAAGTTGGGCCTAGAGATGTTGAAGGCCCAGGTTGAAGGATGGTGTAATAATTTGGATTGATGTGTTAACGTAAGTGTGGAGTGAACATAGGTAACTGAACTAGGAAAGAGAGGGTGAATGGAGAAGAAGCTCACTCTGGTTCAGACCATTGCTACCGCAGGAGTGTTCTCCGCCATTTCATTCTGGTAATCCAATTCATTCTCACTCGCTCATAATTCTGTTATAATCTCTTTTGTCACGTGCTTAATTGATTTCTTCGTTTAGGTATGGGTTCATGTTTGGCAGAGAATCATCTCGCAAAGAGCTGTCTCACCTAATCGAAGATCTCCGTCGCGGAAACCCTCCCTCTTCCCCCATTTCCTGATTCCGTTTAGTTTTTTTTCTTTTTTCTTTTTTCTTTTTTCAACTCAATTTCATTATACTTACACTCTGTCTCTAATAAACTCACCCTTTTCCCCTAAAAATTTTCTAATTAAGCGGTTTAGGTTGCTTCTCAACGCTTCAATCTGCACAAACAACTGCACCTTCCTTACATATTACGCTGTTCAATGATTTCTATTGTTTCGGAGAGAACCAGGTAAAAATAAATAAAAATGTCCGGGTTCGTTTTATAATTTTTGTTGAATCCCTTCGCTTGTTGTAGTTTCATGGTTTCTATCTTATGCGGTGCTATAAGAGAGAAAGAGATGCAAATTTATTATACTCTTCGTTTAAACCTCAGGAGGACCATATACTCTTCGTTATGAACACCAAATGATCTAAATGTCGAAAAAAAACATGTACTTCCCCATTTAAACCTCAGATTAATGGTTTGGACAGGAATTTCCTTTACACCATTGGTTCGTGCAGTTATTAACTTATTATGCCCAAGATGGATTTTCTGATGTGAGATTTTTACGTAACGAAAAATCATGTCTTTTTTCTTCTTGATTATTAAATATACATTGCCTGTTAAAATTTGCGAAACTCCAGGAAGAGAGGGATAGATTCAAAATTTTCACTAAATAATGTTGTGTTAAAATTAAAGTTCAGAGGAATATTTCTGAGTAATCCAATATCATCCAAAATGATGATTAACCTATCATATATTGTTTCCTGAATAGTTAGAAAACGGTTTTCTCCACCTCCTGTATTAAGCTCTTGCCTTTTTCTTGTTTCTTCTTGGCATAATGATATATTTGTTGCAGCCAAGATTGTCATTGATTGAATTTTGAAACACAACAGTAATGTTCAAATAATGATGGGAGGTTTTTCCCGTCAACATTTAGATATTTCATTACCTTATACTGATATTACAGAATGAGAGAAACCAATCTGGGGAGTAGTTGATCAAAATAGGAGTAACGAATAGAGCATAGAGAGACCAATATCATTGGCTTTATAACGTAAGCAGACTAAGTATTTGTTTCCATTGTAGTTGGAGTTGTATACATTAGCATGAAATAAAATAATATCATCTCGATCATCTCAGGTGTTGGCATGGTATATGCCAGAGTTGTATCTCATTTTTTCCTCTTTTTCTATAAAAAATATATTGTGTTGTTTTAAACTATACACCAAGATGCCTGAGCCAGCTACTGTATACATTTACACCAGAACAGCCTCTTGTGTGTGCTTCTCCTGTGTTGATTTGATGTGCCCAACATAAAGATCACTCCCATGGGAATCAGATGCTGGAAGTCTCTCTCTCCGACCACCTTCAGACATACTTCTTACAAAATCCACTAGGTGCCGCCAGTTATCACCGTCAAACAACCTTTTGTTCATTCTTAGATAAGTGAATGCTGCCAATCCGCTACCGGATTCTGATTTACTTGTTGATAAAACTTGAGCATATGCATCTGCATCATATCTCTCCAATGCGTTTTCTCCCGCAAGTTCTGCTCTAGCAGTTGTTGTTGCCATCTTCACCTGGTGAACCAACCCTTCAGGTGAGCAGTTAGCAAAGTCAGGCTGCTCTCTGTCTTTCATCTCCATGCAGGTGAAATTGAAGACAACTCCATGTTTTGCCAGCATTCTGGCTATTGGCATATATCCATCGTTATTTCGCGTGTTATAGTAGCCAGCAGTTAGTTCTGCCGCGTGTGATCTTGCTCTGTAATGCCAATGAATTCCAGCAACTTTCCCTGATAGTTTCACCCCAGATGTTTGGAATATTCCTTTGGCAGATACGAGAATCCTCTCACCATGTTCTAGCAATTTACCGGAGTACCATTCTAGAAAGAACCGTCCATATTCTGTGTTCCAAGTCCCTTCCCTTCTGAAAAATCCAGTATCCTCAGGAAATTGATTGTACTGGCCAGAGTCATGGGGTCCACCTCCTCCCCATTCTTTCTTTCCAATGGCATCGGCTGCTGCTGCCAACGACGCTTTCATATACTGCATGACAAACTAGTCATTTTAGTCCGCAGATATTTTGAAAAAATTTCTATCTTCTGTGGGATATCCTTGTGATAAGTCAATAGGGACCAATGGTGACCAAACCTTACCAATACAACAACGCTTTGGGTTTGATGTACAAAATAAAGTATAAACTAATGACTTGTTTTAATACCTTGTCATAACATTGAAATTCCCCAATTCCTGGAAACCTCCAAGTTCCATTTGTTTCCGGATAAGATGGATATCTCAGTTCTCCACAAGGACCCATGCCCACTTGTATTTCCTGCAAAAGTATTGATCTTATATATTCAAATTTCGTTCAATGTGAACAAGATTTGGAAATTGCAACGTGTCAAGCATCAAGTTCTAAGTTCCCCTTGTTACCTCTACTAAGCCTTAATTTTTATATAAAAAGCCATTAACCAAAACCATCTGGATAGGCCCCAAATGTTTTGAAATTTGTGCCGATGTTGTTATACGTGGACTGTTTTTGCTTAAGATTATCTATAAAATCAATATTTTTAGAAGTCATAATCATTTAAATATCAGTAATAAAAAAATTAACTTGGGCAATTTAATTTATGGGAGTGTATTTAGTTTTTCTTTCCGTAAATGTTCATAAAGAAGAATATGGAAATATTACATCTTGTCCACCACAAAGAGTCCAAAATTGTAGCGCATTGGAAACGCAGTTTAGGGAATGTAAGAATAATTTTATTACTCGGCTAATACCGTATTCTATATCAGCAATGTCTACGTGAGTGTAATAGTTGTCAGCGTTAGTTGCTGAATTACTTACCACGATGACACTGCCCAAGTAATCTCCGAATCTGTCACGAAAGCTTCTCATGTAGTCAGCGTACACTTGGAGGGGAGTCCTTCCTCTAAGAATAGGAACTGAATCACAGCCCAACGAGATGTACTCAGGATTCCTCCTCCCTGATCTGTCTGTGTAAACCAGGTCAGGGTTCTTGCTGATTTCTTCCAGCACCCATGGTGGTAGAGGAATGCTGAAAAATAAAATACAACACAAAGATAACTGTCTCAGAATGTTTGTCTCCATAACATGGAACAATTGAAAAGGTATTGCGCGCTTGCTTGGTTTTGAAACATAAATTTTTTAACTAGGGGCAGAAGAAGAAAAAATAAGTTTCACGAGTAAGTATCATAAAGCAAGTACTCTCATACCTGCAAGTGTCTCCAACATTCCCCCCACACTGATGGAAAGACATAACAACTTGAAGCTTCAAACCATGCATTTGTACCATCTGCACAAGCTCAGCATAGGGTTCCCAGTTGTACTTAAAAGGCCCATCTTTTTCCACCAAACCCCACCAAGCATCCACCATTACCCCTTCCACTCCTGCACTCTTCAGGGCCATCAAACTTGCATTCATTGCTCTAGGCTTATTCAAGCTTCCTCCCGTTGTTACCGTGTCTAGTGGCAGCATCACATACACAGGTACTCTCTTCGAATCACCGTGACTATGAGCCATCGACGGAGCATGCACCTTCTCCCATTTTTCGCTTCTCCTTGCTTCAGAATTGAAGCTGTTGTCACGTGTGTGGTGTGCTTCTTGCATGGTACTTTTCACTCGGAGATGGAACGATGGCTTAAATTTTGCAAAACTAACTATCGCAGGGACATCATCAGAAGTTTTAAGGACTTTGGTTTCCTTCTGATTAATTAAAGAAATTGAAGAGCGAAGTGTTAGAGCCATATTTTTAAGGATACCTAGGAATTACTCAGGAGTGTTCGTGTATTTATAAGAATGAAGTTGGGTTGGGGTGTTGAAGTGGACAACGTTGGTGGGCTCTAATTGAAAAGTGGAAAAAGTGCAAAAAATCAAAACTAGTCTGTTCTGTTTGAACCTTGCTTACGTGTTTCCACCTCTTCCATTCTTATCTAACTCACACGTATGAGCCTCAGTTTTTAGCGGTTATTTATCATCCAGCAGTTTTAATGTGTGTCCTGGTGGAAATTACGAGCTATCACTTAAGCATGGTGGGAGAGGAAAGAAAGAAAAACAAAAAGAAAAAGAAATGGTGGCTTGCTAGGATGGAAAGGACATGAAATGTTTGAATTATAGATAAAAAAGTTTTCCTGAAAATGAGCAAAAACTAAGTTTTAACTATAACATTATCTATTACAAGTCTTTACTTTGAAGTATAACTTCTTTATTTTTTACAAAATAATTAATTATAATCTTTTATACTTATTTCGTATTTATTTTGTTGTCAACAATAATAAAACTAATTTTGAAAATAAAGACATATAATCCATTTTATTGTTAACCGAATAAAATATCTTTTTACATATTTTTTTATAATAATAGTAATAATAATAATAACTTATATTTTATTTTGAATAAAAAAAAATCCATTTTCATTCTGTTTCACATTATTTTTTTATAAACAAAACTATGTCCATTTCCACTCATGTTTCACGTCTTTCATTTCCTTTTTTTTTTTTTTCACTCTTTCTATTTCTCTCCTCTCTATCAAAGGGTTTAAACAAGAAAATAACATATATTGAGGACATATAATTATATGAGTGAGTTTATATATATATATTAAAATAAAAAGCTTATTTGAGACCATATACTACTTTCTCTGTTTTTTTAAACAAATTTTATTTACTTCTTAAATGATTTTTTTTTTAAATGTTTATTTAAGAAATATTCATTTTAAGTTTAACCAATATATCCATTCACATTTTGAATTAAATGTCATCTATTTCAATAGGGGTGTAGTTTAATAAGGGCATGTGTTCTAATAATTGCTTAGAAATAAACATATTATTTTATTATGCAATTCAAATTTTAAGGAGGATCCTCGTAAAGATTGGTCGTGGTGGTTTAACTTAGAGAATCCTCGTCTCAAAATCAAAATACTGCTAGACCAAGTGCACTCACTGAAGCAGAAAGAAGCAGGTGAAATTGTTGAGAAAAATAATCGAAATTTTTTATCGAAATTATTGAAAATAATTATTGGATAGAAGCTGCAAACAGCTTTCAACAGTGAAGCCAAAATTGAATGTGCCAAAATGGGAATGCTTAGTTTTTTCTTTCTTTTCTTTTTCTGTTATATTAACATATTGGTTGGCGTGGTAATTGGTGAGTGGTTTTGTATTTCCGCCATAAGACAAACCCCACCAGAAGAACTACCTTGTCACTGGTTTCTGTCTTCTGCCTTCACCTGCAAACTGGGTTTTCGTGGATGAAAATGTCTCATAATTCCAATATTTTCTTGGTTCCGGTTCACCTTGTTCAGGATAAGAAATGTCGAATGCTCATTTTGTTGGGAAAACATATGGTGCAGAGGAAGTCTTTGGTTTCATTAGTCTTGGACCGTTCTTTCCACGTGTTTATGATAACTATACTCAATTTTTTCATACCATTTCAGATTTAACATATGTTTTGACTGATGCGCATTAACATGTTGACCATTAATTTATAGCCATTGAATGTGGATGAGATGTAATATTTGTCATCTGACAACAATTTTCCGAACACCCACCACATACTTTTGGTTTGATAACTCCAAAATATGAGGCCTAACGGGAAGAATTAAAATGCTCATGAGATTCTCCATTCGTTAATCTGTTGTACTTTTATGGATTACTAGCTGTGTATAGCGTTACATCTCGCATCTACGTTCCATGTCAGATTACGTAGAAGATGTGCCATTCGTGAATCCAAATTCTCTATTAATCTGGCTGGTAAAGCCTTTGTGCTGCTCTTACCATTGTCTGATTGATTAAGATGATAGTAACAACCAATAAAAATCGCGGAAGTTTCCGTAATTGCAGAGGAATTTTGGGTGAATTGATTATTGACATGATATTCGAGTTTCTTTGATGGTCATGTATCAGTATTGAATGAGATATTACACCTGGCTAATAAGGTATGGCAACATTCATAAACATGGAGTCAAGAATAGTGGGGTTTTCAAATCCTATCCAAACTCTCACCACCTCCTCCCCTATCCCCCCCACTCACCAGAACAAAACAAAACAAATCTTACACTGCTAATAAATTTGCCCAGAATTCTCCCATGAGTAAGTACGCGATTAATATAACTTCCCCAACAATAAAGATATTATTGGAGGACAGACATACATGTTGGGAAGAACTTGGTTAAGAAATGTATATTGTCGGCTATGACGCATCGGCATCACATGGAAGGTGGAAGCATTCAAGTTTGATTTGGAAATCGAGCAAGTTGATCTTGTTTTCAGAAATAGATGATTCGGAATCTTCCAAAATGCTTGATTTATGATATTTTGTACTCTCCTATGAAGGGTTATTGAGCTGAGCTGTGTGCACGTAATTCATAGGACAAAATATGTGGAGGAAATAGAACCTTATCTTTACGTTTGTCACGTTTGCTATCTCAACTAAAAAAGTATTAAATGGAAAAAAATTGATTAATCGATGACCAAGGGAAAAGGGACAAGTAAACAAATTAGCCTCAATTCTTACGTAATAAATTAGCATTTTAAGATATGGAAATCAACGTAACATGACAGAAGCGATCGACGTTTGATTTAAAATTTGTTTTTTTAGCATTAGCTTACCAGAGAGTAAGAAAAAAAGACAGCTTTTTAAAATCCCGCATGGTGAAATTCACTGCATAAGATTTCTATCCTAAGTTGTCAAAAGAGAAGAATTTCTCATTTTCAGAACAAGCTATTTCAGTTCTTAATTTTGCAAGGACATGTAGGACACATTCTGATTGGTGATGAAGATATGAGTGCAGTTCCAATATAAATGATAAATGCTGTTTATGGTTATGGGTACGTGGAACCTAACCTTTTGGTCAAATATAATCCGTCATTTTCTTAAAGAGAATCTAGATTGGCATGATAAGAAAAACTCGTTCTTATGCACAATACTTACTTTACCTATTTCCAAAATCGTGGCACATGCGGCACTTATTGACAACTAGCTACGGGTAAGGTGAGGTAAACTCTCTAATCACCCTTGATTTTACACAATTTATTAATCCAATTACTTAACAATGATTAGGGGAATTAAAACTTAAAAGCATCGGGTGTTATATGTTCTAGTTGTTCAGTAATTGCAAACAAAAATAATGGAAGGGTGGGGTGATGACAGAAGTTTATGCAGTTCATACAGAGCAAGAAGGTAATATTTGACAATAATGACGAATCTGGAACTAAAATCAATCACCAAAATTTTTGTAATTTTCAGAAGTTAGCATGAACTATGGGGTAAAATGTTAGGTAATACACTTTTCAAAAATATCTAGAGACCTTACTAGATATTTTGTAAGACATGGTCGGGTAATAATATCTAGGAAATTGAGACATCTTAGCAAATATCCAGTTCATGGATGTGTCCAATAAAAAATTTCCTAGATATCCGAATTTATCATGCATGTATCCCCTTCTAACTTTACGCAAGCCAGGAAAATCTGAGATTCAATAAATAACACACAATGGAATATCGTGGAGGACTGAATAAAATAAATAGTTCTAAATAATTCATCTTTATCCAAGTCAGAAGAGTCACCAAATGTATGTAGTATTGCAAAACCTTGCACTACTTGATGTAATTGACATTGTTGCGCAGCCATGAACTATAAGTTCTCAACTATGTATAACAACGATTTCATAGGGAACAAATACTATAATTGCTGGATCTGAAAATTCAAGAATCTGCAATGGGGAAAACAGATCCAATCTTATCGCCAAAACGATAACACTTAATATTAACTGCATATGGACCGAGTTGAATGTGGTTATCCTCCCCACCAACATAGAAACACAGGGTATACAAAGCAATTTCAAATTCAGGGCTCACTCCAACCAAAGTGCTTGATAAAGATTTCAGAACACCATTCCATTCAAACTGAATAGTCAGAAGCTGGGTTTCAGAGTCAGGCTGCAAGTTATGGTGGCAGAGAACATTATTAAAAATTAGGTTACTACATAAAGTATAACAAATGTTTACCTACTAACATAACCAAGCCATGTAAAAGATTTTTTGTAATGAAACAGAGCTAGGAATTAAGGCGCAATTTGTTTTAGGAAAGGAAAAACACTAGTTGTTGAATTTTATTTTATTTTAAATGCCTTGATGTCATGGTAAGTTTATTACTTTCATGTGATTGGTGCACCAAACTTCTATTTCTCTGCTTGGATTATTGCCAATAAAATAAGATTAACAAATGGTTACTCACAATTTGTCCCCGTCGACGGGGAAAAATATAGCCCTGATAATCAACTTTCCCCTTTTCTTCTTCAAGGTAAAACTGCCAAAATACATCAACATGTGAGATAGAAAAGGTCACATAATGACAACTTCAAATTATGCAGGCTTCATCTACTTATCAGATTAATGGCTTCACAAATAACAAGAAAAACTATTTTGGAAATTAGCATTACAACAGGTTGTGCTAAAAAATAAAATAACAAAGACATTGGCAGGTCTGAGTAATTGTAGTTATAGCATGTCATTGGGCAAACTATTGACTATACAAGATTATTGCAAAGTATTCTTAGCAACAGTAACCTAATCCGCAATTGTATAAAGTAATTGGCTAACCAATGAGACTGGTAATGTAAGAATAATTGCAGAAAAGAGCACCAAATATGACTTCCAATGTGCACCTTGGATTTGGCATGAATGTGAACAGATTATCAGATATTAGATATGTTAAGGTTCCAACATAAAACCAATTGGCAATATGTGGAGTAGCCTAACATGTATTTAAACCATACCAAATGACATGAGGTAGGCGATGTGGGACTTTCAACACACCCCCTCCAACGAAGCCTGCCGGACCAGGCAAAAGGTACTTTTGACCCAACTAAAGGACAACTTTTGGCCCATGACAATAACCGGAAAGATGTTAGGCTTTGGCTCTGATACCATGTTAAGGTTCCAACATAAAACCAATTGGCAATATGTGGAGTAGCCTAACATGTATTTAAACCATACCAAATGACATGAGGTAGGCGATGTGGGACTTTCAACAAGATATACAGTCAGGCAGAAGAAAAATATGAAGTCATACCTGGAGCCAGTTATGAAAGCCAGAAACTTCGCCACATTGTTTGATTTCTCCAACAAAAACATGTTCAAAAGCAGAAGAAGAACCAGAAGTGCCACCACGGCCATAAAGGTCAAACCACAGACTTGTCATCCTTCTTTTGAAATCTTGGTAACTCTCTGATACAATTCCCTTGGATGCAAGATACTTGTGAAGATATTTAATTGGTGCTGTTCTACTGATTTCTTCTATGAAAGAAGCTTGCTCTTCTCTCTCTTCAGATGTGACTACTTCCTTACATCCTTGATGTGGATTGTAATTATCTAAAAGTGAGAGAAAACGAGCAAATGTAGGCTTTCTGAATACATCATGACTAACCCATGTAAACAAGTTCCCCTCTGCCATATCTTCATTTTGGGAAGGCTTTTTCCCTTCACCACAGTCAATTTCATAGTCTTTGCCAGGTATCAGCCGATTTAAATCAAGATCCCAGAGTTTGTCACAAGCTCTGGCGAGATCAGCAAGTTCATCTTCTGAGGGCTCCAAATCAGCCCCAACTTCAGTCTCGTCTGAGTATTCTTGCTCATTAGAAGGTCGCTTATAGCTGTGCCAATTTTCCTTGGGAACCTACATCAACTTAGTAAGATCCATCATTCAGATCACAAATTCAGTAACAAAGTTATCATATACTATAATTCATAGAAGAGATGCCTCTAACAACAATATCAACAAAATACAATTTGATTAAAACAATACAAAACACTGAAGAAGCCGAATAAGCTTTTACATTTGACATAAAAGACAAACCTTGTGTGTCCGCCTAGAGGGTTTGACAACAGTCTGCCATCCATCTTGATCTTCATCCACCTGCAAAAAATAAAAGCAGAGTCTCACCTAAATAGTTCAATTTTTAATAGAATTGTTTTTTTTCCGACTATGTACAGCATCACTTGGAAAGAAGGCAAAGACTATTTAATAACCAAACTTTCCCTACATGTTCAATACTACCATACTCTCTCTCATGAAGCCAGATTCCCAACTACCCAATACAGTGGAACATTTATCTTGTACATAACTTGTAGAAGAAGAAAAAAAAAATCTTCCAATGCCTTTCTCCAACAGCAATCTTAAACTATATGCAGAGACGGAGATAGATCTGAATGAAAGCAAGTGCCAGCAGGATGGCCATAAGAGCACAAGCGAAGCAGCACCAAAATGCAACAAATCTGATACCACAACTTTATTATTAAGCATCATTAAGAGCAATTTTTTTTTTTTTCTTGACGATGATAAACACAGAAAAAAAAAACAACTTATGGAAATGTCATCCAGTAATTTGTCAATGGGACAAATGACCCTAGTGTCTATATCACATGAAGGTAACAACCAGACCAAAAATGATCTTGCTATTGCTAGATGAAGAAAGTTATTTAGGCATCAGCTACGTTGCATTTTACAATTAAAAGATTTAGCGACGATCTCTTGAGATATTCAAACACATCATTTATAAACTTTAAAGCTGAGATGCAGTCAAGCCATTTTTATCTATGTTCGAAGTGTTAGTATTGCAAAGTTAACTTGAAGCTAAGAGAGGAGGGGTTTACCTTGTGGGAAGTGTTAAAATTTTGAGATTGGTACTCCTCATGCTGAAGATGGTACTGTTCCTGAATATAGAACAGGTGCTGTTATACGGGGGCTACATATGAGAAGAGTATGGTATTGTATCTAAGAAGAGGATAAGTGATTGACCTGATGAGGTCTGTTCGAAGCTCTGTAAGTGTGACTATCCTCTTCCCAGCGCTCTTCCTATAATAATCATAACATTAACAAACGAATAAGATTAAATTTTTTTGGGGGTTGAGAACAAAGATGAAGAAATGTGACCTTTTGATGTGAGTTGGACGACTGTGCCTGTTGCTGGTGGTGCTGCTGCTGATGTTGAGGACGCGGGCGATCCAGAAAAAAATGAAGATTGAAAAATTATATTACGTGATCATGAAAAAATAAAACTTGAAAAATGGGAATGTTGAATTGACCAAGTAGAATCAGACACCTGATCCTGATCGCCGGAGACAAGGTCGGCCCAGGAGCGTTCACCGCGTTCTTCTTGGCGATCGTTGTGATCGGCGCCACCGAGAGCAACATCTACCAAGCCCTTGATGAGACCATCCATGTTGATGTTGTGGAAATGAGACTGAAATCTGAAATGAGTTGGTTGGATAAGACAACGAGAGAGTGAACGCGTGAGTGATAGTGGCGGGTGATTTAACACAAACACGGTAAAATAATAACAAATAAATAAAAAGTGAAATAAAACATTTTTTCTAAAACATTTAATAAAATATTTTTTATTATGTTTTATCATTAAAATTTGAGATAAACCCTTAGAGTCCTCTTTTAATTTAGTAAAATATAATTGCAAGTTTTGGCATTTTTTTTTTAATTTAAGGTACCAAAAATAAGATGGGACGACGATTGTCCTAGTAAATCAAAATTATTCGGATTAAAAAAACAAAATTAAGGAAAATAAATTTTAAAAAACCTAATTATTGTTGCCTTGCCGACATGATGCGTGGAAGTCGGAGATTTAACGTAATCAATCAAAGTCAAAGGCCATCTTTATTAGTACTTCTCACCTGACATTATATATATATATATATATATATATATATATATATATATATATATATATATATATATATATATATATATATATATATCAGTATTTTAGAATTAATTTCATAATAATATATTTAAAAATAATTATTTAAATATTTTTTTAAACATTATTTATCTAATTAATTTTATTTATTTATTATACATAAAAGTAATTATAGAATTTTTTTTCTTTTTTCCTAATTTTTCATACTTATGTTTTTTTCTCTCTTCTTTTTTATTCTTTTATCAATTATCGTATTCTTTTAATGAAAATTACTAAATTAAAATTTGATTAAATTTATTTTTTCTTATTTTTAAAAAATAAAACACATTTAAATTATCTAAAAAATTAATTTAAAATATATTATATTTAAAAAATATTATATTATAAATTTGATGTATTCAAAATGTTATATTAAAATAATATAGATATTGATTAAAAAACTAATAAATTTATTAAAACTAGTAAAAAATAATATTTATCTTAACTTATAATACATATTCAAAAATAAAAGGAAGTATTATATAACAAAACATAATACTTTCTTTTATTTAATAAAAAAACAAAGAGCTTTTTTTTCCACTCTTCAGTACAAAATATATTATTAAAAAGAGTGCTTATGTTAATATTTTATAAATCCAAATGACAATAACATAAGAGGTATCATTGATTCAGGCTTAAGTTTATAATTAATGTTTTGAATGTATTGTACTAGCATAATGAGAAATAGTAGGTGTTTGTGGGAGTTATTGAAAGTTTTGTTATACGTGAACAACATCATGGCTTACAAAGAAAATAATTTATATGTTTATGTATTTATTTATGGTATATGAATATGTTGTCATGGAGATTACTATATTCTCATGAACTTTCTTTTGAGAGACTTTATTTATGTTCTGTATAGAGGAACTTCTTGTGTTACTCAAGCTTTTAAAAGACCTGTATCTTATTTTGAACAGAAAATTTTGAATGAAAATGTCTTATTTAAGTAAAGATTATTATGCATGTATATATATATATGTCTTATAAGGTATTAGTAGCATCCTCTATTACTATTTTTCCAAACTTTATGAGAGATTTTGATTGATGATTGGTTAATCCTTGTAACATATTCATAGAGTGGAAAATTGTATGATTATATTTTACAAATCATGTTATAATTTATTAGGTGAAAATCATAATAATTATAAAAGACTGTTTTATTATTTTAATTTAATATTAACACCTGTATTTTATAAAATTAAATAATTTTAATGTGATGATTATTAGATTATAAATATATTAAAATTATGAAAATTATTTGAGAATTATTAAAATTAATTCTTTCTCATTGAAGTATTATCGTATTTTGATAAATATTTTAAAATATTACTTAAAAGTTACATTACAACTTATTTTGTAGAAAATAAAAAATTTCTTTCAATAATATAAAGTAAGTGACTTTCATAAAAAAAATGGTGATACTTAACCCATTTTATATCATCAAGAAAATCAAGGAAAAAGGAAAAAAAATCCATTAAGAGATTTTTTTGCAATAGATTTAGGTAAATTTTTGAACAATTCTAATAAAATATTTGTGAATTAGATAATTTCTTGAATTAAATTAGAATATTGAAACTACACCTTAATAAAAACATAATTAACTATATTGATTTATATATATATATATATATATATATTATTTTTAATTCAATCTATACAAAATATTTATATATTAAAATTAAAATAAAAAAATTTAAATATATATATATATATTATTTTAATTATAAAAATAAATTTATTAAATTTAAATTATTGATTATAATTAATTATTTTGACAATAAAATAATATATTTTCAATTTATGTAATAAAAATTTAAAAATTATTTATTAAATTAAAGATATATTCTAAATATATATATATATATATATATATATATATATAATTATTGATGACTGATCCACTAATTCTTCAATGCATCCTTGGATGGGACAGGTTGGGATCTGTGGCCCATCCTATCCCGCTTTTAATGATTCAGAGACGAGACGTACTCAAAATAAGATAGATCGACCTACTTTACCATTTTTACATTAATCACTCTCATTGTTGATAACATTATTTTATATAATTATTCTATCTTATATTTAATTTAGACCTTTTTCATTAATAGAGTAACTTATATTTGAGAAAAAAATAAAAAAATATATTTTTTGGGTGATAAAGAAGTTTTATTAACTTTTTATTCTTTGAATGTGAAAAAAACCCCTAAATTCATAAAAATATGAAATTATGAGATAAGAATAAGGTATATATCATGTTTTGAATGTTAGGAATAAGCTAACCACAAAAAAAAAAAAAAAACCATAATCAAAACCTAGCTAGATGATGAGTAAAATTCATTAGTAGTGTTGAAATGACAAAAGATAGGGATGTTGATTACAGCTGAGGAATTATTGATAGACTTCATTGTTTGATGTGTCTTGTTGGTGTGATTAATGATAATCATGACCTAATGTGAATGACTTAAATTATATTGAATTTAGTATGATTTTTTACTCAATCCGTTTAAGTTTAATTGAGTTAATTAAATAAAATATTATCATTAGTTTTCCTCTTAACAAAAAAAATCCTCAAAAATCAATGTTTTCAATGTTTATTAATTCTTATAAGTCATAAACATGAACAATAATGTTCAAGCCTCTAAGATGTTAAAACAACAGTCATAATTTTGTTTACAAACTTAATAAATGTAATTTCAAGAGAGGAAGTCAAATACAATCTTTTACAATAAATTAACATCTAGACGTAATAGCATACATAATTTGAATGGAATGTTTATTCAAATTATTTATAAAACACTATTTATGTAATCAAATATAGAAATATATTTTATACAATATAATTATCAAGCAAATAACGTTTTTATTATATCTAACTCAAAAGAATTATAATTGGAATGAGTTATGTCCAAAGCACATGATTTTGTCTTGGAGCGAAAGTGATACCCCTTGGATACAGTCATGAAACTAATTTTAAAAAGGGATACTTTGAGGAAAAGAAAAATTATAAAGGCTGGTATATCTAATAATATGGGGAGGTATGAGGGTGCAGAATGTAAAAGATAAAACTTGAAATGGATCGAGCCCAAGACGCGAACGGCCCAGAACCGAAATCCTTCCCAGACCCAAGCCCTAAAGCTATGTAATAAGTACAAATAAGAGGTAAGAAAAAAACAAAAAAAGTGGCTCACCTTTCCCCTCTCTTCCCCTCTCCATTTGTTTTTAACTTTTTATTTTTCAGTTCAGCTTGAGGGTTCCAATTTTCATTTTCAATTTCAATTTCAAATTCGCGCGAAGAAGAAAGGTGAAGGTGGGTGTTACCGTATTCTATGGCGGCACCCAACAACAGCAACAACGCAACGCCAAAAACCGGAACCCTAGGCGTAGGTCTATCCCCTACTCCGCCCAAGTCCCAACGCGGCCACAACAAGCCCAAGTGCAAACAGTGCGGTAATGTCGCTCGTTCAAGGTGCCCCTATGAATGTTGCAAGAGATGCTGTTCTAGAAATCAAAATCCCTGCCACATCCATGGTCCGTTCTTTTTCTTTCTCAAAACACACAATAGAAACTTTTTAGCTTTTCTCGCTACCCTGAATTATCACTATCTCTCTCTCTTTATTGCTTTTTGCTGGCTATGATAGATAGATTGATTTAACGAGCTTCAATTTCGCTTCTTGTTATTGTATGCTAGATCTTTTCTCCAATCATTCTGTTAACTAAGGAGAGAAGCGCTGTAGTTAAGGGGATGGAATTTGTTGTTTGCTCATCACTTCAATTAGTTCACAAAAAAATAGGGTTTTACTTCTCCCTGTTTCAGTACTTTCCCGCTATTTAGCCATTTATCCCGTACCTGATTTGCTTTACTCTTTTCGTTTAGTCTTTTGTTGTTGTTGACTTGTTGGAGTTATGTATGCCTTAGATTAATAATGATAAAGTCATTAAGCTATGAATTGAGTGTTGTTTATAAAACTGAGTTAAGTTTTGTGCTTTTACGTCATTTGTGCTGTATCAAAGGTTTGAAATTATAGTTGTGGTTGCGGTCCTGCTGCGATCCTCAACATTGCCAAAATTGCAAACGAGTTGGCTGCAACTGTGGTTGTGGTGAGCCCAAAACCATGATGTTGCTGCTAAGATAATATATGTTTGTAGAACAAACTTAGCTTAGAATTGGAAAATCGTCCTCTAATGCTAATTATCAATCTTTTGATAGTGGTCTAGTTTTTAATCATGTGTGATAGCACTGCGGGCTAATGGAGTGGAGCAGCACACTGCCACTCCTTGTAGGGCTGTTATGAAGAGTTCCTGGCCTTTGTGTAATGTTTTGAGACCATTTGTGGCAAATAAAGCGTTGGTTATCCATGTAGTTTTCCAGTGAGGTGGAGGTGTTTTGCAGCTTCGAGCAAGGCAACCTCTTTGGCTCTTGGGTTCCTTAACCAATATTTGGAGTTAGATTCCCAGCTTGGAGATGGAGTCACGACTAGAGGGATCAGTTTACCCAATAATGGACAGACAGGTGGAAGGTGAATTAGTTGGGTGCTAAATAGAAGCCTCAAATACTTCCTGTTTACAAAAAAAAGATATTTTTTCTGCCCTGGTTTGGTTTCTAGAAGCCACAGATAGATTTTCTTTTTCTGAAAGAAAATGGAGTGAGGAGGGGCTGGCTGATGTCTTTTTCATTCTTGGTTGAGTTGGTGCTGGGCCTGCACTGCATATTAGACCACCCTCCAACCAAAACTGTCTGGGTAGGGTTTTCTTTTTGGCTATTTTTTTTTTTTTTTTATTATTAATCGTATATGATTTGTACAATTGACAATATGATTTGTACAATATGATTCAAGTGGCTGTTGATGCAAATTGGATGATGCTGACTTGTTCTGGTGCTTGAGTCACTGCTGAATCGCTGGAATCTTGGTTTTGAGGTTGAATTGGACTATTCTGCCACAACTGGGTCAGGTCATGTGTGACCTAATGCTGAGAACCGTTATTAGTAGAAAAGGGAGGGAATTGGTCGATTCTTTCCCGGTTTCCCTCTAATCAAACCCAGGGTAACCCATTCTTCTATGTGTAACACTTTTGCCTATTTTTTGCTCTCTTCTTTACTGGTCCCTCATTGTGCTTTGTACGTTTCTCTTTTTTTCCACAATATTTTACAATGGGTTCTGGTCATTATCTACCACTACATGTGTGTTTCTCTTGCACAATCCAAGAGAAATATGTTTTTTACTTTTTGTATGTTTCTTAATGTTAAAATGCCCCAAGTTTTTGTATCTTTATTTTGCTATGGATAATGTATTTAACAATTCATGATACAGTTCAGATTGTGAATCGTAAAAAATCCTTCCAATTCACAATTAGAATCTTCATTCAAATTGGAGTATATTCAATTTGCACATGAATGATTTACAATAAATGCCCTTTTATTTTTGAAACAAGATTACCTCAGAGCTATGATGCATGAGTACTCTTAAATAGTCTTTGTACCTGTACCCGTATTTGGTATGTATTCAGTACTGGTAGTTGTTATTGGGTAATGAAGAAACACTTCATAATACTAGAGGTGGAAATAGGCTGAACTGGGCCATGTTTTGGTAGTCCTGAATGTGACCTTCACTTTAAAAAGAAGTTTGAGTCTGGTCTATTTACCTGTCATATGCTTTTTTTAAATGTCTCACTTGGCTTACATGAAAGACTGGTCTGACCTACTAACTTGTTTGAAAAGCTCTTCTGTTATAAGCTAGTAGGCTTATTGTATTGCTGGCCTAAATATGTCTATTAGTAATTACAATTTTCTTTTACTGTTACGTAATATACTCATTTTGTGTCTTGCACTCTCTCTCTATATATGATATAATATAATTATGTATATACAGTATACCATAATAAATTACTTTTTTAAACACCTGCTCTTTAATAAGGCCCTTAAACAACTGAAATAGAAAATAGGAAAATAAAGAACTGTTTTTGAGAGTTTGAAATCATTCTTTTGTGTTCTCTTATTTATAGGAGATAAAAATACAGATTCAGAGATACAATTAATAGAAAGAAATGATTAATCCTAGAGAAGATAAACAGATGCATTCTAGGAACTAGGTCTACAACTAATCTCATAAATGCTCAACAACATACAACTAATCTAATAAATACTTAAACACTCCCCCTCAAGCTGGAGCATACAAATTGAATGTACCAAGCTTGAAACAAATGAATTCCATTCAAGGTCCTCTCAAAGATTTTGTTAATGCATCTGCAAGTTGATAATTGGAACCAACAAACTCAGTACAAATTTCTTTAGTCAATAACTTCTCCTGAATAAAGTGACAGTCAATCTCAATATGTTTAGTCCTCTCATGAAATACTGGGTTGGAAGCAATGTGGAAAGCAACTTGATTATCACAATACATCTTCATAGATTGAATTTCACAGAAGTTAAATTCTTGCAAGAATTGTTTTACCCAAACAAGTTCACAAGTGAGAGACGCCATTGCCCTATATTCAGCTTCAGCAGAGGATCGGGCAACAACGTTTTGCTTTTTGCTTTTCCATGAAATGATATTACCTCCAAAGAAAACACAATAGCCTGTAGTGGAACGCCTATCCATAGGAGATCCAGCCCAGTCAGTATCACAGTACCCAAAATTTTGGGTATTTCCCTTATCTTCATATAACAAACCTTGTCTTGGAGCTTTTTTTAATGTATCTTAGGATTCGAATGATAGCATTCCAATGATCCACACAAGAGGCTTGCATAAATTGGCTGACAACACCAACTGCAAAAGACAAATCAAGTCTAGTAATAGTCAAATAAATAAGTTTCCCAACCAGTCTTCTATATCTTTCTGGGTCAGAGAAAGCTTCACCCTATCCTACCATTAACTTCAAATTTGGATCCATAGGATTGTCCACAGGTTTGCAATCAATCATGCCTATCTCTTTTAGAATATCTAGAGCATACTTCCTTTGAGAGATGACAACACCTTCTCTTGATTGAGCTACTTCAATACCCAAGAAATATTTTAGATTTCCAAGATCCTTGGTCTGAAAATGACTACACAAGTGCTCTTTTAACTGAGATATTCTAGCAGCATCATTCCCTGTGATGACAATATCATCAACGTACACAATTAAATAAACATGTTTGTCAGGGCAGTGTGACAATAAAATACTGAATGATCTGCTTTGCTGTGTTTTAATCCAAAAGCTTGAACAATAGAGCTGAATTTGCTAAACCAAGCATGTGGAGACTGTTTTAGGCCATAGAGAGATCGACGTAATTTATAAACCAAACTAGACTCTCCCTGAGCAACAAATCCAGGAGGTTGCTCCATGTAAACTTCTTCTAAGTCATCGTGCAAAAAATCATTTTTAATATCCCATTGATGAAGAGGCCAATGACGAATAGCGGCCATGGCTAGGAACAGGCGGACAATGGTCATTTTGGCTACAGGAGAAAAAGTATCACAATAATCAAGTCCATATATTTAAGAGTACCCTTTAGCCACTAACCTGGCTTTGAGACCTGACCATAGATCCAACGACAACCAACTGTTTTCTTTCCCGGAGGGAGAGGAACCAACTCCCATGTTTTGCTTTGATCAAGAGCATGCATTTCAGAAATCATGGCTTGTCGTCATTCAGGATGATCAAGTGCTTTGGCCACATTTTTGGGAATCATAATAGAGGATACATAGGAAATAAAAGAAGAATAGGAAGAAGACAATCTATGATAGCTAAGAAAATTGTAATTGGGATGAGGGTTACGAGTAGAATGAGTACCTTTGCGAATGACAATGGGCCAACTGGAGTCATCGTTATCAGGAGCTGTGGTATTAGAAGATGATCGAGAAAGACCTGTTATAGATGGCTCATCTTGGGAAATGGGATTGTTCACCTGGTTCCTGTGTTGATAGGTGGTGATAGGCTGTGATGATGATTCTAGAGTATTTTGGTTGGGATTTGGAGTGTCAGAAATATGAGGTACAAATGATTCAACTAAGGGGACAGGAAAAACATGTTGGACAGAATCAATATCCTGCATAGAATAAGGGAAGAAGGAGGATGATTAAAAAAAGGTGACATTAGCAGGCATGTAGTACCTCTTGGTTTCAGGAGAATAACACCGATATCCTTTTTGAAGACGAGAATATCCCAAGACACATTTGATAGCTCTAGCTAAGAGTTTATCTAAGCCAGGAGACATATCATGAATAAAACATATACATCCAAATACCCTAGGAGAAACATGAAAAATTGGTTCCTTTAGGAATAGAATAGATAGCATTCTATTAATAAGAAAACATGCAGTTAGAATAACATCTCCCAATGATGAATAGGCATATTGGCACCAAACAATAAGGTATGTGCAGTTTCAACCAAATGTCTATTTTTTCGTTCTGCTATACCATTTTGGTGTGGTGTATGAGGACACGTGGACTGGTGTAAAATGCCTTGAGAATTTAGGACATTAGAAAAATCATTAGAAAAGTACTCTTTGGCATTATCACTTCGTAAAACTTTGATTACTTTTCTAAATTGAGTTTTGACTTCATTAAGGCAAGACTTAAAGATAGACAAAATAGTTCAGAGCGATCTTTCATAAAATAAACCCAAGTACATCTAGAAAACCCATCAATAAAAATAACAAAATATCTAAAACCAAAAGATGAAACACGACTAGGTCCCCAGATATTTGAATGAACAATACTAAAAGCATAATTGCATCTAGATTCAGAATGATTTGGAAAGGATGACCTGGTATGTTCCCTAATTGACAGGATTCACATTCAAAAGTTTGAAGGTTCTGAAGTTCAAGAACTATTTTTTTCAGTTTTGCCAAATGAGGATGCCCTAATCGCTCATGTAACAGTTTTGGGGATAAGGATGCATCACAAGATACATATGACTTAGTCCTAAGGTAGTATAAGCCTCCATATTCATGTCCTTCTCCAATCAGTTGACCCGTACCACGTTCCTGGATAACAAAATAATTGGTATTAAAGGTTATTAAACAATTCAATGATTTGGTTAATTGGCTTACAGTAACAAGACTGAATGGAAAAGAAGGGACACAAAGAACATTTTGAAGGTTTAAAGAAGATGAATACTTGACCAATTCCTTTAGAGACTACTTTAGATCCATTGGCTAAAGATATGAGATGGGAGGTTTTAGGAAATGAAAGATAGGAGAATAAAGAGGTATTACCAGACATGTGGTCAGAAGCACCTGAGTCAATAATCCACGGATTTTGACTTTCCACATATTGCGGTTGACGAATTTGGTGTTGTAGATGCTTGAGCCAGATTGGTTGATTTCATCTTTAAATATTCTTGATACTCTTCATGAGAGAACTTGGACTCATCAACTTCAGATTTTGAGGTATTAGCTGCCTTATCAGGAAAGCCATGCAGAGCAAAACAATTTTTCTTAGTATGTCCCATTCTTTTGCAATGAGAGCACTGAGGACGTCCTTTACCACCACGTTCTCTATTGCCGTGATTTTCTCTTCCACGAGCAGAAATCATGGCGGAAGAATCAACAAGTTCCTAATTATTTTTGCTTTTGATAGAAGGAACACGAAGTAGCCTTGTGATTAAACTCTCCATAGAAGGAACTTCTTCTCTAGTTAGAATCTGGTCTCTAACATGATTAAATTCTGGATTCATAGTCCTAAGAATCATTACCATATAAAATTTATCCAGCTTCGTTTTTCTTTCCTCTAATGACTCTGCCTCCAGGAACATTTTTAATTCTTCAACTGCTAATTGAGCTTCAGCAACAAAGGACATCATGGAATTATCCTCTTGCTTAAGGGAGGCTAGTCTATTAGCAGAATCATAGAGTCGTTGAATATCATTAGCAAAGATATTTTGGGCCTTTTTCCAAAAGGAATTACATGTCTTGAAGGATCGAAGAGTACTCAAAATATTTGGTTCAACAGATTGCCATAATAGTGCACAAAGTTGATATTCCAGTTTCTTCCATTGAGGAGCCTGATCTACTGGTTTTGTACTTCCATCTTCTTCTAGATGATCATGAACCCTTTGTCCTAGAAACCAGAGCTCAACAGAGGAGGCCCAAGATAAGTAATTTTTCCCATTTAATTTTTCTGTGGTTATAGTCGGAGTTCCAGAAAAAGATACAGACACAGGTCCTGACATTTTTCAGGAAACAAGAGAGGACCAACAAAGCTCTGTGTTGTATATGGAAGCAGAGAGAAGACCTGTATATGGAAGTAGAGAGAGGTAGAGAGAAGAACGCAGAACCACCAACGTTTTGTGACAGAGAACCCGAAACAAAGTGCAGATCTAGCTCCAAGGCGATGAGGCGAGCCAGATGGTGATGGTCTGGAGCAAAACAGCCACCGGGAGGGCGGCGCATGAGGCTCACGCGCGGAGGAAGCCCTGGGCGAAGGTGGCGCGTGGTGGCACGTGAGGCAGATATGGAGGAAGCGATCACTGGGGTTGGGTCACGTTCCTCAAGGCAAGCCTAACCCAAGTGTCAGAGAGAGAAACGACACCAGAGAATGACTACACCGGCGGCGAGCAGCGATTAATGCCTGGGAAAAAAGAAGAGAAAGCAGAGTGGGATGAACCCGCTTTAATACCAACTTGAAATAGAAAATAGGAAAATAAAGAACTGTTTATGAGAGCTTGAAATCATTCTCTTGTGTTCTCTTATTTATAGGAGATAAAAATACAAATTCAAAGATACAATTAATAGAGAGAAATGATTAATCCTAGAGAAGATAAACAGATGCATTCTAGGAACTAGGTCTACAACTAATCTCATAAATGCTCAACAAGATACAACTAATCTAATAAATACTTCAACAAGTAATTACAATTTTCTTTTACTGTTACGTAATATACTCATTTTGTGTCTTGCACTCTCTCTCTATATATGATATAATATAATTATGTATATACAGTATACCATAATAAATTACTTTTTTAGACACCTGCTCTTTAATAAGGCCCTTAAACAAGGTATAAATTTATATTTCAATAATCTTATAATTTGAGTTTTTAAGTAGGTCAATATGCTTAATAATTGAGAAAGATAAATAGTATACGATTTTAATAATTATAAAAAAATCAATATAATAATCATCCTAACGAAAAATTATTATCTATATTTACTTAAATATGCTGATCTGTTAGGTTTAAATTTATTTTTGAATGGCCTTATGTTCTTCACAAGTTCTTTTTTTTTTTTCAATCTTTGCTCTTATGTTCATAAATTTCTATCTGATGTTCAATTCATAGTTTCAATCTTCTCAAATTTTCCTTTATTTCTTTTTTACTAATTGTGAAATATGAATGTCTTTAATTTATGTTATTGTTAAAATTTCAAACATTTTTATATCTATAATACATAATTTTAATAATATTTTTGTACCTGTAATTATGCTTTAGTAGCTATCCTGCTATATGCTATTCCCCAATAGCATTTTCAATGTTTCCTGTTACACACTGCTATCTGATAACCCTGAGGGAACTTTGCCTTAAAAGCTAGCCCATATTATGAAAATATATCTCACCGAGTGTTTCTGTTATTCCCCTAGCATTTACAAGGCTTCCAGTTCCATGCCTATCTGTTCTTGAGCCAATGCCAATTGTCACATTCAGACTTCGTGGGGGAATGTAAACATTGTTTAATTAGTAGAGCATTAAAAATGCACCTGTTTTCAAAATCTACCATTGTGTTCAGAGTTCATACCATAATTTCAGTGTAACTTGTAGTGGTGCTACTTGATCCCCCTTTGTGTGTTTCCTGGTATAAAAACTTTGTAAATCTGTTCCTGAACCAATTCCAGTATCCACATTTGTTCATACTACACAGCTTTGGTGGAGCTCTACCCTTAAGAACTAGAGAGGGGGGGTTATGTATACATTGTTTACCAAGATTAAAAATAAGAAAATTATTACAAAAGATGATTGTTCTGTCAATCCATTGCCGAATTGAAATTATCTGTATGGTTTCTGTTTTTGTTTAATATTTCCCATAATATAATATCCTAGCAGATTTTTATTCTTCTGACCCTTCACTTTCATGTCTTATGCTGAATGCAGTGTTAAAAGCTAATTCAACTTTTCCCGACAAGACACCTTCTTCTGGTACCTCTGCACTTGATCACCAACCCTTAGAACCACCTCAATCAACGTAAGTAATGAGCACCAGAACCCTACATGTGCATTGCATAATTTTTAATGGCTCACTATTTTGTGTTCCTTCACTTTCTTAATGCAGTACTTTTCTTGTTCTTGCAGTGACTTATTAATTCAACTATACAATCAGCGCTTAAAGCTTTTTACATTTTAATTCTATCTCCCTTATTAGAGGATTTTCTTTTGCCTTTTATTTCAGAAGTGCCGGAAGAGTTGCATCACTTCGACAACTTTCCAATAGTTTTGCTCAGTTCAATAATTTACACCTTTCACTTCGTTCAAAGAAGCCACTGACTAGAAAGGTATACCATACGTAGCAATGCTTAGTTTAAGTGTATTACTTGTTGGGACCACTATGTTGTGTGAAAGTAATATAGTGATTATTGCAGGATGCTGCAGCTATCAACGAATGGAGATTTGCCAAGTTAAAGGAATACAAGGAACGAAATGTTGAAGTGGAAAATGAAGCTTTTGACAGATACATGAAGAATGTAGATTTACTGGAAGAAGTATTAGCTGTGAAGCCTTTGGACGATGATGTGTCCTCTGCATTGGAGTCTAATCCTACTCCAATGGACAACAATGAGACAATGATCCCTGGGTTAAAATTGCAGCTAAGATCAAACTCTATGAGAAGTGATGGTTTGAGAATGAAAATACAACAAATTGTAGATGAGGGATTAAAGAAGCTTGAGAGAAATGCAGTAGATGGTGGCATGAATGAATCAATTGATGATGAAGATAATAAAGCTTCAAAAAGGGGAAAGGGGATGGAAAGGTTAACAGCTGTAAGTGATCTTATGGATAAAATTAACAAAGCACGAAGTGAGGAGGATTTGAAGTCGTGCTTAGAGATGAAGTCCCAACTATTCAATTTGGACGAAGGCTCTAGCGTGGTAGATCTTAAAGACAATGAAGTTATTGAGAATCAAACTACTGAAAGGGAGGTGGTACCAGCAAAAGAATTGGATTATTCATTACCGAAATTTGTTACCACCACCGAAATTGATCAAGAAACTCTCAGCAGCATAGATATTCACTTGTCTTCCCTAGAAGATGTAGAGCAGTTATGAGGCTAGATTTCTTAAACATTGAGATTTACCTTGAAAGAAACAAATATATGTTGTATTTTAGGAAAATGCTCTCTAATTAAAATTAGGTGACAAATGAAAGTCAAAAGTGTTCTTAAAATTAATCTGGACACATGAACCGGTTGAAGTGTGAGCAAATTATATGTTCAAATTCAGCATTATACATTTCAATTACGGTTCTCCATTAATCATCATGACATTAAAACTTAGCCGTTTCAATTTAGTGTTCATTCACTTATCATTCAATTCTAAATACATCGGCAACAATTCTAATCGATAAAGTAATTGAATCGATTAGTAGTTTTCACTATTGCTATTCCACTGTCCTTATTTATTTCTACCCTACTTTCTGACACGGTCAAAACGCATTGTCACGATGCAGCTGCCTCATTTTATTTGGCAAAATCCAGTTCAGATTTCGGTATTTCATAATTTTTACTGTCGTTACAGTGCGATATCCTTTCACACTAAATCGAATAACGTACGTTCCTTGCCACCAATGTTGCGATAGGATGTTATAGGCTAAAAGGTCGATTCACTATCAACTCTCTTTATAGCATGTTATTGTCGGCAAATTATCTCAGATATCAGAAATTGAGAGATAGTAGTGCACATTTTCTCAAATAGAATCTCAAGTTTATGTTGTCCTGTGGTTGATTTCTGAGCTTAAGTAGGAAACACAAACATCTGTGTGGGTGAATAGGGTGACTGTATATGGCTGGTTATGTGAGTTTGAGGGATTGAAATATTGGGAGAGGAGTGAGGTGAGGTGCTGTAGTTTCCACCAGTCAATACCTCAAAGGTTTCTCAGAAATCTGACTTGACTGATTTTGACTTATGAAGGGAATAAGATAAAGCTGCATAATGCATTACATTGGTTAGGGCTTCCACATTGAGCGAAGATAGTGGGACAATAGCTTAAAGCTAACAAGGTGATCAAAAGCACACCGTACATATTCCTGCCCCTATGGCTATGGATGTTTTCCTCTGTTCACCACCTTAGAAGTGAAGAAACCACTAAGAATATGTGCTCTTGCCCCTTCAATAATTAATGCTTTGGACAACCGACAAAAGAAAGGGGAACTCTTTGATTTTTTGGATATGATTTATTAGTGGTAAAACATTGAAACAACATATACCTAATTACCTCCATCACTCACTCCTTCAAAGTGCTAGTACACGTGCAGCACAGCACAGTGGTTTTAGAAGCAAATTCTAGTTTCAAAGGAGCAATCAAATCAAATCAAACACTTCATCACTATGCATAGTTTATTTATCTTTGAATCAAAGACTCATTCATTGATTAGGCTTGGTGGTTCCTGCGTCAAAAGAATCCTAGATTGGTTTGGGTTCCAAAGGCAAATACCGTTGGGACACAAAAATTCCGTATTTCAGCATTTCTCCTCCCAACTTTTGACATATCGGTATATAGCCTTTTAGGCTATGTGGGTTTCTTAATGTAGAATAGAAGACCTTTTCTTTTTCTTGCTTTATTCTCTCACATTCCTCTCGATCCACAACTACTTTCTTGGTGGGAATGAAACTTTGAAGGACGTTTTTCCCCCCCTTACACATGCTATCAATAGTTCTGTCAAGTTTCAATGGCTATACTCATCTCAACATCAACTTTTGCTAATTTATCAAACCCATTATCATGCCCTATGTTCTCAATCCCTCGATCATTGTAATGATTCTCTATTATAAGATTTTGATTCATTATAGAGTATATTATTAGCCCACCAGAAATAAAAAGGAAGCATACATTAAAAAAAAGGCTATCCGAAGTGGCAAGTGCTTATCACATAATCAACGTCATCTCACTTTTACTTAACTTTTGAACATGGGTAATTTGTGGTGCAAATAACTCTATCAACACTCCAATTATATATACATATATTTGTCAATCTTGTTGATAACATAAACAAATATATTAAATCTCACTCCAATTCATTTTCTACTCTAGATTACAGGACTCGGCATTATTCATACTTTCCATCTAAAAGTATTCTAGATTCAACCCAGATGTGTTGCTTGTTCCAAGCCACTGAACTATAATTGTGTTGGGTGACAAGGACAGAGGAAAGTTAGGAATTTCACATGGAAATGGTGATTTGATTTCGCAGGGATCAAGTATAAAAAACAGATATTTACATAACCCCCTAATAACTTTGCCAAGACCTGGAAATCATCAGAGACCATCATTTTTTCTTTGTTTCTGGGGGATTGTTTTGATTATTATTTATATTCTTCTTTTCAAAAAGTAATCCATGTGTATGTACAGGCAAGAATCATGGCTTCTAGGTCATACGAATCATGGTTGCTCTATAATTTTGAACAGTACTGTTAGGGATTGATGACACCCCTAATAGTGAGAACAGTTCCACAAAACTTTTCCCCTATGAAAAAAATAAAAATAAAAAGCATGAAATTATTACAAAATACAAAAAATATTTACTCATCTTGGCCTCTGGAGTGTCAGGGGCCACATGGTTTGGGAGGCTGTTGTGAAATGTGTAGACCAAAAATCTCATTCCATGGCATATGAATTAAGATAGTTGGGCAATTAGGTGGAATTAGAATGTACAACTCACTGACATGTTACATAGTACAACCCTATGACCCAATAAGAGAACAACATGCTTAGATAATCTTAGGATAATTTTATTATTAGGATTAATAAACTTTGTAAAAAATATTATTTTTTTTTTACAAATTTGAATTAAAATCTTCTTATCAAATTTATGTGTGAATCAAGAACATTTCTTTACCAACAATTTAAAATTGCTCTTTCATGTCATAAAAATTATTCAACCAAACTTTATATTTTTTTATATTTTTTGTGTGCTTGTACATATTCTTGAGTAACAGCTGAATATCACATCAAGAGTAATGATTCGTAGTTATGACATTGTCAATATATGTTGATGTTCACATGCAACTGGATTAGGTAAACATTTTTTTTTTAAATGGTATATGTAACTTTTCTTCCTCTTAAAAGTTATTGCATCCATTATTTGAGTTGAAAATCATTAGTTCTTGAAGTAATAAATTCAACGTTAACTTTTCTAAAGGGTTTAGATTTATCGTTTATTTTTCTTTATGCATTGTTAGGCAATCGAGTTTCACGAAAAAATAATAATTGTCCTGGTTTTTTAATCGCTCTCTAAATCAATAAACCGAATGTCTCAATCTTTTTCAAACACATAATCAATTTTATTTTTTTAATTTTTGGTCCAAAGAGTTCTTTTGTTTTTTCTATTCATTTCCAAGGAGTATTTTTAGAAAAAAAAAATGGGTGGTGCAAATAGTAAGTCTCAAGTTATTCCATTCAGTTCAATTTTTTCATGATCCACATAAATTTGGTCTGTTTAGTTCATGTTTAGGGTTGATACCTATGGATAGCAAAAGTCTTCAAAATACATTGCTTCAACCATGTGATGATAAAATATCAAGCAACGATCTTCAAAAATCATGGGGTCAACAAAAAAACTTGTCTTGCAAACGAAAATGATATGATCATGTGAGAAATGAAGCATTGTAAAAGAAAAGTAAGAAACAAAGTAATCGCATGTGAATCAACCTCTAATTTTCTTACTCTTTGACTCATTTCCCATACTTCAACCATTGTTAGGAATCACGATGGTCTTTTAGTTCGATCTTCTTCCTTTTCCTTTTCTTTTTTCAAATTGGAAATATATCATCTCATTTTTCACTTAGAATGAATGAAAATAGACAAAATGAAATGAGACTGCAATTTAAAAAAGAAGAAGAAGAAGAAGATCAATCCATGGTTAGTGTGTTTCATTTATCTTAAATGTGTTAAATTTTGTTTGCTTTACAAATCCCATCTTGCCCCATTGTTTTGTGTATAACATGTTCATATTTTGTATGTTTGAACAACTTATCCAAATTGTTCAACAATCAATCATTTAGAACACACAATGGATTATATGAAGCTTCCTTGCCAATTTTATTTAAAACTAGCAATCACATATGAAGGTTAAGAAGTAATAATCAAACGGAATTGGATAATGATGAATTGAATATCTGAACAAAGGTCTATCTATAGTTGTTAAGAACGATAATCACGAATGAGCTAATTCAATTGGTCTTGTCATAGTTTCAGTGATTATTATTTTACAAAAATTGTGAATATTTTAGTCTTTAGACTGTCACTAATTAAAGCAGTCAACAATAGTGAATATTTTAGAGTGAAAATCAAACATTTATGATATTGAAGAAGGAACGTAACAATGATGGCTTATTTTTCTTTATAAAAAAAAAAGTAAATGAAATTAATTAAGTAGGTAAGACATCTTTCAGTTGTTTATGTTTGTTTGGGAGGGTGTATTTATCATTATTACCTAAGCTCATGCGAAAAATGACAAATTTAAAGAAAGCAAAGAGTGGGGACAATAAAAATGAGATTAAAAAGCTTAAATTGAAGAAATTAAGCACATTATAATTATACTACATGGTCCCTACCACACCCTCAATTTCTTCAACAGTTGTAACTGAAACAACCAAACATGTATTCGAAAGAGAGTGGCTGGCTTCATTATCAAACATCAATTATCACTACCATGCTTAATTAACGAATGCCTAATCATAAAAATTATAATAATAAGCCTAGTAATGCTTCATTGACACGGCGCAATTGGGTTTTGTGGGATCAAGTCAAAGAAGGCTACCACAAATTTTGGAATTTCCTCAAACACCTTCACGACGTGTTCCAAAAGTGATTCCATCACCCAAACCAAACACGGGTTAACCTTTCCACAAACTCTACTTGTTTTCACCTAGCTAGTCTATATTCATCACATCGCTCAATCAATTCAAAACCCTCTTAGATTATAGACACTAATCTCCGTAATGGACATGTTAATAATGGCATCCTTCGAATCCGTTTCTCAATTTTGTTTTTCAACTTTTTGCTCCAACTGGTTTGTATATATATATATATATATATATATATATATATATATATATATATATATATATATATTTAATCAAAGTAAATAAAAAGTTAGATAGAGTTTTCTTAGGGTTTTAACTTTAGCAGAACTTGATCCAAACATGAAACCATTCGTGTAAAAGCAGCCCTATTTGGAGGATTTCTAGACAAGACATTTTGGAATTGAGATAACGATTTGGCAACCCCCAACCTAAAGAATTTGCACGATTTGAGCAAGTAGTACGATTTTCTTCTTCTTCTTCTTCTTCATAATTTTTTTTAATATATATATATATATATATATATATATATATATATATATATATTTATGTCACTTGAATAATGCTTTTAAGCTAACCCAATATATAAAGCACTCAATCATGATCGGAATTCTCAAATTGTATGATGGTTGTGCGGTGGGATTAGGTTTAAAGATTCTTCGAACTGAGGTTTATAACAATGGAGTAATTTGTAACTCGATCCTCATATCTGTACTACTTTTGACTTTTCTGCTTAGTGTTTAAAGGGCTAAAGAATAATATTCTAGAGTTGTTGTTTGCTTCATATTTCTTTTCCTTTGTATCTTGATCTCGTATCTAATTTTCATCTCAAAAGTCCTAATCAAATAGCATATACCTTGTCATCTTGTATTATTATGTCTTACGTATTCTGCTTCAGATTCCCATTTTGTTTTTAAGGAAATACTTGGCAAATAAAATATCCCTTTTTCTTAAAAACCCACTTAACGTTATCTTTGAATTTTCAATGTGCATGCACTTTGAGAGCAAAACTAAATTGGGAGGCAATGATCCAAGATCACAATCAAAGTAGACAATAAAAGCTTGATATTGAATTTGATTTCATGAGCCACATCAACGATTGTTATCTAGATTTGAAGCTTTGATTGAGAGGTGTTGGTGCAATGGTGCGTGCATAGTTGTCCCACACCCTCCAACGTCGTTTTTACAAGTATTTCATTTTTAGTTAGTGGATTTCATACCTACGTAAAGTCCAATAATATCTAACTTACATGTATCATTCAAGCTGCAGCATATAAATATAACGTGCTTAGTGATCTTATTCAGGAATATTTTTATTATTTTTTCTTCTTCTTCCTTCATATACGTTTTTCCTTTTTCCTGAAACGAAACTGATCCAATTGTCGAGTTTTGTAAGCCTACTACTATTATTATTATTATTATTAGTATTATTATTATTATTATTATTATTATCATCGTCTCTTGTGATTTCTTCTGGTAGCATTATTATTTGTCACACATGTTAGGCCAAGTGAGCCAATTAGTCAAAGACAAGGAACATAAATAAATTATGTGAATTAAGAAGCTAGAACTATGATGAATCTTACTCCTCCACCATCAAACCACAATCCACAGTTCAAACGTGATAATGATAATGATAATATAAATAATTGGTTTTTTGGAGAGAACTTCAATCATATAAGTTGGGCATATATATATATATATATATATATATATATATATATATATATATATATATATTTAGGAAGGTTGAGTGGTTGTATTTGCAATTATCAGTGCATTTACATGAAAGCAACTATAATGAAGAAAATAAAACTCTGACTCTGCTTGCTGAGATGGCTTGACGGGTACTCCGATTTATTTATTTATTTATTTTTAAATTAATTGTATATATAATCTTGAATAATAAGTCCATGATTAGAAGTCTAAGCATATGTGGAAGGAATATGGAGCAGTACAGTATCAGTTGTTTTCAGAAAAAAATATAAAGAATACTCTTTATGACTAAAGAGAAGCAGAAGAAGGCTGAATTTGGGTTGGTTGAAGAGTGATTTATGGTTGTGAATAAACAGGGTAAGAAGAGCGTTTGAAAAGAGATGAAAAAATTAGATATAAAAGCGTTGATAAGTAGATAGAGAAGAGGGTGTGCCAAAAACAAACTACGGGGGGACAAAGATTAGATCCACGGATCTTATATGTACACTAAAAATTGTACTGTTAGTTTTTGGCATCCACATGTCCCAAGTCACATGTTACTCACATGATGTGTTTGATATCCCTTGTCACCCATTGTATAATGACTGAAAGGGATATCATACAAATGCATGAAAATTGGGCAAAGATTGGGGCCCTAACAATTTGTGATGGAAAGGACAATTGGATCCAATTAATTAGGGGTTATCAGTGGGTCGGATACCAGTGTACCTAATATAGTCCTTTTAGCTTAGTACTTTAGCCCGTGTATCATGCGTGGGTCCCAAATCAACTATTTTTATTTTTTCTTACTTTTTAGCGTTTGCCCCCGAAGACCATTACAATAGGAGGAGGAGGAGAGGGTAAAAATCAAATCCTCATAGGACTTGTTTACATTTTAATGCAGCAAATTCATATTATCTGATCTGAACTATCACTATAGCCAAACAGAAAAAAAGCTGTGATTCAATAATGTCACATCTCTCTAACTCGCATTTTAAACCCTTTTTGATAGAAATATGTCTTATAAAGCTTCTAGTAATAATTTGATATAGTTGGATGGCAAAAGTTGGAAGGCACAATTAGTTTTAAATCCAAAGAATTCAATGTTGTAATGTGAATCGTGATCATTGAAATTGCATATAAAAATACGCGACAGAAAAGGTAGAGAAATGGTGAAAAAGACTAAGAAGTGTTTGAGTAATTAAGGTTAAAAGGGTTGGATCTGAATGAGTCATTGGTTTGATTGGAAATGCAATAGAGAAATGTGAGCTTAGGTAGGTGAGGAAATAATATTGAGTGGGAGGAGGGATTGGAAATGGGGATACGTGCCAAAATAAGTGAATGAATGAATAATGGCAATGACAGAGAGGGAGGGTCAAGAAGGGCAACAAAGCAACGTGGAGGCAAAGGAAAGGAAACAAAAAAATTGAAAATGTATCAGTGACAGACACCCATATGCTGTGTGACCTGTGTGTGCCTATCGGATCAATGGTCGATTGGTGGGAGAAAAGCTTCTACTACCCATATACTGCTACTCTGCAAAATTAAACCACACCACACAAACATAATAATTCATTAAGCAACCCATATATGCATAGTTTTTCTCTCCAACATAATTTTTCTTCAAGAGAAGAAATTGGGATAAATGCCTATTGGTCAATTTTACTTTGTTCAAATCGCCCCAAAATCTATCTTTCATGTCAAACATGTCTGGGCTTCTGGGTTATCCAATCTTTTAATTTCTCTGCCACAGGACCAGTTTCGTATTGTCAGAAAATTTCTTCAAAGTCTATCTCTCTCTCATGTCACGGTGAATATCAAGTTTGGAAATTTTTTATTCATTTATTTGTCGCTATAATTGAAAAGAGAACCAAAAACCACCTCAACGCGTAAAGGTCTATATTTGTTTATCTGGTCTAATATTTCGGTTGCACAAGAAAACGGTCTTTTATATTGGTAGATTTTTTGAATGATGTAAAGTGTTCCATGATCGCCATTGGAGATGCATGAAATGGTCGATGGATGCATTGAATTTATTCTTTCTCAAACAGCATGGGAGTTTGGTCAATTTCTGTTTTTTCCTCCCTTTAGCTAGAGGAATTAAATGAACTGTAAAGAAAAAAGTTATGAATACTAGTTCTAAGAGAGTCCCACATGGAATCGTTTTGTATGTTTAGGACTCCAAGGTAGGTTTTTATGCTTGTATCACATTCCACCACATCCGCATCTACATATTCTAATTAACATTGCCTTCTGTTCTTTCTTTCTTGTTTTTTCTCCCTTCCCCATCTCTTATGCAACCTATTAGTTTTCAAGAAAATGACTTCAACCAAACGGGTCACAACAATAATTTTAGTACAAACTACTCCAATTTCGAACCAAGCCAAAACCAAAGCTGTTGAAAGACCACCTTATCAAAACATCAACATGGATAACAAACTGCATAAATTAAGATATAGATATAGACAAAGCTTTCCCGATTCCATCCACACTATCAAGAAACCTAGAAGAGAAACAGAATTACTTTCAACTTGAAGGTAAATCTATTTTATACTTTCATATGTAGCTTCCTAAAGTTACATATTGGACCTATTTAAGTGTCTCTGTATATTTTTAAAATATGAAAAACAGATTACAGAACTAACTATTACTTTTCACTTTTAATTAGTATATAATAAAGTAAATTTTAAAAGAAAAAGTACATTTACCAATGTATCTAGATTTTCATGTTAGGTGTTGGGGATATCAATGTTACGTGTAGGTGAGATGGGGTTTGATTCTAACAAGAAAAGCTGCAAGAATCATACATATGAGAGGGACAGAAAAGAGAGGGAGGTATTCTTTCTTTATTACTTCGTTGTTATTTGCATGTGTGTCTGACGCGTGAGCGTTATTAATGGGTCTCGTTTTTCTAGAGAAATAATAAAGTTTCATTAGACTTGTTTGTAGTTATTCTCAAGAGAAAGAAAAAGAAAACAAAAAAAAGAGAGAAAAAAATCAATATTTCACACCATTCTTCTGAGGTTTGATCTTTAATTACCTAGACAAATTTTCGATGAACATTTCCTTACGATAATGGTCTTTCATGGCAGACTCGTGTTTGTGTTGTGTTGTGTGTGTGCCCACATAAAGAGGGAAGTAAGAATCCAAAACAAAATCTTGTACATAAATTAAAAAGAGAAGAAAATTATCTGGGTGAAGGCTACTTTTGCTTGCTAGTTTGCCATTCAATACATATGATATATTCTTCACATGCCCCACATATATCTTCTCACTCCATTAGATATTTACGTGGTTGAAATTAAATTAAGTATAGACTAATAAAAGATTAATTTTGTTTTTATCATGGTTTAGTCAAGATGGATGAATTTAATGACACAAATATTGATATTACATGCTTAATCGTAAGCCATGTATGCAATTGTATTGTTGTTGGAAAGAAACAAACCATAGAGTCATTTAATTGAAGATTGGTGTTGAATCTGGATCCATCTTAATTGGATAATGGTTTTCAATTGAATTGATTTCATTAGAAAAAAAAAGAGCATAATTTTAAGATTTATTTGATGCGTCCACTTCAACTTTTTAAGAAAATTTGAGTTCCACTTGTTTCTTTCTTCCCTCTTTTCACAAAGGTCCACTTGCTTTTCCGGCATGAGGAAGATATGTTTATAGCTTTTGTTTTATTGGAACCCATAGGAACGGTATTTATAGCACACCAAATTATGCTAGAGATATACTCTATGCTTTATCAACTTATTCAATGTGCTACCTCCACCTCTTCTATCAGATATAATCTTCAAACTTAATTTCATTCACCTCTACAGAATTTCATAACACATCATAAACAATTAATGCCATCTTTGAATTTGTTTCAGCTCCTTTTTAAGGTTGTTCTGTAAAATAATGTTCAAAAGAAATGTTTTTATTAAATGTATCTAATATAAAATATATAATAAAAATCAATAAATGTATTATGTATGATATTTTTTTTATGGTAGTCCTTTTACATATAAAAAAAAAAAATTCTTTCACTGGTTTTTTTAGTGATGTCACTTTTTTTTTTTTAACTTGATTATGTGGTTGAAGTTGAATTTTCGTAGCTGAATTGTATGACCTAATTGTTGAATTAAACTTAAAAAAATAAAAAACGTAATTAGTATATTAGTGTCGATTAATTATTACAGTGCATTGCAACTTTGCTAATACCTTTTGTATAATTGTATTGTTGTTATTTTAATTGAAGGTGTACATCTGATAATTTATGTGGTAAATATATATTGACATTAAATATTATTGTGCATGAATTGTTAAAGTTAATTTTTAATTTTATTAAAGAGCAAAATAACACTTATATTAAAAATTTCCAATATAGTGGGAGGGGATTATAATAGTTGGACACCAAATAAGAAACCCATAATTGTTTGTTTATATAATAACAAAATTAAAAACTAAATTAATTTAAAAAAAAATATAACAAACTCAGTATACTTTGATTATTTGAATATTAGATATTTGGAGTTTAGTTATTATATAAAATATGTTTCATATTTATTATTCTTGACTAATATAAAAAACATCAAAAGTTATATATATATATATATATATATATATATATATATATATATATATATATATTATAAGACGTTTAGACGAAGAATAAAGCTTTTTTAAGAATTTGTTATCTTTTAGTATATTAATTTATTTTTTAAATAATAAGTTTGGATTTGTTCTTCTTAATTATAAATTATTTATAAATATTTTAATTATTATTATATGATTTAAAATTTTAATTAATTCTGTTATTATTTTTATTAGTTTTCTAGATTTTAATATTTTTTTACATAGGGAGATGATAGTGAATCTTTTATTTCATAATACTGTTTATTTTGCAGGTTAAAACTCCACTTTTATTTACAAACTTATGTGTAACTTAATTTTTATTTTTTATTTAATAAATAATTGTTAGACTTTTGAGATTTTTTTTCAATTATTTATTATATATAATAAAAATATAAAAATATTAATATTTTCGTTTAATTACCTAAATTAAAATAGTAATATAATATTTTTATTTTAAATAATATTTTAAAAATCAAAATATAATAAAAATATATTAATATTTAATTTAAATAAAAATAATAATAAAACATATATTTTAAATTTCTTCTTATTTTAATATCTATCTATTTGAATATATTCTTTCTTTTATTTTTGTTTATAATTTTTTAAATTGATGTTATTTTTTTTTAAATCATATTTTCTTTCTTTTATATTAATAACAATGAATTTTTTTTATGAATACGAACTAAAGAGAGAAGAGAAAAAAAACTAGAAATTGGAGAGCAATGTAACTAGTTTTTTCACAAATTTTCCTTATCGTATGTTTGTTCTATCATTGTTTTAGTTCCTAAGTTTGAAATAGCTTTGATTATTAATAGTTTCACATCATTTTCTACTCAATTCTTCACATGCATGTTTCGGTTTGCTTAATTCTTGTTCTAAGGCATAATTCTCTAATTTTTAACGAAATTCTTTCATGTTGGAGGCTGTGATTTGAGTGTGGTTGGTGCCATCTTTAGTTCCTTATTAATCAATGCGAAGAACCACACTTCAATAGCTGACTTCTAATTAAATTTGAATTCTAATGTCTTTAGTTTTTGGTTTTGATATTATTGTGACAAGTTTTTTGTTTTTCTTGTAGTTTCTTAAATTCTTTTCAATAGGTTCTCAATTTGTTCGGTTAGATCACTGTCTTTAGAAGTTAAATTAAATTTCTTTAGCTTAATCTAGGTTTTAATGGGTTCACAATTGAATTATGATTAATTTTCTATTCGACTTCTATAAGTAGTATTTTTCTTTGATTAAATTTCAATTTCTATTTTGTATGCATGGGTTATTAATTGTTTTTTTTCACAAGTTACTTTATCTTAAATCTGTCTTATATTTTAATGATTGGATTTAAAAGTTATTTATCTGTATCTTTATTCTCCACGTTGATATCAAGTTTTTTCATAAAATATGTCTCATGATTTTTGTTTTCTTTTATATTTTTATTTATAGTCAACTATTCTTTCATCAAATCTAAAATAAAACTTTTTCCTTTCATATAAATTTTAAATATTTTTAAATTATTTATATTTTTAATCACAATTAATTTTTATTAAATCCTCTTATAAATTATAACTTTCATATTTCAATATTTTTTTCTTTTATATTATTATTTTAAATAATCCCTAATTTTTTAAATAATTTTAGAATCATATTCCGATAAACATCATTTTAAAAACAACAGCCAACAAACATAATTTTATCTTTATCTTTTTCATTTTTCTTTCATTTTTAATTTTAATTTAGATTATAATAAAATTTTTAGACAAATCAATAATATAATATTCTTTCACAAATTTCTATAAAATTAGTGATTCAAAAATCATAACTTTCCAAATAAAATAACTTCCCATATTTTAACGATGTTACATTATTTTTATTTTAAATATTTATATTAAAATATTGAAAATAATTTATTGTTTTAGAATAAACTAAAATGAAAAACGTGACATTTTCTTAACTATTTATACAAATAATATATATATTAGACCAATCAAGTCATTCTGTTGAAACTCAAAATTATGGTGGTCAAAGTTAACATGTATTAGTTGAATAGAAGGGACGACAAAAGAGAAATTGAACTCATGAAAACAAAAATTATACTTTTTTTTTTTTGTTTCTTCTTTTGAAATGGGAAGAAAAAACCGGAGAAAGAAAAATTAAGGTGCGGATTGAAAGCAAAAGAGATGTTTGAAGGAAGAAAATGGTAAAGGACATGAAAAATATCAAATACCCTTTATTTCTACATTGTTTTGTAACATTATAGAAAGTGGTTAAAATGCTTGGCACTGTTTTTTAAAGTTATTTTCCCTCTCTTGAAGAAACAAAAAAAAAAAAGAATAAAGCTAATCGAGTTAATTTTGGAGGGTGCCACCAACTCCACACAGAAGAAGAAGAAGAAGAAGCAAAGAAGGTATCTAAAAGTGGGGGGTTTTGTAGTTGAAAGAATAGTTACACATTACATATATTCCATTGCCACCTCATCTTTCAAAGCAATACCACCATCCTTGTTTGCATCCAAAGTCAATATATATAATGCCAATTAACACCACACTCCTTCCCATGACATGTCATGCATGCCATCACATGTCATGCCATGTTGATTGATTCCCTTGACATCTATCCCTTAACATCATCTATGGTCCCCGTGACCGTGAGCCCATCCACGATCACGATAGAGAAACCTTTCAGAGAGAGAGAGAGAGAGAGAGAGAGAGAGAATCTAACCTATTAATTTTGAACTAATCGCACTCTTTTTAATTTGTTGCTTCTAAGGGAGGGCAAAGCCATATAATACAAAACCAGAGAAGGGTCATGGGTGGTGCCTCATGTATATATATATCTTAACTTATAGTTTGCTTCGTTGCTAGCTATAACCAAAAAATAAAAATAAAAATAAAAGCTTTAACCAATTAGCCACCACTTTGTAATAATATAAATGGTTTGGTTGCTAACAATCCTTGCTTTCTATTATAGCAGTTGGTGTCGCTTTCTCTTGCTTGTATTTGTTCTGAAATCCCCCCATACTCTCTATATCACATTATTTCTTTGTTCACCAACAAACATTTAAAAATCGAGAAAACAAATTAAACTTAAGTTCTCTGCCTACATGCTTACCTATTTACGTTTATACGTGTCCATCATGTTAAAACAACAAGTCATTGGTTGCTTGTATAGATGGTGAATATAAAATTAAGTTTGACAACACCAACAATTAATTATATACGTGACTCCAAACTTTTATAATGATGGAATTATAGTATCATTCTACACATGGTTGTATTGTAGTCATATCTCACCCTATTATTTCATTTTTGACTTTATATTATATGCATTAACTAAACTATTAATTAATATCGACCTTCATCGAGTATGAATCACAATATTGTTCTTCATAGAGAGCATGTCAACCTTATCGCACCGCTACTTTTCCCGATTCGAATTGAATGGCAGGAATTCGATTTCCACGTCGTTCATATTATTTTCTTTAAATGATTTCACGTCACTGAATTGAATATATCTCTCTCCTCACAGAACCATATACCACCATGTCATCGCTTTGTTTAGATTAAAAATAATTCTGGCCGGCTATAATTTTTCTGTGTAAAAGAAGTGGCGTCAAGTTAAGGAAACATATGTGGTTATTTACTAAATTTTATTAATGGAAAAAAAGAAGAAGAAGATGGACATGTATGCACAAACAACAAAAATGTAAGTATCTTCAATTTTGCAGAGTCTAATGCAGCCATTTCAATTAATCCCATATTCCACTAATGTACGAAGATGTCACAGAATCGCATTTAACGCCAGAAATTCCTCTGATGCGGCGCCATCCAGATTTAAGTTTTATTTTGCCAAACTGTGCAAACAAATTACTCTAAGGTGTTAAGCGTTGAAATCGATTATACGAAGAAGAAATTTTGCAAAAGTTGTAACAATTAATCAAACTTATCTTTTGTGTGGATAAAGCTTTAAGGTGTGTTAAAATTCAAAGTAATGTGAATATTGTAGGGCATTATAATACCTTATAAAACTGGTAATTTCATAATTGATTTATCGGATAAAATTAATAAGTGGTAGAGGTAGCTAGTTTAACTAAAAACGGTAGTTTTTGATTTAATTGAGGTGCAGTTAATTAGGTTAGTGGAGGGTAGGGGAAAAGCAAAGGGTGAGTTGTATAAGTAGTAAGAGCGTATTGGTATGTATGCTTATGAGGAAATTTTGTATGCAAAAGAATTAACCTAATGAAAATAAACAGAGTGATGCATGATGTGATGGGCAGAGTACTATTATTATGAATATGGTACCTGTGGTTGTATCCGTTGGATTAGGGGACCACTGTCCTCTGCCTTGGGGTATTGAGTAAAATTTGTTCTTAACCCGAGATGCTTTTGCTCCATGCTCACTCCGGTCTCGGATTTTGGTAGCTTGCAATGCTTTCTTTATCGTCTGAGAAGGCAACACATCGAAAGTGATCCATAATTTTGGATTATTTAATTAAATTCTAATGCCAGAGTTCTCCTGTGACGGGGGTAAACTTCTCTTTTCTTTTGTGGTCCACTTCCCGTTTCCAAATCTTTCTATTCTTCTCATTTAATTTCCTTTGGCCCGAATCTATACTTCCTTCAATCTCATTCAAATGTAACTTTTAAGGACCTAATTTCACCATCTAGCTCAATTCCCAAGTTGGATAAACAAAATTATTATTATTATTTCTTAAATCTGTGAACACGAACAAGGACACGATGCATATCTCTCAATTTATTTCTTAGACTATTTCAGACTTTGAGTTCAACAAAATACCTATGTATTCCAGCAAAATTGTGTATTTTCTACGTTTACATGACATCATCTATATATATAGTTGATTTTGTACGGAATTTCTGTTAATTGTGGCATTCGGTCTATACATGTTGATAACAAAAGGAATGACGTGCATGGTTTTGTTAATCTTCTGCCTTAGCTTCCATGGAAATAATTTTGGTCGAATCTTAATGTTGTATTTTGGTGTGAAAGGCAAAAAGGCTGAATTAATTAATTAAAAACCGTGACACACGCATAGAGGTGGAGAATTGATTGAGAGGTGAGGCAAAGCAACCATTGTTGAATTATACATGTATACATCTGAGAGGAAGGTAGCTAGGTAGCTAAGTTTGCATGATTGAAGGAAAGAATGATTAGTGAATTAATTTGTGAAGAAAGTGAGATGAGAAGGGATGAAGAATGGGAGCATAGAGAGAGAGAGAGGTGCATGGGGCCTAGATGGATGTGAAGAGAGGGAGGGGAAGAGTGAAAATAAAAGGTGGCGTTGTGGCCACTAATGAATGTGTATTAAGTAGAGGTTGGGTTAGAGAGTTAGATAGGTATAGCTATAGTGTTTTGATTCTTTTGCAGCAAACACAAAGAAAGAGAGAGAGAGAGAGAGAGACCCACCACCACCTCCCCACACCTTGATGTTGTTTCCTCATTACCTCTCACGAGTCCCTTTTTATTTCCCTTCCTTTCCCTATCTCTCTCTCTCTCACTGCTCTCTCTGTCTCCTCTACTGCTTCTTCTTGTGACTGCCATTATCATCATCATCATCATCATCAGAAACGCAAGCCAATGCACTCACACTCTGCCTCATCAATTATACCACCACCCACCTCTCCCCCCATCCTACCAACACTCCCAATTCCCATTAATATTTCCCTACCATTTTCAACACCATTTTCCTTTTCCAATTTTTTTTCTTCTTCTTCTTCTTCTTCTACGCCTTTCAATCACTCCTCAATTCTTTATTCCCTTCGTTAAATCTTTTATTATTTTTTAGACCATAGTTTATAGTGGGATTATTGTTCATCGCACCACAAGTCTACATGCATTACCCAAAAAGGTTAGCATAACACCTTGCCCATCACATTTCCTTTTTTTCTTACTGCCTTACATCACCATGCGCGGTAGGTATATATTACCACACAACAACTCATCAAATTTACCATCATATTACATCTCAATAATAAAAGAAGGAAAATGATACTTTTGACCACCCAAGTCTACATACTCCCTTAACCAACTCTCTTTTAATATTATAATAATAATTTTACTTTCTTTTTATTTTTATTAAATCAGTCTACGTATTATTATATTAATAAAAGTGAATTATTTAAAAGATGTTATGGTTTTTGGTGTTCAAAATATCACCATCTTAATAAAATAATCGAAACTAATGATACTACACATTTCCTTTTTATCTACATAAACGAAGCCAGATGCCAAATTTTGACAACGTTAATAATTATCGTTGGCTAGCTATAGCACCCCACTACGAAATTTCAACGAGAAAAAAAAGAAAGAAAGAAAGGAAACAAAGTGAAAGGCAAGACGCGTAGAGAATGAGTTCACCCACGAGAAGCAACTGGGGATCCTATTATATTTGTTGAACGTGATTGGTGATTTGGTTGGTTTAGGTGATAGTTCACTTCACTATATGTGTAGGGCACAAACAAATGCGAGTCACTAATCTTTATAAAAGCACATGGGATTCGCGCGGTATATTTTTATTTTTTTTTGCTTAATAATTATACTGTATGGTGTCGGTTAATGTCAACAATTCAAATAATCACGTGTTTAAGTGCAGCAGATACATGGGTTATTAGTTGTATCGTACCGAGAAATGCATAAAAAATTGAAGATGAGAAAAATGGCATGGTATAAATCGTTGAAAGTTTGATGGTAACACCACTTGGTTTGTGATAATGGAGTGAGGACCTAGGTGGTCTTGGAAGGGAAGGACAAGGGGAAAATGTTTGTTTAAAAATAAAATAAAAAGGAAAATGTAAAAGAAAAAGGCATAACCGAATAGGTACGTAGTGGATTAGACTGTGGAGTGGTGGGGATGGTGAACAAGTTGGTGCCATGTAACCAAAGAAGCCCCAGAAAAATGGAAATTGTGATGCAAAGAAATGGTAAGAAAGACAAAGTGATGGAAAACCCTAGAAAATGAAAGGAGTTTAGTTTGGGTTGGAAATGTGTGGGTCAAACAAATCGGGGTTATTGGCTGGACGAGGACAAAAGGACTGTGTTAAGCAAAGTTGTTGTTTTCACCCAGGGAAATGCGCTACGTCTCGTAACATTTCTTGAAGATGGTGACTCATATTAGCACCATTAATTTCCTCGTAAGATCCTTGTTTATAAAAAAATTATACAATATAGTATACTTCATTTCATCATGTTTATTTTATTTTTTTCGTGAAGTAGATAATCACGATTAATGGTAGTTTTAGTTTTTTAAAAGATTGCTGTTAAATCGAAAACGTTTAGACTTTTGTAGAGTATACGGTATTATGATGTGACCAAATTGTTGATTTAATTGATAGTAATCAGAGTTAAAATAATAAAGAAGTAGAAGTCACGAAACATTTGGCTGGGCAGGGACAGAGAGCTCAGTGAAAGGAAAATAGTAATATTGATGAATTGCTTTTCCAATCCCTGCGAATCTCAAAATCTCAGCAAACTTACGAGCTATATATGACTTCTTTTTTAACCCAAACCCCAAGAACAAGTTCACACCCATCAAGGGACCAAACCCAAAAAATAAATAAAAAGCATGACATATTGTCTACCTAGCATAATCATAACTCATATCTGTCTTACCACATCTTTAAGTTTTACCTTAAGAAACAATCCCTTTGACCACACCTTTTATGCATGGACTCCATCATTAATATGAATTTAAACCATTTCTCATACTGTTTTTGAACACCATCTTTTATCATATTGTAAATATAAAATATCTATTAAAAATAACGGTTTTTGAATCCAGTTTTTTCCCTAACTAATATCGTGTTGGTAGTAATCAAGGATCCATAGGTCAGATTCAATTAACCGGTTTGAAAACGGTAATGAAATTGTTTCATTTTCAAGCCAAACACCATGTCTCATTATATATCCACTGCTTTTTCTAGACGCAATGGATTCCACATTATACACCTTTCACTTTACCAACATGTAGCCATTGATAATTTGTGTTAAGATGAATTGTGCATGAGGTCAACCAAGGAAGAGGGTGTTGGTCCAATCTTGTTTTTAGGACAAGAGTTTCCATAATTCCTGGCAATAATTGTCAAAGCTACACATCTAATACTAGAATCTAGCTACCCCTTTGAAAAGAATTAAAAAAAAAAATCATTAATTATATATGACACACATATACATATATTTGCGTGGGGCTGTTTAGATGTAATTGAGGAGGTGGTATTATTATGGAGCTAGGTATGGCGTTGTGGACCAAAAGAAAAAAGGTAGAGAAAATAAAAGAAGAGACGAGAGAGAGGAGTGTGTAGAGTGATTCATTGATTCATGCATTAGGATTTATGAAGGAAACAAGGGGAGGCAGACAGGTTGTTGTCCTATTAACTGTATAAGCACCAACATTATGTACTGAAACAATAAACAAACAAAGCAGTGCGCAGATGGAGAAAAGTGGGGCTATTCTGATTAAGAGGGTTAAGAAAACCATGTCTAAGAAATAGAGAGAGTGTTGTAATATTAGCATAAAAAGAGTGATTAAAAATGAAGATAATAATAGTAATGAGGAGATGATGAGAGGGGAAACATATATATCAACTACATGCCTAGCCGACCCTCTTATTGGGACCTAACCAAAGACAAATTATGTGATGCCATTCCAACCACTCTTTCACATTTCCTCTCTTTTTCTCCCTTTTTTAGTGCCTTCTCTCTCTTTCTCCCCTTAATTAAACACGCAAATTACTATCCTTCTTCGTTTTTCGGGAAGATCACCCAACACCGCCTTCACCCTTTTTCTTCTTTGTAGCACAATTACGTAACCCCCGCAACTTATTTTTCACCGCCACCCTAACACATACCAAATCAATTCTCTCACTCACTATAACTAATCTTTCTATTCATTATTTTAAACCCATCAACTCACCCTCAATTTTTTTTCCTCAAATTTATGCATGTATTCTATTGTATAATTTCATCACTTAATTATAAAATTTACTTACTTAATCTTGGGCGTAAGATGAAAACTATGGATCAAATTACATTACCCAATTATATCATAATTTTTTTTTTCTTATTTGATAGCCCTAGTTTATTCTAGACAAGAGAAAATAGTCAAGGAAATATAACCGTGTCGTGAAGGCAACATGCATACCTAAGTAACGAAGGAAAAGGATTGTGGTGAGAAAGAAAAAAAAATAAGTGTTTGATTGACTTAAAATAAAATATGTTAGCGACTAGAAACAAAATTATAAACGTTGGTTTTAGCGGGTTTAATTAAAAATAGTCAATTTTGCTGTAACTACTACATGTTATATTTAAAAGTTTGTTCTCTTTAATGTTGTGCATACTGATGAGATTAAGTTTTGATACGATGGTTTTGGGTCATTTGAAATAGTCCTATGGTTAAACCCTTTTAATTAGCAACAACCCTCTTCAAGAAGAAGGAAATTAGCAAATAAGAGACTCGACATAGCTCTTTCAATCATGCATGCATCTAGATCTGGTATTCTTTAATCTGCTCATAGTTTTCTAATAAAAGAATTATGAGGAACACCCAGTTGTTAAGAGCTCCGACATTCAGCCCCGTAAAAATTAAACTTTGCTTTACCATTAATTTTACTTTTAAGATTTAACTAGAAGTAATAAAAACGCCAAATTTATCAATTGTGGAAAAAGACAGAAAGTTTTCTAATTCAGTTAAAATTGGAGTCAGTTACAAATTAATCCTAATTAATATGGCGTGTTTCTTACAATACTAGATTAAAAACTTATTTTTAATCAAAATACTTAATTTATTCATTAAACTGTGCATTTAAGTAAATATAAGGAAACTGATTATGGTATAAGCGAACAAACTGATTATGGTATACTAATTACAAATATATAAGATAGAAATATATCTTATATATTTATGATATAGTAATAGAAAATTGTTTAATAAATGGAAAATTATAAAATATTTTGTATATTTCTAAATACATAATACAAATCTAATTCAAAAACATGAGAGGGGAAAAAATTGAATCTTGTACGTTATATAACATCTACATATCTAATATTTAAACTCAACATCGCTGCCTAAGTTTGAAAATCTCCTATCAATTTAACAGTACGATTCATAGAAAGAAAGAAAAATTCAATGTTTTTAATGCATATTCCTTTTAGTAAAGTAGTTTGTGAATGTATAATTACAAATCAAACCCATATATATATAGACTGTTATTAGATGAAACAATCTATTAAGAAAAAAGTTTAATACTTTTAAAGTCTAATGTATTTCTTTTATTAAAATCACAATACTTTATATGGTCACTTTTCTTTATTTTTCTTTTTTTTATATTAAAGAAAACTAAAAAAGAAAATGCTTGGTGTTGAGAGGATTTGATAAAATTAGATAAATAAATTGAAGAAATTTAAGTTTTATAACCAAGAGGATATAATTTAATTGGGTGTCAAACATGAAAAAAAAATGATCATCAGATTATTGATACTTTGAATTACTTTTTATCTATTTTTGTTTCACATCTTAGTAAAACAATATTTTCAGTCTTATTTTGATTATCATTTTAGATTATGAATGAAAACATTTAATATTTTTCCTATTATATATTCGTCAAATTTTAATGCAGATTTAAAAATAAAATAAAAAAGTATATCTCGAAGAGAGAGAATAAATAATTAATATGAGATTAAAAAACGCATTTGTATGATAAACATTGTATAAAACTTTGGATGCGAAAATGGGAAGAGTATTTATTTATATTATAATTGAAGAATAATTATTATTATCTAAAAGAATTCAAATCATGGTCAATTAGTAGGTAATATAATTATATAATTAGAATTTTTTATCAACTTCAATCTAAATAGGTATGGTAAATGACAAGAGGGGATTTGGTATTAACCCACGTGGAAGTGCATCATTGTCTGTAAACTTCTGATACTTTCCATTTAAAAAAATAAAATATTATTATTATTATTATTAATTTTGATGGGATTAAGAGAAAAAAAAAAGTTATGGGAAAAGAGAGACGCATGGAGCGTGTATATATATATATATATATATATATACGAACAGCTTTAGCGGTAGCAGCAGAAACCTGTGTACCTGAACAACGCCAACGAACAACAACAATACATCACCCATTTACCAACGCCTCTTCATTTACATACATAATCCCGTGTACACTTTCTCTCTCATCAAAATTATAATTAAATATTTCTATAATAATAATAATAATATTATTATTATTATTTTTTGTTTCTATCTATTTCTCTCATTCCTTTTGCGTCTCCCTTCCTGTGATAACTAAAAATGAAAAGGAAATGCAAATGTTGTGTTGTTACGAATTTACCATGATTGTTAATTAATAATTATGGGGCAGGGTGAACGCGATTTACGTAGTTAATAATAGTAGTAAAATGTAATTTAGAAATATTAATCGGGGAAAGTATTTAAATAATATGATGGGTGTAAGGAAGGATAACAAAGAAAGAGGAGACTAGTTCTAAAGCAAAGAAGAGAAGCAAAGGAAAAGAGAAAGAAGGAGCGAGCAGAATAAGGTGTCTCTCTTGGACTGATTCGCTTCAATCGCATCTCTTCCCCCACCTCTACCACTCTCTCATCTATTCATTTATCTACCTCTCTCTCCCTTCATCACGACAATCAATAAATAAAACTCTTTCTCTTCTTCATGGCCGTTCAAGCTCAATATCCATCCAATGTTCTTTTTCTCAAGAGGTTACACATTTTTTTTCTTTCTTCTCTTCTCACCCTCTCCTGCTATATATCTATTCAATCAATCCTCCAATCACCAATTCATATAATCTTCTCTTTGTCACACCAGGAACAACGCCCAGGAAGTGCTCGACTATTCATTGCAGCAACAACAAGGACCCCTTTTCAACCACTCCCACATGCTATACAACAACGACAATGGAAGTATGTTCCTTCAACTCTCTCTATGCTTATTCTAAGCCACAATTAACATCAACATATCATTAAACATTTCACAACCGCAGGTAACAACATCAACAACAACAACAGCAATTCTCGTAAGAGAGGAAGAGAAGATACCGCTGTTGCCAACAACACAATCACCACAGCAGCTTCTAATGTTATTAATCCCTTTTCTTTGCAATCTCAGCCTCCACAACTTATTCATCTTTCTCAACTCCATAATCACCAACAAAATGTCGTCTCCACTGGTCTTCGTTTATCCTTTGATGACCAACAACAACAACAACAACAAAGACTACAGCTTCATCAAAATCAATCTCAACACCAACTACTACTAAATGGGTCTCACTCTTCTCCCTTCTCATCTGTATTATCCCAAGGCTTGGCTTCTCAAATCAAACAACAGCGTGATGAAATTGATCAATTCCTTCATGCCCAGGTACCAAATTTTTTCCTTTCCAGTTTCAATTCAGAAAACAGTTTTTTTTTTTTTCTTTGTTAGAAAATTTAGTTTTTTAGAAGTAAAAGAAATGTTGATGGCGGTTGCGTGGGAATATCAGGGTGAGCAACTGCGACGGGCATTGGCGGAGAAGAGACAGAGACATTACAACGCGCTGCTTAGCGCGGCGGAGGAAGCGGTGGCACGGCGGCTCAGAGAGAAGGAGGCGGAAGTGGAGAAGGCTACCCGCAAGAACGCGGAGCTAGAAGCACGGGCTGCCCAGCTGAGCGTGGAGGCGCAGGTGTGGCAGGCGAAGGCCCGGGCCCAGGAAGCAACCGCGGCCACCCTCCAGGCCCAACTGCAGCATACCATAATGTGTCAGGGCGGCGATGAAGCTATTGCCGCCGGTGTGTCGTGCGCGGCGGTGGAAGGTCAGGCTGAGGACGCGGAGTCAGCCCACATAGACCCCGAGCGTTTGGTGTTAGCGGCAGCGCGTCCCAAATGCAGAGGGTGTACAAAGCGCGTGGCCTCGATCGTGGTTTTGCCGTGTCGGCACTTGTGCATCTGTACAGAATGCGATGCGCATTTTCGAGCATGCCCAGTTTGTCTTACACCCAAGAATTCAACCGTTGAAGTTTTTCTCTCTTAACAACAACCCTTTCAATTTACTCAATTACCCTCACCCTTTCTTGTCCATAGCACTGCATTCCAAACAGGCACCGAAACAAAAGCTTCTGTCAAACAAAATATGAATAAAATATATTACATTTTTGTTTCTCTTTTGAATTCACATTATTAAAGGTGAAATTTTATTTCATTTCATATAAATAAAGTTATCTAGTAATGTAAATGACCACGAGTTTAACAGTGGCATTTTTTTTTTTGAATTTCAAGAGCTTTGCTATATAATATTAATTAATATATATAATATATTCTTTATTGGATAAATATTTCAACCTTTATGGTTTTTAGGATACAAAATGTCAATGATATAAATTAATGTTATGGAGTTTTGAGAAGGTTTGTTGGTTAGTGATGTTTGGTTTCACTAGGATTATTAAAAGTTGTGTTGCGTGTTAATTTGATGTTTGATTTTCTTCTTCTTCTTTTTTTTCAAATTAATTGTACGAGGGACATCGCTCAGGTGAGAATGGTTTATCAGTTGTCAATTTATGGGCAACGTAAGTGCATGCGTGCATATGCAGGTAACTTTTTTTTTTTCTAAGTTTTTGTTTTAACTTGAGAGACAGTAGAGTATGGAGATGGATTTTGTTGCATTTAGGTTGAGAGCACCGTGTTACAGGTGCAGAAAAGATGGTTAAATGATAGAAAATGGTTTCATTATGTGACAATGAAATTGTTCATTTGAAACTGACTTCAAATATTCCCAAGTCTGCCATTATAGGAGAGGAATGGTGCACTGCATATTACTTCAATAAAGCATACATTTGCTTGCTTTTTTTTTTTTCTTGTTTCTGTTTGAGGATTCCATGTGAAATTGACAAAGGATAGTAATTATTTCATTTCTAATGCATAATTGATGAAAGAGAAATATTCCCAAAAAAATAAAGTGAATATTATGTTGATCTTTTGCTCTGTGTTTGTATAAATTAAGATTGTAATTTTCAAATTACTTTTTAGGATGTCTTCTTGATACATTTTCAGAATAGGGTTGTTATCTGAATTAACTTTAAAGTTGGTAATAGTTGTGAGCTGCTGAAAGTTGTTGTAGTGACAAATTGAAAAACTGGTATACCTAAAAAAAAAAAAAAACTCCAACATTATAAGTAAGGTAAGGTCATAAAGAAAAATCAGGTAATTATAGGTTAGGAAGAAAAATCACTATGAATATCCTGATTGCGTGTTTGGTAATTGTTTAAGAATAGGAGACTCGTTACTCTTTATTTAGGAAATGCTATTATCATAGAAGCATAATGCGTAAGATTATCACCATCAGAATAAATCTACATTTGAGATAAGAAGGATTCATCATATATATTTTTAAAAAATATTTAATTGACTGAAATCATTAAAAATCTTTTTTTTTTGTTATGAGTTTTATTTCTTATTTAAGAGTCTTGTATGTAGTTTTGTAATTTCTAACAAAATTTAATTAATAAAACAAATATTATGCTAGTGAGAATTAGAAAATGTCTACCTGAACTTATTTTTCATTAGAAATACTTACGATTGGCACAAATTTGGATTCAAATCGTAAATGGATGGGTACTAATAACCATTATCTGTCTTATATTTTACTAATTATGGTCATTTTAGTATAAAGAATTATTCTTTTTGCAATAACAATTTTGGATTTTTTTAACAACCTTTGGATTCTTATTTAGTGTGCCTGTTTATATTTTAAATATAATTTTTTTTCTCTAAACAAAATACAGAAGAAAAAAACTAGCTAAGACTTGAGTTTATGTTCAAAACATATGTGGTATTATTTTGATGTTTTAAAAAAAAAAAAACTTTTGTTTTATATTGTTGTTGTAGAATTTTTGTTTAACAATGTTAATTAATTAAAAAACTATTCACGATGTGATTTTAAAAATAATTATCATAAAACTTATTAATCTTACCGAATATAATAATTTATTATTAAATAATAGTATATTTAAATCAAATTCTAAAATAAGAATTTAATTTGAAAACAAGGATAATTTAAGAATTTATTCTTATTATCATTAACAAATAATCATTGCCCTATGATTGAAAAATTATTAAATTTTATAGTGGTTACTTTAAAAGTTCTATTTACAATACTTTTTAATTAGTCAAGCATATAGTTTTTTATACAAATAGTATCAAAATCAAACTTCAAGAAAAATGCTAAGAACATAATGAAAAGTAAAACAAAAATTAACGAAAATCAAAATGTTATCACATCAATACACAAATAATTGTGTTAAATCTGGTTAGGAGGACAAGAAAACATGTTATATTATTTTAATTTCTTAAATTCTATGTATAAAAATATTTTCTATTTTAAATAAAATAATATTATCAACAAAAAACATTTTCACTTTTTGAAATGATAAAAATAACTTAATATAATGGATTAAATATATTTTTTACCAGTTTCACATCTGCATTAATGATGTATTTACTTATATATATATATATATATATATATATATATATATATATATACAAAAAAAAAAAATCAAATGAATGAAACACGTTTAGTCTTTCAAAAACATTGGATAATACATTGTTGGGAAAATCAAAGGGAAATTGTTGAAGAGAATTTATAATTATTTTAATTGGAGAGAGAGAGAGAGTAATATTATTTGTTTATCTGATACTTATTTATTCATATTTCTATTAATGAATTAAAAAATTCATAGATTTAAAATCTTCAAAAGATAAACAAAAAATATTCCATACTTTTATATTTATACCCTATATGTCATTTGTAATATTTTTCACACTTTTGAGAGAATTATTATTTACAAAAATATAATACTAAAAAAAGTATTTTAGAAACAACACCTTTATTAAGAGACTTTGAAGTTTGTATATACTTTTAAATCTATTTAAATATAAATATGCAAGTGAGATATCAATCAATAAGGATATTAAAAGTAAAATAATTCGTGCTCTCTTAATTATCTAAATTGGTAAATATTTTAAAAGAACATGTAAACAGGCGTAGAAGGATTAATACGAGATTTTAATCAGTAAATTTAGAAAATTATTCATATTGATTCAATGATGATTTAAAATTAGATGAGTACAATATCCTTCTATGACATCCTTCTAATTAATATTTTACCAGTCAATAAAAATATTTAAATAGGAAATCAGTAAATAATTAATATTTTAAAATTATTTAATATTATGTATTTAAAAAGTAGAACATATAAAAGTAAATGTTATAAAAAAATTACAACATTATTCTAATATTTTTTTGTGCGACAGGTTGGTTATGTATGAATTTAATGAGAAAAATTGAACAACTTAATAATTCAAAATTATTGAATACTGGTTGTACTGGCAAATAATTGTACCATATCATGGCATTTTCATTATACACGAATCGAAATAAATGAGGGAGTAAATTAACGAAAAAAGAAACAAGAAAAGGTGGATGAGAGTTTTAACATGTTTTTCTTCTACTCACCAAAAAACAAAAGCAGTTTTTATTTAAAATTATTCTTTTGTGTGAATTTAAATATTTATTTGTTTTGTCAATGAAATTTTAAGAGTATAAGTTTCCGTGTTTTAATAAGGTGGAAACCAAAGATGAAAGAAGATAAAAAGCAATAGCAGCGAAGCCCAATAAGAAGGAACGGAAACTTAAAAGGGCCCAAAATGGTAAACATTAAACTCTATTTAATTTATTGGAAACAATTAGATAGTAAACAACTGAATATATTTATTGGTATCTGATGCATGTTTGGGTGTTGCAAGGATGTTTTTCCAAAACCCAAATCTGAGTTAAAGTAAAACTGTGATTGTGCACACAGATACATGCATGCATCAGGATTCAGATGTGTTGACCCTTCAAAGTGAAGCAGTGTAATGATCCTTTTTAAGTTCACCGAGACTGGTGTGGTAGGACACTGCCAACAAAGCCAGTTCAATTGATTCCCAAGAAAATTATAAATACTAAATGTGAATGCCCTTCATCTTTGTCACTGCCACCACTCTTTAATTTACTACTACATTTTATGCATTTACTATCATGTGAATTCATGCATTGCATAGAATGGAACAGAGTCAGAAGAAAGAAAACAAAATAGTCCCTCTGTTCCAACTTCCAAGAAACCACCCTCTAGTTTTTTAAAAGGGCAAAATAATAAAAATACCCTAGAAGAAGCAAGGACAGTTTGAAAAAAATATACATAAAAAAAAAAAAAAAAATACTACCACAACTACTATAAGTCTTGGTTGTCCTGAGCCAAGGAAAAAGAAAGCATGATGAAGAAAATGTAGAGGAAGCAAACAAGGATTTGGACAAGACTTGAGGCATCATCATCTGATGTGAAGTCTTCTCCTTCAAGTTCAATTATCAAAAGTGGTGGAACTCAATTCAAAGACAAACTGATAGCAATTTAGCCAAAATCAGGGCTATCAAACAAGACTAGTAATGGAGAGAAACACAGGGGTCACTACTATTAATACACTCCATTTACATTAAATGTTTGTTTGCTTTCTCTTTTGAATACATTCAATTCAAACCTTACTTTTTAACCAAAACATAATTCCAATTTTCTATTACCAAATCAAATTAACATGTCTCCTTTCTTTTATGCTACTGTCCCTGTTAACTACCAACCCTTTCTTGTGAGACTGATTTTATTTATATCACTCAAGATTAAATGATATTAAATGCCATAGTCTAACATAAATTCTTTTCAATTCAAATATAAGAGAAAATAGATGATTAATTTTATATTTTGTAATATTATTCAATTTCACTCATCTTAATTTAAAAATACCTCTAGTTGAGACTTGATAACATAAAATCATAGTTAAATAAAAGGTATTTTAGACATAATATCAATACTGAAAAAAGATGAAATCAATTAAATTTATTTGTATTTTTGTTTATCATACATAACTATTTTTTCCTTCTTATATTTGAGTTCAGATATAGGATTAAACTTTGTGTTATCCAAAAATCCAAACACTCTAATG